TGCAAATAACATACTTTTCATACTTTGTACATGTTTCAAATGGTTAAAAGACAATGTAGAAGTAGCCCAATCCAGATGCTTTAGCAGTTTATACCTTTGTCTGTGCTGCACACGCTCTTGCCATTAACGTTTTGCCTGTGCCAGGAGGTCCATACAATAATACACCTGAATAAAAGTTAATGTTAGGTATTTAGAATAATGGCCAGAGTCAATAACATTAACAGAATAGTGAATGCTATTGATATAATCAAGTGGCATGTGTTTTTAATAATACACGGCCCTTGGGTAAGCAGTGTTGGATGCCAAAAGAGTTAGGTTATTTCGCAAAGCAAAGTTGGCACCATTCCCAGACAGAAAGAGCTTATTCAGTTAAGTAAAGATAGTGGAGGGGCAACAATAAGTCAAAAGGAATACAAAAAAAATCCTTGAAACAGCAATAACAATATTACTTTATAGATGCTTTATTGCGAACATTTAGGGTCGCACTATGAATCAAATCTGTAACCCTCCTGGTGCAAACCAAGTTTTCTATACATGTGCCAGCTTCAAAACTGATTCTGAGAGTGGTGACAAATAAATGGCAGGTTTTGATCATGTTTAACAACATACATTACCTTTAGGTGGTGCAATTCCAAGGTTCTCAAATCTTTCTTTGTGTGTCATGGGCAAAACAATGGCCTCTACAAGCTGTTCAGATATTAAAACAAATAAATAGAGGATATAACATGGCCGCGCAGAGATACAAAATTTCTCTTCTAGTGAAATATTTTTAATATAAACACTATTAAATGAAATAACAAACCATTTCACTTTAATTTTTTTCTGCTAAAGTTGTGATTTATTACATGGCCATAGCAATGGTGATCTTTTCACAAATGAAGATAACATGCTATTTTTATTTTGTTTATATAATAATAATAATAAACATTGAAAATGGATATTATCCTCCATCAGTCAAACAAACAGCCTAAGCTGAGTGCATAATGTGGAAACTGTAAACATGCATTAATAGTGCTTGCAGGTGTAGGTGTGGCTACAGCGGAGAGTGTTTAAGGTTAGGGTTAGCCTTTGAATTGCAGAACCTGTAGTCGCATCTTCACACCTAGAATTTAAACCCTCTGGCCATTGTCTAAAGGTTAGTTCTGCAATGCAGTCAACTCTCAACAAGATGAACACCTCCCTAAAATGGATACCTAGAATCAGGTCCCAACATTCTTCATTCATTTAACACCGTCTTTATTTAGCACAGGCTCAGTGGTGCCTGTTCCCCATGCAGATTGAAATCCTCGGGCTTGAATACCACTTTTGCTTTGAAATGTACAAGATCATGCCAAGTATGCTTTTTTCTCTTTGGTCAAGAACTACAACTGGAATCACAGAGCTAACAATCTTAAATGATAGTAATGCCTCTGGTGCCACGTAAAAGCCTACTTCAAGTAGTATGATGTGATTTGAAAGCAAGATCTTCATCAACAACCCTTTCAATAGGTCCTTCAATCTGGATAAAAAACTGTTGTATCACTATCATCAACAAAATAAATTTACTGGCTAACTGGTTATCAATGTGTAACATTACATGCATTGTCCACAGTTGACTTTCGTTGACTAAATTTTAAAACATGTCATCATCAATGCTGTTACCTCTTGTATTTGTGTGTCCAGTCCTCCTATGTCACTATACTGTTCAGTGGGTCTCTCATCAACTTCCATGGCTTTAACACGTGAGTCATACCTGTTAATTTTCAAAATCAGAAATTATTAGATGCTAAAGCTTTTTAAACAGTGCAGTAGTACCAAACTGAAAAAAAAACACAAAGAAGTTACAACGCTTAGAACACTTGGTATGATATGGGTTGTCACTGGTGATAATGATCACATATACATGTACATGTACATGTACATACATGTCGCCATTGAATTTTACACAAATTTACCAACATGTATTTGCAGACTACAGTTTAGGTACTCATGACTCAATACTTACTCTGGGGGCAACTTTTCCAATATTAAGTAAGAATCTTTGTTAACTCCCTGAAAACAAACAGGAAAAGTACTTTACACTTGTTGTATCTATTAAGGGTATCAAATAAATCCCCCTAAAAAAATCAATGAACCATATAAATGATCAATACAATAGGTAAAAATTTTCGTACAATTTCAAAATGCTCAAAGAAATCCACTTGCTGTACATGTAGCAGGGTTGTCACTAAGATTTCAAGTTGCCGGGTAAATACAACAAGTAGGCGGGGAATCAAACAGCTAGGGATTTCTTTTGGTTCTATTTTTCTTCTATTTTCCTATGAAAGTAGGCGGGGGCCACGTTCTTAGTAGCCGGGGGAAATCCCCGGCCCCCGCCTCTTAATGACAACCCTGATGTAGTAAGGGTTATTTTCTTTTATTCTCAAAGTCAAAAAGGAACCGCTTTTAACATACTCTCAAATTAATCAAAATTTACAGTTTGACTACAGATATACATGTAATGTGCTATATTCAACCATCGTGAAGACAAATAAAAATTTATAATAATCATCATTACAGTGGAATCCAGAATGGAACTTAGACATAACGAAGGACCAAGGGACTGGCAAAATGAGTTTGCTATACCAAAGTTTCGTTATATTGAGGTTCTTTTTCATATCATTCGTTATACCGAGGAGTTTGTTATATCAAGGTTCATTATATCGAGGTTCCACTGTACTTTAATGCCTTTAACAAGTAAAAATATTCCTACCACTAAGTCTCCTGGAGTTAAATTTTCAGGTTCCACCAAACCAATTACAGGTAAAAAATATGTCTAGAAAGAGAAAAAGAACAAAAACATGGTACATAAACTGTGTTGCTGGTTGTCACTGTCATACCATAAAAAATCAAAATCAAAACACTTCAGTAGTTTAAGTCCAGAATCTAGAAAATGAAAGAAGGTAAATATTGAACCTTAGACCTTGCCAAGATTCAGGTCCGTGCAATGTTTCATAAGCAAGATTCAGAAAATGTTATAGCTAAATTTATAGAGCTTTGTATGGAGACGCCATGCTGAGGGAGACCAACATGGTGGCTGGAAACCAAAAGTAACATCTGTTACAGAGTTTCGATATGAAAGTGTGAATTTACCCCTTGAGGAACTCATAAACACTAAAGTAATACTTTTTCTAACACAAAGACTGTTGAGATAGCAAAATTCCCCAAAATTAGTCACTTTCTTAACCTAAATGACAGCTCTGTCAGCCGCAACGTAAATGCCACATCACGCTGCCAAAAGGTTAGGCGACGATGTATTATTCCTTAGAACAGTTATATTGAACAGCATCTCACTCATCAGGATAGCACTTGAAGCGACCCTCATTGCGTGTTCAAGACAAAATGTTAAAGAAGAGTATAAAGGTAAACAAAAGGATATCATTTTTACCTTTTCCATTGGATAATGTCTGGTACTTAGCCTTCTAAGTACCAGTCAAAGACAAGACAGAATAAACCTGAAACATTTTAAATAAATTTGTTGATGATAACAAGTATTTTGTACCTGTCTGGTGGATGTCTTTATAACTGCACATTTTCCCTTTCGTTGTGAATCCAAGTCTACATTAGCACCATCTTCCTCAGCCTGAAAGCAGGTCAAAGGTTCTTTAACTAATTATGTAAAGAGTGGAGCACTAAAATAACATTGAAATGCTTGCATGTGTAGAGAAGGTCAAAAGAAAGACTTTGATTACTGGAAATAGCAATAAACTGCAGAGTACACTAAAAAACGTTATATGAAAATTATTTATATCCACTCTGCACACTACAATTAGTGGAATTAGAGTAGCTCATATTTTATTTTTAAAAAACCTGCTGCCTCCCTTATTCCAGGCACAAAACTACTCTGGGAAGACAAACAACACCATCCAGCAATTTCTTTTTACATTCCATCAATAAATTGTACAACATTTTTATTATGAACTATTTCTCAGTATTTTGCCTTGTGTTATGATCTATATATCTCCTAAATTGAGTGCAAGGAACATCAAACAAATATAAACATACATTGTCTTGAGGGTCAACATCAAGCAGCTGCAAAACAAAAAAACAAACACTTTTCAGCCTGACATACACTAGTTTTTCCCTTTTTTACATGAGACAGGACAGGTACATGTGTACGGTAAACAAGAAAGGAACAATATAGACGTAGCAAAGTGATTGCACATTTTCATTTTTCAGTCTGGAGTAGGGGTTCAAATTAGGAGTTTCAGTATTAGCCAAGATAAAATGGTTAAGACATAGAGACACAATATAATTTTTATATGCTCTTATTGTCACTGGTAGATAGGAGTCCATCCATTTCATGTGACAAAGTTTAATAAGCAACTCAAATTGAAAATTGACTGCGACACAGAATGATGTGAGGACAAAATGAAACCAACACAATGTGATAAACTAGTACCAGACATCTATCACTGAGTTAATAGTGTCCAGTCCCTTACCTGCACATGAGAACTATAGACTTCAAATTACACTGGCAAGAACCAGCAGTGACAGACAAGTAATAAAGTCTAGGCACTGTGGTTGACTTAGTAAATACATGTAAATAACGTCATGCATGGATTTGAATGCGATAATCAACCCTGTGATTCAAAAGCTAAACTAAGTTTGAATTTAGTCTTCTTTATTTGGGTAGAAACTACTTGCCAAGATGAGAAACTGTACAAACAACACATCCCACAATCGCCTAGTTTTTCACTTGCTCAGGCAAGTGAGTGAGTGACAGATGGTGTTAATAAATTAAAATTATTGCTAAACAAGGCTTTCAGAGTAAGTTCAGTAGGTAGAGAGCTGGTTTGTAGAGCTACATGTACAGCTTTGATCCCTTAGACTGAACCAAGAATTGGGGCAATAAAGTACTTCGGAAGAAGGAACTGCCTTTATCTTGAAATGGTTTGCCCTTTGTTGGTTCACATGACCATGTGGAAATACTTGTACCACCTCCAGAAGGGAACACAAATACAGCTGTGTAATATAAGCTTAACACATATTTATAGTTCATTGACACTTGCCGTTTTCATCACATTCAAAGCTACCAGACTTGGCAAGTGAAACATTATGGACCCTTTTAGTGCCAAAATTGTTATCAAAAATCAAGTGAGCAAAAGAAGTGTTAATGCTGTAATTTAGGCATTGACTGATGGCCACCTTACCTCGATCACATTTGACACAAGGTATGGCAGCGTTTTGTTCACTTTTATTTTCTCTGCATTTTCCTGAATAAACAGAAAAGTTTGAGCAAGTTACTGCAATGTTGTTAGAAGAATTTTGACTCTTAATGAAGAATAACAGGAAGAGAAAATGGAATTTAAAAGTAAAGTTACCTTGATTTTCTCTTTCATAGCTTGTTGCTCATGATTAATCCTCATTATTTCACTTTTCATTATCTGTTTATGAGCAGTAAAACAAGGATTACTCAATGGGGGAAACAACATACAAACCAAAACATTGTATTAAGAAGCAAATATTCACAAGTTCCCTGAAACATGGTCTTTCAGTGAACACGGTATTAAATAAGGATGAGAATGTCAGGCATTTTCTTTTCGGAACCATGAATGCATACTGTAAACTCGCACTTGTAAGCCCTAGGCTTGTGCATCTTCATAATGGGTTTTAGGAGGGCTTCTAAATGAAGAGGGGGTGGGGGGTGGGGGGGGGGTACATATTTGGGGGGCTTTTAACCAGAATCAAAAAAGCATTTTCAAACAAGCTGGCAGCATTTATCAAAATACCTTTTGCATTTAAAGGTTTTCTTGTTAATAGGGAGCTTAAGCTAAAGCATTTGTGAGCGACGAACGTCAACCGAAAGTGGACTTTTTGCATCATTGGCGAGTGGTTTGGTTGAAACTCTCGGGTAAATCGTCTTTATAAGAGAAAAGAAACTTAGCAATACAAATTTGTTAGCGTCAAGGCATATAAAAAGGAAGAAGGCCTCACTTCCAGTTGACGGGCGTTGATCAAAAAAATTTTTGCTTAAGCTCCCTAATATAAGCATTAAAAACGTCATAATAAATCGAATTCATTTCAATACAGAAGCTGATGGGAGGCTTATATTTAGACGGGCTTATAATTGGAGGTATTTTCTTGTTAACAGATTAATGGGCCATAACTTGGGGGGTGGGGGGGGCTTATAATTAGAAGTTTACGGTATGTTTGATGATTGGAAAAAAGGAATAAGCCTAATGACAATTAAAAATTTTAAATCAAACGTCATTTAAACTTAAGACTAAGACACTGGGCCTTTTACAACATCACGCTTTGGATTTTTGAACATTCAAAGCCAAAAAAACATTAGTCACCGGCGATGGCAACTAAGAATACATGACAAACTCGCACGAAATCTTACCTTAATTTCATTGTCTAACAGTCGAGCTCGACTGACAATTTCGTCTGTCTGCATTCGTAGAACTTCCTCGTCCATTTCCTTCGAATAAAGGCAAAAGTAAGTCATTAGAAACATAGTAAGTCTCTTCATTGCTTATTAAGACACTTATACCGCACTTCAGCGGAAACGTATGCAGTTAAAATTACCTCGCCATCTTCCCAAATCGCTTTGTCTTCCAAGGCCGCCATCTTGTTTCGCTGAGTAAGCGTGCTAGTGCTAGTCTATTTTAAACTTAGCGGTCAACATCAGCCGCGCAATTCTGGCCTACCCAGTCCCTCCAACCGCCTGGAAGCTGCTCTCCAGGGCTGGGATCCTGATAGAGAGGGTTTTTCGCTTTAATCGAAACTGGAAACCTCGCATCAAAAGCCTCTGGCACCCAAAAACATCCGAAATATTACGCACTCGTACGTCTCGCCACTAGCCTGCGAAAATATCCGTTTCTCCTCGCTCTTCGCTGCTGGGGACGTTTCGCGCGGCGGCGAAGAGCGAGAAGAAACGGATGTTTTCGCAGGCTAGTGGCGAGACGTACGAGTACGTAATATTTCAGACGGTTGACACATAAACTTTTCTCCCAGGTTCCTGGGCATAGGTCTACGTAGCCTGCTTGGCCGGGCGTCGACAGCCTTAGGAGGGGAAAGGAGGGATAAGGGAGAGGGGAATTCGCGCTTTACATCCCTCAGTCCTTTCTTTTTTCCGTCTGCCACGCAGGCTAATGCTCACAACTTTGATTTTTCAGCCACGTTTCAAAGAAAATGAAAAACACACCAGGAGACTGACCACACATACAGTAGTTCTTACTCCCAGAACCCATTTCGCCTATAAAAATCGGTTACTATGGCAACGTTTGTGACTTCTATTTGTGTGACACATGTTCCACGCGCGAACTTTTGCTTCTTTCAAGCGCAGATATCCTTCGCAAGAAATGGATGGAAAAATTATTGTAACGTCTCATCCACGTTACGGCTATTTTTATGACATCAAGACTACTGACAAAATTGTCCCCATAATTCCTGATCTTGGGGTTTCGCGGAAAAGCGTTTTTGATGAAGTAAAAACACCAGCTTACAAGTAAGTTATGAGATATCATTTACTACGGAGTAAACACCAGACGTTTAACCTTCGTCAGCTGGTCTGAATGCCGGAATTTTCTTGGGAAAATTCTAAGCTAGAGATCGTAGACGATTAGTTTTGCTCATGATGCGGCGTTAGTCAAGCCCATTTAACGAATCGTGCTTCCCTTTACGTTTGGCCTTGCTTTTTATAGCACTGAGTGATTTCTTAAACATAGTGCGGAAGATAAGCTAAGATACGGCGTTGCTTGACTTTTCAACTGAATATTTGTAAAACATCTATGATTTCTTATTTAAGTTAAAAGTACATACTAAAAATCGTCTGGAGTTGTCAGTAAAAAAATTTGGTGCTATTTAGAGTATTCTCGAGGTTAGTTGTTGTCTAAGATCTATAGAAGATAACTATAAAATTAAATAATAATTATAATGTGGATATTAGGAGGTGTCATCTTGATCATAACGCAATCTTTAAAATCTAAAATATTTTGAGAAGTCTTGGGTGATGTTTCGCAATCAACAAGAGCCACAATATGGCTCTTGTTCGGAAACAACTCGTATTAAATTGCACATTCCTCGGGTCTATGGGGTCAAACCGCACGGAGGAGAGGAATGATGATCGAGTTTTAGGGTGTAATTAAGAAATTTATGATGAGCCACATGTAACTCACGGTAGATGATAAATATATTCATTTATATTTAATGGGACATATAACTACTATCTTTAAAATACAAATTTTGGCGAGAAAAAAAAAACTATAGCGAAGAAAAAGATCAAAGTTACTTGAAATCCAAACATTGGTTCAGTATTAATTTTCTAGCAAATTTGTGACTGAGTTCTTTGGTCATTTCAGGCTTTTAATTGAAGTTTGCCCAAAAAGGAAATAAAGGACATGTACTGCAAAAAGGCGTCGCGTCATTGGTCTAAAAAAATACTCAGTTCTCCAATTCATCCTCGATTTGTAGCAGATGCTTGTTCCTCGAACTGGCTGTTTAACCCTCCGCTTACAGAACTCAAGTGTATTGCAGCGAATTTCCGTGCGAGTCTAAAGCTTTTAGTCAGAAAGTGAAAAGGTCTGTTTTGTTTTAGAAAGATTTTGTGTTTTGTGCCATTTTTTTGAAACCGCGCTCAAATAATGGTTACATAAACAGCTATTCCGTCTAACACAGAAAATGTTTCAGAACTTTTACTCATCAGTAAGGTATCATAGGACGCTATTCAGAACAAAGATCTGCATAGAAAACGCTTTGCAAAGCGTGATTTTTTGTTATCATTAATTCCTCAGGGACTATTGCCCTTCAGTTTGTCATGGCTTGTGAGTTTGTTTCTAGTCAGCACTAATTAGTTCGCGTTGCTTTAACAGTGGCTCATGTCTCTCTTTAAATTCCAAACACGTCTCCAATAACTTCTGTTTACAAACGACTCATGGCAAATTCATAAAATGAAGTTTTCATTTTCTTAGGACTTCTTTTACCAAGTTTTTCATACAAAATCAATAGTGAATAAAAAGTAATGGAGTATGGCTTAGATTAGCTTCTGGTTGTTGAACTTCATAGCTTTTCAGGACAGCAACTATGTCTACAAGGCAGTAAGACAGTTCATACGATGAACGAGTTTATGCAAAGACTAATAAAAAGTATGTACCAGTTTATGAAATTATAAGACTCTCACTCAGTCATCAAGCTTGTCTACAGTAGCCATTGTTTGCTTATAGATTAGTTGGTTGGGAACACACGTCGCCTTTGTTTGTTCTTTTATTGACATTCAAGGGGGGGTTTGGGGGCGTCGAAAATTTTAAAAATAGATATTTAATTTACTGAATCACCTGTTCTGTTGGTTATCAGCCTCAGCTCGTGTTCTAAGACTTCCAAGTGCCAGTTATTTTGACAGCGTTTAGCTTCAATTCCCAAAAAACCGCGCAACAAAGCCAATTTCAAATTTACCAGGTGAACTATCTGAACACAGTGTACTGTGGACAATATTTATAATATAATCTAGACTAGCGGTAGACCTCACATCTATCTGCTGAAAAAAATCGGCACTTGTTAAGGGGCATATAGAGAGTCATTGCTTGTCTCAATGTTTGCCAAGTTCTCATTTGCACCCTTACACATTTCCTATAGAATATTGGCGGAGAGTTTTTACAATGTATACAAAAGTAACGAGAAAATTTATCTTGAGTTATCACGTCCTTTTCTATACCTAGAAGGAAATGTATAGAAGCGTAGAGCCGTCTGGCAAAATGAGGATTATGCCACACTTCATTCACCCATAATTCTTTACTGTAGTTCCACGCTTCTAGACGTAAGAAGTGTAAAATAGCCTGATCTGATGAAGTAAAAATAACATGCATTTTTGCCCAATCATGATGGAGACGTAATCATTATGGCTTGAAAAACTTGTATTTTGAGCTGAAATCCTATGATATGATGGCTTAGCGACATAAGATCAGAGCAAATGTCATTGAATGTGACCACGTGCCATTAATTACATTAGTCTTTGTAGCGCAAGGTAGTAACTTCGTCCTCAGTCAGTTTACGATCCAAGTTAGTAGTACTGATATAAGCAGGGGAGGCAAAGTTTGGAAGTGGATTCAGGATTCCTTGTCAATGCAACATGGATTCCAGATCCCAATCGTTAGCGGGGATTCCGGATTTCTTTGAGCTGAATCACGGGGTTTTGAACGCCCGGTATTCCGAATTCCTTGGATGTGGACTGGTGAAACTATTAGTTTGTTGAAATCTCTTCCTAATGACAGAGATGGAAACATTTAGGTCCAATCTTAAAATTTCTTACCATTAGACTCTCATCATCCCCTGGAAAACCTGTAACATTTTATTCCTTTTATTGTTAAACTACAGAAAACAATACAACGTTTTTCGAGACTTCACCATTGGACGCTCATCCCCAGTTTGGAATGTGAGCAACGCAGCGATGAAAGCGTCACCTAGTGAACGCCTGGTTTATCTTTCACAACACAAGAAATTTCACACAGACTATAAGCCCTGCCGACCGGTTCAGACTACGGTTTCCTTAGCTGCACAAAAGGCTTCTGCCTCAGAGCGAATTGAAAACCTCTCCGTGGCCAAGAAAAGACCTACTATTGTGGAACGTGAGTGGATTATAAAGAAAGGGGCGCTCACCTCACGGGCCTCTCAAAGAGTACAGCAACTGTCCCATTCTAAAGGAGTCCCACTGGGCTTTACACCAGACAAAGTTGAAGTGTGGCAAGTGTCGAAAGCCGCTTTAAAAGCGAAGCCATCTAAGCGAATCGATGATCTGGCCCTGCCAATAAAACGCGAAATAGCAGCAAATTTACCAAATGCAGACGCCTTTGAAGTGAGCAAGGCGGCACAAAAAGCAAGGTGTTCGGACAGACTAGCTGAATTGGCCCAACCAATTATCAGAGGATAACATTAACATAACACACATTCTTGTTTACTTACGTATTTATTTATTTATTTATTTACCTATTTATTCAATCTTTTTTAGGCCTTGATATACTTCCTTGTTGTCTACTTGCAGACCACCTTTTATCATCCTCTCATGCTTTTTATTGAATAAAACTTCTCGTTTTGGAGTATATTTGACTTTAACCCAAACGCCACGCCTTGAGTTAGCTTCTACCCCTGCCTGGTACTCACTCGTCTGTATCTCGATGAAAAATTCCTCGCAAAGGAAGGCAGATAGTCATTTTCTCCTTCCCACGGTCCCTTTCACTTCGTTACCAGTCGCTCGCGTTTCGCACTCTTAGACTTGTGTGCGTAAAGTGCCAGAGGAGCTAGAGGAGGCAGCTTCTGCCCCCTTTAGTGACGGAGAGTAAGAAGTTAAGATTGCAGAGAAATACTTCGCGCTGCACCCACTATTCGATCTGTTTTCGCGCTTTAGCTTGCTCAATAAGAATAACTGCAATTTACTTCAGTTTACGTTCGATCAAGCCCATGTCAGTCGCAACTGAGTCTATTTTAGGTGTAACACGTATTAATCGCTTTATGCAACGAGCGCTTTTACAAAAAAATTGAATTCCCCAAGATTTTAATTTGTGGTATTACTTTAAAACCCCCCAAATCCATTAGAATCAAAGAAAACCCTGAAATAATGGTTCGATTTTATCTAAAATTTGGCTACTAGTATATGTCAACCATAAGCAAATGTCTTTTGCTTTCGATGTCCAGGAAGGAAAGGGATCACCACTTTAAAAAAATTGGGCCAATTTTTCAAGTATTGTCGAAAATGTCAAAATGCGTTGCGCTCGTTCCTTTTGATAGAATCATAAGAAATCTTTTCGTTAGAGCTCCGAGCAGAGATGACAAAGAATGCTTAGTCATAACTTCAGCGCAGATTTGACCAAAAAATGTGGAACTTGCCATGACATAGAGTCTTTGAGAAATCGGATCCACATCCGAAATCCCTGAATCATTTCTCACACAAACCAAAAATGATAAAGTAGTGGTGGCCCCACCCAAGTTCATTTCACTCAGTAAGTGGGTACTACTAGTCCATTCACTCTGTGATAGAAAAACTTACAAACAAACAAAAAACATATTACACAGAGTCTTAGCTCCTCCAGACCTATTGATAAGTCATAAGAAGGTGTAAATAGCTACTGAGACAGTCAAAACAATTTAAAAATCACTCTCTAAGAAAGGAAAGAACGAGATAAGAGAAACGAGGCCAAAACGAAAATTAGGTCAAACTGATGGTAGACCTGTGCTGTAACCATAGCAACGCTACCTGCCATGGCCAGACACGTCACTCATGGCAGACTTGTTTTGCAGTTTTTGGAAAGGGCTTAAGTTTTATAAGGAGTTCCCGTCAATTTATGCAGACATGAACTTTGATACCATTCCCTGTGCTTTCAAGAAGCGAATAGAGCTAAAAGCAAGTGAAGATCTACAGGTGATTAGTGAGCAGTGCGCGTGTAAAGATTCTGGTAGAAAAAACGAGGGGAGCTTTACAGAGACACCCAATGTAGTTTTAGAAGAGACTGAGAGCAATGAAGACTTGGGAAGTCTCATGCACAAAATGCTTGTTACTGAAAAGGAAAACCTTCACAGTGTGGCTTTCAAGACACCGTTATCAGCATGGCAAATATGTCATTTCGCAAAGCAACATAAAGGCGGCTATCAAATTGAGCCGGAGGTTGCAACGAAAAGGATCTCTACTTGCGGTAAAAATGAGCATGTTTTCACTCTACCACGCTGTCATCGTAATTTAAGCATCACAAAGGAAAACATGGATGAAAAAAGTCTTATTGAGAGAGACATGGTGAAAGATGCGAGAGCTAAAAGTGTGTCATATATTGATGATCAGGCAAACCGCAACGCGCGAGATGGCGGAAAGATTTATAACCTGGCTAGAACTCGGTCTGCTTCACCGTCACCTCAGCCGGGATACACATTTAACCACTCAAAATCTACTGCACACTATATCAAGAGCTATCGGGAACAAATTACTGACGATTTCATAAGAAAACACATTCAGTGGCGGTTAAAGGAAAATTGCCGCAGCAATGTTAAGAAATCACCCAAGAGAACCAATGAAACGAAACGTAAAGCCCTGCTTCCAGCTCCTTCGTTCACGTTTTACAGATTACGTATGTCTAAAACGAAAAACCCTTGTGATTCTGGGTATTTGAAAGTCGGGCCTTGTCCAAGAATGTCAGAACAAAAAGAGCATAAAAGGATGGGCGTTAAGAGCTATAACACTGCGACTTCAAGTGAGAAACGAAAAACACAAGCAAATTCGGTATCAACAACCGCAGTGCAAAAGGTCGATCGAAAGGAAACCAATTCAGTGACAAAACTACTTAAGTTTCAAAATACTGCACCGACAACTCAACCAGATGACATCGTTCGTAGCGTGAATAGTGAAGCTAATACCAAGGACGTCAATAAAACAGAAAGTAGGGAAAGCGACTTGAAAAAAGTTGAACTTAGAGTGAACAGCAGGATCAAAGATTTACCAAGAATTGTGCCCAAAACTGTCGGGCGAGCCAATAAAACCAAGGTAAATTTAAACAGACGGGATTTCTCTGCTTAAATAAAATATTTCATTAACCTTGGACTTTTCAAAATGCCTTTCTAGGGAAGAGTTCTGGGAGCCTTTCCGAAGCCTACATTGAAGTATTGCAAAAGCAGTTCTGAGATTTCTGTAAGTATATTATTAAAGCAAGTGCTCAATCGCGCCAGTCATTATTTCATTTTTATACAGTTTTCTCAAACTTCAATTCTTAAATCACTGTGAAAAAACAAGTAATTGCCATATGCTGGGCTTCTTTTGACCAAAATGAAACGTGAATCTTTGAATACGTTTCACATATCGAGTTGATTTAAGCTCAAGTTAGCTTACACGATAAGTCGAAGGTGGTCTTTTCACTTTCATTGAAAAGCGGGGACGGATAGAGGCTTTCATATGAATTGAAAGACAAGACACATTTCCATTCATAAAAGCTTTAACAAGCGAATATTTGATACCAATGTTTCTTTTGTACACTTGAACCAGAAATTGACAAGAAAGCCAACCTTTGGCGAAAAGGAATTTCTACGAATTACAACTCCTAAACCACTCATTCGCTACCACAGCCAGACACCAAGTGACTTTGATGAGTCGCTAGGTTTTTCTCCAAACAAGAGCTCTGAGATAAGCCCTTCACCAAGTCTTGTACCAAGTTTGTCTGGCACAGGTCTTCGCAGCCAAGTTATTGCTGAGATTTTGATGAAGAGAGAGCGTCAGGTGGTTTTTCCAAAAAACAGCAAATTTCAAGCATGTGTTACTCCATCGAACTACTCTACAAGCAGTGTAGAGACACATTTAAGAAACAGAAAGGACATCTCACCGATTGACAGTTGTCAGAATGGAGCAGAGGACGAAAGCCAGAGTGAACTGAGCCAACTACGGAGAATGCCCTCCAAACCTTCTATTACCAGGATTGGCCCCTTCATTTCCGGTTAATGTTTCTAGTTGTTTGAACTTCTTGATTACTACACAAAACATTCACCAACCTACAGGGTTATCAGTCATTTAACAAGACAATTATTACTGTCTCCATCTCAGACCAGCTTGTTATCCAGTAGGTATATATCTTGGTATACTAACGTAATGATATTGATAAGGACAGTTGTGATAACCTTTTTTAATTCAATTCTGATTTTGAATTACCTATTAGTCAATTTTTACTCGAAAATTATAGCATTGATAAACTACAGGAAAGTATACTCCATTTTAGAACAACAGTGTTACTGCAGGCATTTCATTAGCAATAAATTACAATCTATGGTTCAAAACAGTTCGTGGACTAATTATTATTTACAATATTGAAAAGGATTTGCTGTTATTACACTGATGATTGTAAGTATAATTTTAAATTTTTTTGACAATATTGGTATGTAAAATAAGATATGCTACATTCATCAACCAGGTCATTCTTCATGGTTTTGGTCAGTTTCTCCAGAACGATGGCAAAATCTGCCACTTATTTTAACAAAAAAGCCACCAACTTGAAACTTTCTGACAACCTTGCAGTCATGCTTGTCAGTAACTTTCACAACAATTTTCTCCCTCTTGCTGCTTAATGTTAGTAATTTTACAACTTTGACCCATTAAGATTCCAGTTATAATCATTATAACTAATTTTAATCAAACTGGTAGGATGTTCTAATAAACTGTTCAATTTCTTTTGTTCCTCTTCTGGAAGATGCTGAGAAATCCACCTAAATGATAGTGTTGAATAAGAAAAAGAAAAAAACAATAAATTTTTATAATAAAACAAATTTCTATTGCAACTACCAAAACAAAAACATCATGTATCAATCAAAACTACCATGGCGTACTGAACAGAGGAGAATGTAACAGGTTCAGGGAGCAAGGGTGGTGTAGTGGTGAGAGTACTCGCCTCCCAACAATGTGGACCGAGTTTGAATCCTGACGTCGACATCATATGTGGGTTGAGTTTGTTGTTGGTTCTGACTACCTTGCTCTGAGAGGTTTTTCTCCGGGTACTCCGGTTTTCCCCTCTCCTTAAAAACCAACACTTTCAAATTCCAATTCACTCTGGAACGAATTGACACGTTTCAACGAGTTCTTATGAATTCCTTAGAGCTTCGTGGGTAAACAAATTACAAAATTACAAATTACATTGAAGGATTATTGCAAGTTGACACACCTCAAACATTCCTTCTCTGTTGAACCAAAATCTGCTTTGTACCAAAGGAATATTTTTGACAAGGTAACCTTAAAAAAAAATTCATGTTATACAAATTAATATTATTATGACCTAATAAGTAAAAGATATTGAAAGATCACACCTAAAGCCTCTATTTAGTTTGTTTAAAATCTACCTGTTAGAAACTGAGTAATTCTGAAAATCAGTAAAGTTGTTGTCATTTAATAAAAGGCGATTGCCTATTTTGTCAGCAGAGGAGTTGATGAGTTCTAATGGCAGCTTAGTTGTCAAGGTTTGGTGTAGTCATGTGTAACTTTTGTATAAAATACTTTTGATGCTATGCACTCAGAGGACTCTGAAAGCAACATTTGCAACTGACATACAGCTGTATTCACATGGTCCACAAAAGTTACTTCAATTAAAGCAACAAAGACAAATGTTTTAATACCTTGGAATCATCAACACACACTTCCTGTGAGCAAAAGTTCTGTGCTGCTGCTTGCAAAGCAAAGTCCAAGTTCTTTGCAGAAAACACATTGATGGCTGGACAAGACTGTTTGTAAAAATGACAAAAAGGGTAAAATTAATACAGCAGAAGCCCTCCTAACAGGCACTCTCATAAGCGGACAGCTCAACTTATGGCCACCTTCACAGAACCCCGTTTCCTCAACTCCCATACAAACTATGTATTTTTACATCCTTTGTAAGCAGCCAGCTTCAGTTATGGACACCTTTTTCACATTATTTTAAGGGTGTCCGCTTATGAGAGCTTCCACTGTAGAAAGTTAAGCAAAAATGCATGTAACAGGATTACTTTCAAATAAAATTAGAAATCAGGTTTATTTGAGATGCACAGTACATGGATATTTTATTCAAGATGAACAAATTGGTTTAGAACATTTCTTGCTTTCTGAATCCTGACTGACCCTAAAAATTCTACCCATTTTCCCCAAGTATTTGGTACACAGAAAAGAAGATCTAAAAAATAATAACAAGGAAAAACCCTGATTAGTACCTTCGCTCCACACACTAAAGCAAAGTGAATCCTAGGGTCAACTTCTGAAACAGCAAACTGCAACCGAGAATCGTCTTCAGCAAATAATGGTTTGGCATCAGATGGGTGTGGTCTGTTACCTGACAAGTTAATCACCCAATTAATAAAGATGACACAAAATAAAGCTTTCAGTGAGGAAATAACTTAGAGGTCAAGCCATGACAGCCTGAGATTAAAGCCTTAAAATGGCATAAAAAAAAGACATAAAAGAAGTAAACATTATATGAAGTAGGAGTTCCTTACAAACAAAAATTTTAACAAACTGAAAGACAGCTACCATTAAATTTTGTGAAGTCTCATGAGTAGGTAGAAAATAAGTAACCTTTACATTAAGTAAGATTTTACAAACAAGTAAGATTGTGACTGAATACAAGTTAGATTTCTTTGCTTCTATTACCTACAAATAGTAACTGACGCTATTTCTTGTTTTGCTTATTGAAAATTTTCCAGATGGCTGGACTTACACGAAAAAAAAAATCCAAGGCTGCTCTAGTACTATCATCACTGTCATCATGATGATTATCATTGTCACTCTGTCACAGGCATAAAAAAAAAAAAAAATTGTTACCTCTGAGAATTCCATGTTCGATGTCATCAAGTGAAAATACATATCCTCCAATGTTGTACGATGTTTTTCTCCAAAAGTTGTTTATCTCAAGCACTGATTTAGGTACTCCAGTATCACAGGCTGCCAAGCCATGAATTGTGAGGGAATTATAAATATCTTCATCATCATTAAGGAATCAGAAGTAATAGAGTAGAGTTTGTTAATTGCACTGGAAGATTGACAAGGTGACCTTAAAGAATCAAAATTAGAAACAAAAAGATCTGTATATTTAAGGAAAGTGAAGTTTGGGGAAAAGTTGTTTCAAAAAAAAATTATTGTCACATAAGGTTTGCCTTCTTCTTTCCTCTCCCATCCTGTTATGTAAATTCACTAATGTTTCTCACCCCAGTTAAAATAACATCTAAGAAAAAGAACCTTAATATATAATGAAACCTCCTTATAGCAAACATATTTTGACAGTCCCTTTCTTGATAGCACTTTGTTATGTCCCGGGGATGTGGGGGGGGGGGGTACTCCCGGGAATTCTTGGTGGGGTGTGCCATCTGGTTCTCCAAATTCTGACCCTATTTCAGGCGAAAAAATGTAATTTTCCAGACCTGTTTTCAGACCAGACCTCTAAAATCCATACCCGTTGTCAGACCTGTCCTTTAGACAGATATAATGTTATCATTACTAGATTAGAGCACAGACAAAAATCTCCGTTGAATTTGCATATTTATCTTTCTTTCTTACTCATTTGGAATTGAAACGATAAATATGTTCATACACTCCTGTAGTCCCCTCGGAAACCACACCTGATTCCAGCAAAATGGTGCAAAAACCCTACCCGATGGGGCGGCACATACCTATATATATAAGGGAGTACCCCCCTCCAGGGAGTATCCCCACCATCTTCAGGTCAGTATCATTATTTTGTAACTGCCCCCTCCCCCAGGTGACTACCCTACCCGCTTTTCAATTTTTTATCTTTACCTAATAGAGAAGTAAACCTCCAAAGGTGTAATCATTTGTCAATGCTTCTGAAAAAAAAAACAAAAATGGCCTACCGCATGAAAAAATCCTATCTTCGCTTAGCTATGGGTTTTAAATAATTATTACTTTTTGAGGCGGGGAGGGTCCGGTTTGCGGTGTGGGAGGCCCAACCTATCCGGGCTATTTGTACCCTATCCGCTTCAACTAGCACTGGTGACATCTCAAAAAAAAGATCGGGCTGTTGCATGCATGCAAGAAACAACGGAGTTCCAACATAAAAGATACTTAGGAAAAAAGCTATTTTCTCCTTTCTTTCTAAGCTCCCCAAGTCCACGACTTTTAGAGCTTTCGTTCTCTCCACATATTCCCTGAACAAGTCGCTGTGTTTTAAAGCAGCATAGTCGACTTCGTGTCCTTCATGGGAGATGAAGTTTCCCTTGATGTTCAGCATAAGTTTCTGAAGTTGTCTGGAAAGTTCAACAGCAGAAGGCAAACTTTGCAGTGAGGAATCGCCAGAATTTAGAATTGCAACTTCACCGACAGCTTTTGCTGCCGCCATGATTTCATGCGTGAGCCAGCGGTAACAACCGGCAATGTTGGGTGACCTGTGGAGACCAAGGAGACAAGATGGCGACCGCCAGTGGTCCAGTTGAAGTCGACGCTGTGTTTATCAAGGCATTGAAGCTTTTGCATTCTCGACACCCTGACTCTTTAGACCAACTTCGTGCACTTCGAGATGATGTCATTAGACAGCACAACCAACAAGTTCCTGTCACGAAAACTCCCAAGGTACAGTAACATTGCTTTTAATTGCTTGTTGATAGTTGGGACAGATCAGATTTTCAATCCCAAAATTAAGTCAAAGTGAACCGTGATATAACAACCGCGTTTGGTAATCAAATAAGCGATATGAGCAGTGAAGTATCAAAGGTCTTCACACGCCGCTCATTCTCTTTGGGATCACGAGAGAGATATCTTTAGGTTAGGTAAGAAATGGGTATGTTGTGGTTCAATTTTATCCTTGGTTTAAAATTTATTTTCTTTTTTTTTTGGGGGGTATTTACTATAGTAATTTATGATAATGAGTTTTGAACAAAAGAAAAACACAACATATATAGCTCTAGAACCACAGGGATATAACAATGGAGACATGTTCTGCGGTTTGAAAATAAATTGTATTTTTTCTCCTAGGAAAAAACAAAGGAAAAGAAGCTGGGGATTAATTGTGACAGGAGGCCAAGTGCCATAGTGTCAACAGCTGAAGTAAAAGTTAAATTAGCAGAGAAAAAACATGATGCTGATGCCATGCAGATCATCTCTGGTCAGGCCGATCAAAACCGAACTGTTGCAGTGGAGGAATCTAATGTTGAAACACTGGAGATTGGCTCTAGCATGATAGAAACAGTTGAACTTAGCTCAAGCTCCTTCATGGACCACAGTTCAGCAAAGAAACCCAAACTACATTTTGATGTGGAGGATGTTTTGAATGAAGGTGACTTGGACTCCCATAGTACATTGCAGCCCGTGGTAGATGACTTGATGATTGACCTGGGATCTGTCTGCAGTATTTGCTATAGGTGAGCAGTGGTATTTTAAAGTAATGATCTGGGTAAGAAGGGAAGCAATTTCTTTTGTTATTGCACAATACACTTTCCTCACATTGGAATGTTTTCATTTTCACATATAGAATGCATTAACCTACAAAAAGGAAGTCTACGAAATAAAATATAGTTTGACTCTATTTGTTAAAAGATTTCGACCAAGCATAAGACTTGCAAGCAATAGCCAAGAAAAGTTTACAATTTGAAATGTTCCTCACATAGGATTTTTGTGTCACATAGACTCAGATGAGATTTTGTTATAAGGAAGTTGGTTAGAAAACAAGGGATTAATATACATGCTGCTTTCCGGAGCTTTCGTAAAATTTGATGTTTTAACCAATCAGAAGTGTAATAGAGACAATAGTAAGGTTATCACCTTTTTTGCATTCCGACATGTTCATTGCGTTTGGCTCTTTCCTTCTTATCTGGACCATTATTGGTGTCAGAGCAAGCTCTTCCCAGTCAAATCCCTATAATCAGAGCCTCTCCAAAACAACCACCTCCCATAAGCAACCACAACCACTGTTTGGCCTGATGGTTTTATTATTTTCTCTTGTTGTGAACCTCTTGTAAGCAACCACTTGATGCATGATGTGGTCTCTGTTCATTGTATGTACTATGCCACTCAGACTATAGCAAAATAAAAACTTTCAGTGACAACATAGAACCACACCAGCACTTACAGGTAACTTCAAAATTGCATGCAATAAAATGCGGTCAAATCGGGAAAACCGTGAACACCAGAAATATTTCTGGAATGTTATCGTGGTGCAAGAAAAAAGCCAATCAGGTATGAGAAAACTAAACTGCAAGCAAGAACGTGAATTAGTTCGTGGTTTTGTGGCTTGCTTGCATGTCTTGATCTTTGCTGTGATTGGTCGTAACACAATAGACATTCCTGAAATATTTCAAGTATTCGGGATTTTCCCAGTTGCACTGTAATAACAATAATAATGAAAATGATTTTAAAATTTATAGCACATAAATATCCATGTAGATATAATCAAATGTGCGATAAAAATGTATAATTAACTTATGAAATTGTGTAAATAAAGTATTGTGTGCAACAAATGTAGAAATAAAAAAATTATAGAATGGTGTACAGGTGTATGTATGCATTACTAACATAATAAAGTATGTTTGTTAAGTCTTACATCCTGTTCAAAACTAATCCTGATTGTAAGTTAAATTGAAAAAATAAGTCTTAAGTAATGATTTAAAGTTTGTTTAAGTTAGTTTCGCTAGGTATATTGTTATCTTCCACAATTTTGATGTGTCTGGATGTCTTGTCAGATGAGACCGTAAGCAATCACTAAATCTTCACAATTTTGGTGGTCACCTCTGGCAGGCTAGTATGTACTTTTATGAAATTACACTAAATTAGTAGCTTATATTGTTTGATTATTTTGTGCTCCTTTCAGAGAAGAGAGTAAAATTCCGGGTAATCAACTGGTTGAGTGCCATGAGTGCCATTCCCTTTATCATCAGGTAAAACAACATTTAGTTTATAAACTTATAAAAGGTGTAATAATTATTCATTGTGGTATGTGTGTGATAGGCTCATTTATCATGTGTCCCACCTTATTCACTTCGTACGTTTTAGTCTGCATCACAGATGTATCCAACCCTGACTCATAAAGTCTGTGAAACATGGTCCGGGGCCTTGTGATCTGGACCTCCAATGAAGCCAACAAACTTCTGGCAGTGCATTTTGAATTTCCCTTCGAACTGATTGATCAATCAAACAATACTTTTTAACAGGCCAATATGACCATGGCAGGTACTCAAATCCCACTACACAGCTGGGAGCCCAGAACAAGGATTTCGGCCCTGGCTCACAGACAGACTTAACCAGTTATAGTGATAGTTTTGTCTGTGGTACAGGCTTCTTTGTTATTGATCACAACATCTCAAACATCAGCGTAGAAAGAAAGTAGTGTCCAATAGCCCGGGGCTAGTGGATTTTGCTATCGGGCTAGTGATTTTTGTTCTTAACTTGCCCAATGGGCATGTACTGTGTTTTGGGGAAATTCAAGTTACAGAAGAATTGTAATCAATCCTGCTAATCAAAAAGGGTTTTGGGGCTAGTTGAAATGACTTGTGGGCTAGTACATGCTAGCTACAGCTTGCCCAAATTGCAGGCTGTAAAACTGACTTTCTTTGCACCCTGAACATTAATTTATTTTGCTAGTGGTCTTCATCAGGTGATGGCATCAATTTACTACGCAAGACTTTTATTATCGCCGTGGGTCTTGCCAGTGATTGTATCATTACGAGCCTTGTTTATGGTTGGTGGGTTTTGATCCAAAGCAATGTTGTTAACAATGCTTTTATACACTTATTTGTCAGAGATGTCATGAGCCATGTGTGATGGACAGTGAAGTAAACGATCCCAGACATGTTTGGTATTGCAGTCAATGTGTGAGAAGGATGAGGGAAATGGTATGTATGATAAAGTAATTATTTATTTGATCATTGTTTACTGGCATTTAGCATCCCTGTTGAAGACTACCCTGACCTAGAAAACTCCTAGTCTGAAGTGTCACAGACCACTCCCATGGCTTCCCCTTGAAGGACAACAGCAAGGAGACAGCTTACACTTCAGATTAGATCACTTACTGGGCTAGCAGAAATTAGACTGAAACTTTAAGAGTTTTAGGAACCTGTAGTAAATTATGGTCTGTACAAACACAGGGCTCGAACTTGGCCGTGGTCTACTAGCCAAATACCAGTAGATTTTGATTTTTGGCTTGTGGATTTAGCTCATTTACTAGCCATCTTGGCTAGTTAATTTTCGCTCCTGTAAACAACATAAGCCTTGAAATGTTTTCAACATTTTCCCAGTTGATCCACACCTTCTAGTAAGCTCTTATTTCATTCCCCCATTAACAACTGGCATGAATAAAAGAAAGAAAAGTAATTCTACATAAGAATAATATTTGTTAATTTGGTTTTCAGTTTCGCATGTATTCGCTGCCATCTTGAACTTTTGTATGCTGTACAGAAGTGCCTAGACTAGTAGAAACACGTTTATGGCTAGTAAAGCCCGAGCATGTACTAGCCATTTGACTATTAAGTTCAAAAGTTAAGTTCAAGCCCTGCAAATAATCGGAATGATGGCCAGTTCATAGACAGTTTGCTGTCAGCTTATTGTGCTTGTATGTAATCAATTTGCATGATATTCACAGGCAAGTAGTGCATCTCCCAAGTCCCGGCCTGCGGAATCAGCAGTATCAAGTAGACCACATGTACCTCTCAGCAGACCCACCCCAATGACTTCATTCAAGCGGCCATCCATCAGTGAGATAAAGGTATCTTTCGTTAGACTGTGAGCAGTCTTCTTTTCAAAGTTATTCAACATGTAACCCATGCAGGCGAGCGACGAGTCATGATAAACGAGGGCATATGCCCAAGAAGAAAAATAAGGGACTGCTGAATCTTTTGTTTGGTCTTTGGATTTCGAAGCTGTCACAGTCATTTTAGTATCCAATTAAACCCGAGTAACTTGAACCATTTTATATACAGAACATAAACAATTGATAAATTATACTTGTTTTGAATCTTTTAAGATTGCCAGCAGTTTCCTTCTGTTCTTCAAAAGGAAGATATCCTTAAACGTTTTAGCTTATACGTGGCTACTGCTTGGTTTGTCATTGTTCATAGTTAGTTGCGACAGACCTGTCTTCAACTGGTCATGACTATGTTCTCACACCAAACATATACACCCACAGACATGTCAATGATCTGTCAACAGTAGTAAAATTGGCTACTTGTTTCTGGGTTGCCAGAGGGTTTGTTCACTGCATTTCCAGGTCATCTTTTCTTGTCTCATAGCAACAATCCCTTTTCTGTAATGGCATTGTTTCCAAATGCCCTGGCTGGAATAAGAACTCAACAGGTTTTAAAAGAAAAGGCATACTGCAAGCAGTCTATTTTTTTTACATCTCAGTGTTTTGTTTAAAAGCATATTATTGATCCCGTTGGTTTTCTCCTACCCTGGGTACCAGAGGTTTTTCTTCAATATCACTGAATGCCAACCTTTTGAGACAATCTAGAAAAGTCTCTGGCACCCCGGTAGTTTCTGTAACTGTCCCAATGCCAACCTTAATCTAGAGACTGTCTTCGCAGGCTAAAAGAGTGAGATTGTCACTGGGAAATGATATGCAGTTCGCAGAGCAAACACGTGAAAATTTTCAATGTGTACTTTGTTCATTTCAGCCTAGTCCATCCCCAACCACACATCAGTCATTTGCCATCCCAGCTCTCAGTTCAAATACAGCCCTATCTTCATCATCACCAGCAACAAGCAAGCCATCAACAAGCACTGGATCTTCCTCTTCACAGAATGTTGCCATGCAGTCACTAGCTTTGAAAAGGTTACAGATGGTCAAGAAAAAGGCTCAGCAAAGGGTGTTTAATCATCAACAGATTAGGATTCCACGCAGATAAAAACTGAAAAGAACGTTTTTGTGCTCTGTCCTTTTATTTCACAAAATATACATGCTCTGGTTTAATTCTCACATGAGGACACTCTTCAGAACAGAGAATCTGTCAGATTCTATAAATTTCAAAAATCATTCCACACTGCTTGCTATGGGCTAGTTTGATTTTGTCCAGAACTAAGAAAACTGTTTGAAAAAGGACAGTATTTGAATTAGATATTTTACATGTTTTTGTCTAAACTATGCTTTAATAAGCGCCTTAAGTGCCATTGAGCTCATGGAAATGGCGCTATATAAATTCTTGTATTATTGTAAAACAGCAGTAAGCTCGCCAAATGTACAAAATGGCCCTTAAATAAACCCTTGTTCTCCAAGGTGGTAGCAAAAATCATAAAATCAGCAAGTGTTTTTAGAGCACTATGTGACGGTGGTTGGTCCTTATTCCAAAATCCAAGATCCCAAAACGAACATGGAAGATTCCAAAACGATGTTCTGGACAAAGGCTGGAAGCTGGGGTGGAGGAGGAGGATGAGGAGGAGGATGGGGGAGGGCTGGTGAATCAATGGAGAATTAATCTTTACCACATAGAAAAAACAAATCAGACTTGTTTGTCCTCAACTTTATTTGTACATTGACTTTGCGACAGTTCTTGCAGATCATTGTAATAAAATAGGCCACTGATAATAATTAAAATAAGTACTTATTAGTAAATAAAAAGAGTATCAACGGTGAATTAATCATTCTTAATCTTTCTTTCATGATCACTATCTATTACTAATTTACATAACCCCTTTTTTAAACCACAAGGATTTCACTAATAATTATTACAAGACTGCTTTTATCCAAGTTAGTTTGATATCTTGGTATTACAAAAAGCTAAGGTGGCTTTGTTTAACCCTTTCGCTTCCAAGTTGCCAAGGTAAAAAGGACGAAAAGTTAAGTTGAAACAATTTGTCTAATAAGTAGAAGTACTGTTAAGTTTCAAAAGTATCAATGACCCAATAAAAGTAGCGATAAAATTTCTTGGTCTTTAGCAAATCCTTAAAGGGTCTTTGAGTAGCAACCCCATCACAAGTAATGAGGTTTGGAAATAACAAACCTCTAAACTTTTGAATGTAGCCTGCGAAAACATCCATTTCTCCTTGCTCTTCGCCACAGTGGATGGCGAAGAGCGAGAAGAAACGGATGTTTTCGCAGGCAGGTACTATTATTTTTTGGGGTAACTAAATGAGATTTTGGAATTCTTAAGTCAGAGGCTCTTGGTGATGAAGGGTTAAGGCTGGTTAAATTTTGCACCTGTAAAATCTGTTATTTACAATCAGCTACATTTAGTCAGAAATAATTATTACTGTTACAAGTTTTGGCACACATCAATTTAAAACAAAGGGGATTTCTGAAGTGACAGAAATATGTTAACAAGCAGCAGACGAGTTATGGACATGCATAAGAACAAAAAATGCAAAGAGATAATGCAGACAACCTTCATATAAATTATTATTGTCCTAAGTAAAAGCTGAGCCTGGATATTTTAAGGTATAAAACCTACCAACTTCACAGAAGTTTACTGATGAAAGGAAGGAACAAAAGTTAATTTCTTCAAGATAGAAAAGAACATTCCTGCCTTTTTCTGTAAGTTCATGTATTCATTTTGAGGAATAAGTGTGTATCAAAGCAAAATGCTAGTTGCATAATAATGTCACATGTACCCTGACCTCATAGACGATACACACAAAACCTTTACAATAGCAAGATAAAAAGAAAAATATCAATTTCTCATCCATTTGAAATTTTCTATAACATACTTTTTACTACTGTGAACATACATGTTCACCAACTGGTTTAGCATGCAGGGTTCTATTTAAAGACCTTCCTGACTCACTCTTCATAGACATTCTCTTTATGAAGGCCTGGCCTGTCCTTAGACTTTCACATAAAGTGGTCCTGAATGCTTACTGACAAAAATGAGCACAGTTATCAAATCCAATCATGTTAATTTTGCCCGAAACGTTCTGATAAAAAGAACTCCCTTCGTGCAAAATGAGATCTTTGAATAGGGCTATTAAAAACAGTAATAATATTCGCCACAGAAATCTGCTGATGCGGCATTGTTGAACACTTAACACTTCCCATTAGAATGACCTTCTGAACTGACTTTCCACTTTCAAAAGCATTAACCCTTTAACTCTAAGAGTGAACAATGGAGTCCTGTAACATGGTTCAAACTTTTAAATCGGTGAACAAAATCCTATGGTGTGACCATTCAAATGAAAGCTCTACAGCAGGACTTTTCATTTAGCACTGTTTGTTTTTCAGCATCTTGCATTAGTGAAATTTGAAGTTTTTGTCTATGTTTTAACTTTGGCTCGCCTAGTCCCTAGGCCTTATTATTCCCCATTTTTTTTTACTGAGAAGGCCTGGGAAAATGTCGTATGGGGAACAGGCAAAATTTGGACCACTTCGGGGATTGAAAGGGTCAAAACAAAACCTGAGTTTAACTATTAAACAGATTAGTTCCATTGTGTGTTTCCTAGTGTGAGGTCACAAGTGGCTTAAATTAGAATAAAACGCTCAAAACTGAAAGTCAAGGTTCTTCTCAACTGCTGCACCGCATTTCTATAACATAAAAATTTAATTTATAAATTTCATCCACAATATGAAGGAGCAATATGAGAAAATGTACAATGTATAGACAACAAAACATATTTCATACAAAAAAATAATGATTGGAGACTTTAGCTTAGGGCATCAACACAGTTAAGTGCATTAGTCATTCGACTGCACTTACACACTCTCTCACTGGTTTTGATCTTTGTAAAGTTCTATATTACCCTACTATTTAAAACATCTTCTCATGGTTTTGCTTTTTTGTTAAAAACTGCAACTTACAATGATATTATTGAATGGTCACTTTAAAAAACAACTAGGCCAAGTGGAATATCTGGAACCTCATTGATATCACTGCCCATGTTAAGTACAAGCACATTTATTAATCACACTACCATGGGGAATTAGATGCTAAGACAATTTTATGCACAATATTCATATCTATCAGAGATAAACTTAAGTGATTACTGCAGCTTTGCTATAATAGTATGCAAAATCTAAAGAACTACACTCACAATGCCTTGCATATTTCTATGGTACTGAAGACTGGTGAAGAACCAGAAGTCGTGAGAAATCCTGCATTAACAGCAGAACTCTGTGCCTGCCCTTAATTGGGTTATATGCTTCAAATCCATGTATCCTTTTCAACTGGCTCCTCTTAAATTAAAAAATCTACTCCGTTTCACATTAAACAGCTGCCATAGCTAAGATGCTAACAGTGCGGACTGTAAACAGATAAAACCAGTTATTTATAATACTCTGGAAAGCACATTTTTATATTGATCATACATCCGATGAAGGCACCATTCCTGCCTGACTCATCATTCCTCTGTATGGGCCCTGGATTCTGAGGTACTGTCAAATAAGAAAAGTTTACTTTGAATGCTTTTAAGGCACAGCCATTAAATTTTATGCAAGGCGTGATAAAATTTTGGGGCCTCGTTTTCAGGCCCCAAAATTTTCTCATGCCCTTGAGTAAAAATTTCACAGCTGTGCCCTTTGCCTCTTATAAATATGGCCAGACCTTCAGTGTTTGTGGCCATCATTTTCTAAGTCACAAGTTATGGCTTAAATACAGGCGTTTAGTGTTTGTTCGTAAAACTCCCTGAAGAAAATTATGTTAGGTAGACAAAATGCATAGGAGAAGAAAAAAGTTTACTAATTTTATAGCTACTGTTTGCAGAGTGCTGCTCACTACTTAAGTATCAAAAAGAAAAAAAAGATTAAAAATTAAAAAAGAAAATAGAGTACTTAGGTAGAGGTCAAGAAAGGCTTGCATTGTACCTTCCTAGTCCTCTTTTTAGGTGGATGCACCCTTGTAAAGTGTAAAATTATTGACTATTTATTTAATAGTAATAATAATAATAATAATAATAATAATATTAATAGTAAAGCTAAATTAAATATTCACTAGAATGACAGTGAGCATAAAATTAATGACAGTGTTAGAATCACTTATACCTGAATGACTAATGAAGGACCACCATTTACGACTTCAATAGGAAAACTGCCAAGAGGACAATTCTCTATACTCATAATCTGTAGTGCACTGCAGAGGGCCAGCTCATAAGGAAGCACTTGAAGACTGTCATTATCATTAAGGTACAGCTGCTCTAAAGATTCCATTTTACCTGCAACAAAAAGTGGTTTACTGTGAGTTTCAGCCATAATGTGTTTATTTTCTGCAAAGTTTGAAATGAGTTACCAAGACATCTGCTAGTACCTCACATGAAAACTAGGCAGGTATTTTATGAATTTGCCTTTTTGATCACTGAGAGCGTGGTTTTTAATAATCACTTGAACTTTTATTGCTATGTTACGAGTTTTTCTCTAAGCCTTCAACAATTAACAATATTCCCCTTTGTACAGTAAGGAATGCATTATGGGATACCAGTACTCTTTAAGTTGGAATAAATTCTCTACTACTTTTCACTGAATAACACTGTATTAAAGCCATGCCCTATCAATAATTATGAGACCAACTTAAGCTATGAAATCTTGGGTACCAAGTGCTTTTTTATGTACTCAAGTGTTTTTCAAAAACTAAAAATTTAATTCCTGGTACCCCAAAGATAAAATAAAAGGTAAGTTGACAAGTGCCACCAAACTCCATCAAAGCACAGCCCTGTACAAGACCAATAACTAGACCAATACTAGAAAAATCATTCAAATGCATGCAGGGTCTCCATGTTCTAAGTCACAGTCAGTCATACTCTTGCTCTTTATGCTAAGTATTTTTCATACCTATTTCATCTGGAAGTTCTGTGAGATCATTTTCACCTACGCTCAAATACTGAACGTTTGTAAGGTAACTGGAAAAGAAAGCAAGTATGGCATAATTAATATCATAAACAGTTGAATCCTCATTTTTAAACAACCTTGGGAAAGGCAATTTGTTTTCAATTGTCACGAGGTTTGAAAAATCAGGGGAAAAATTAAAGTGTTTGCCCGATGAAGGAAGCTTGGTTAGGTTCAAATTATCAGGAATTTCAAAAACCAAGGGTTAGAGAGATCAGTGTTTTACTGTAACACCTTTAAAAGCAAAATATCAAGGAGAAAAACTGATACCCAAAGTTAGCTTGGAAATGTGAGAAGTAAATAAAAATTTAATCAATGCTGAAAACATTTCACATTCCTCACAACATAAACACAGCAAAAACATGGAAACAATATATTTATTCTATTAGGATGTCACATGTCCTTACAGTGTATATCTCCAGCTCTAGCTCATACTTCAAGGAGGCCTAATCTCTCACAAGCTCCTATAATTTCCGTTACCCGGTAGGTCTCCTCGCCACTTCTTTTTTTCTACTTTTCCTATATTTTTTTTAATTATTGTGTGGCAAATAAAATAAAATAAAACTAACTAAATAAAAATGTTACATAATGCATCAGAAAAACATGGGGAGCTAAAAATCACCACTTGAACAGTCTCTCTTTTTCATTCAGTGTTCATGAATTTGCAGGGACTTACCCTATTGATTTTGGAAGAGTGGTGAGGTTATTTGACTGCAAAACTAATCGTTCTAGATTCCTCAGATATGCTGAGAAGAAAAAAAATGAAATGCATTGATTACACACTTAATTGCAAATTAATTGATAGGACCATGATAAGCACAACAACAAAAACAGCAACAAAAAAAAAACAAAAAACAAACAAAATGGAGACAAATTTACCAATTTCATTGGGTAGTAGTTCTAGCCTGTTTTCCTCAAGGTCCAGTACTCTGAGTTTCTTCAGTTCACCCACTCCACGTGGAAGTCTCTATCATTGATCAGAAAATAAATTAACCTTAACTGATAAATACTGTATACAGTCTGCCATTGACCTGTCATCCACAAATGACACAGTCTACAGTTTCCAGATTTTAATTTATTAATAAACTGTGTGTTACAATCCACTTTTTCACCAACAGATCTTATTACAGCCATCCTCTTTTAAAGTCAACTGCTATAATCTTACAGGATGCTCGGTCAGTGCTTTTAAAAACTGAACTTTTGTGACATTCGAGTAATAGTTCTGTTACAATCATACCTGATCATACCAGGTGGTCATTTACAAGAAACAGAAAACAAAAGAATATGTCAAATTTATGGTTTAAAAGTTTAAGCAGTGGTCTTTTATGAGAGAGGTTTTAAAACAGTATTTGACTGAGAAACAAAATGGTTATTTTCATAGTGGTTGCTCATCTGAGGTGGTCGCCACAAATGTCCAGTGCTGGCCACAAGATCCCTACTTTCCTTTTTCATCCTTAGTTCCACACTTCTCAGAGGTGTGGAATTGTGGAAAAGTCTGACAAAGTCAGGATAAAGTCACACTTTTCCCACAGGCACTAACCCCTTGTCATTCTTTACTTAGTTCCACACTTCTCAGAGGTGTGGAAGTGTGGAAAAGTCCGACAAAGTAAGGATATTGTCGCACTTTTCCCCCAGTCATGAACCCTTTGTAATTCTTTACTTAGTTCTACACTTCTCAGAGGTGTGGAAGTGTGGAATACTCCGACAAAGTAAGGATAATGTCACACTTTTCCCACAGGCACTAACCCCTTGTCATCCTTTACTTAGTTCTACACTTCTCAGAGGTCTGGAAGTGTGGAAAAGTCCGACAAAGTAAGGATATTGTCGCACTTTTCCCCCAGTCATGAACCCTTTGTCATTCTTTACTTAGTTCTACACTTCTCAGAGGTGTGGAAGTGTGGAATACTCCGACAAAGTAAGGATAATGTCACACTTTTCCCCCTGTTAAGAACCCCTTGTCATTCTTTACTTAGTTCTACACTTCTCAGAGGTCTGGAAGTGTGGAAAAGTCTGACAAAGTAAGGATATTGTCGCACCTTTCCCCCAGTCTTGAACCCTTTGTCATTCTTTACTTAGTTCTACACCTCTCAGACGTGTGGAAGTGTGGAATAGTCCGACAAAGTAAGGATATTGTCGCACTTTCCCCCCAGTCACGAATCCCTTGACATTCTTTCCTTAGTTACACTCCTATGTATGAAATGAGAATAAAGCACAGTGGGAGTATTTGTTGGTTTTATTCCTGAAACTCGTTTTACATCTTTTTAAATACTATTTTTAAGTTTAGAAAACAATTCTGTGACTAGAAGATATTAGCCTTGTTTCACTGTTATCTGTTTGAATACCCGACCTTCAAACAAGCCTACGTTTTCTCTGTCACGAAGTTCCCGTCAGTCCTTTATCTTCATTTATTTATTTATTTATTTTTCAACGGAAACTCCAACAACGTCATCTCATCTATGGATTTTTAATGTGCCATATATGAGACATCTTATTCTGGGTTTTTCTCCCTCCTATAGTTTTATCCAGCTAACTAAATGCTGTACCCAATTCAAACCCTTTGGGTATAAATCGTTTTGTTTTAGGAATTTCCATATCATTTAAATGTGAATGCCACATTATAACGCAAATACAATACACAAATAATCTTTACCCCGGGAGCTTTCAATTGGGTACAACTTTGAGTTAGTGGAGTCAGGTCTCTTAAGATCGTGGCTGTCAAAATATGCAAAAATGACAAGGAAAATGAACAGAGGGCACTTCGTCTTTTTCATAATTTATGTTCTGCATTTACATAACCTTATAGAAGAGGAAAAACTACGAAACAGTGGATACATGGCGTGATCTAACAATGATCAAATTTGAACCCGTACTGATAAGGAAGAAAGGTTGGTTGGAGATCGGATTTCTTAACTTTAAGTTTCTTTCAACGGCTGGCATTGAAACAATGGTTATATCTGCTATTCAAAATAAAAATACTTCTTAAGGAAAAATGTAAAAAACCATACAGAAATAAAACCAAGTGCTCATAAAGCGCACTGAGCTTCTCGTGACTCAGGGAAAGTGCGACATTAAACTCAACTTGTCAGACTATTCTACCCTTCCACACCTCCGAGAAGTGTGGAACTAAGTAAAGAATGACAAGGTGTTCTTAACAGGGGGAAAAGTGCGACAATATCCTTACTTTGTCAGACTTTTCCACAGTTCCACACCTCTGAGAAGTGTGGAACAAGGTAAAGAATGACAAGGGGTTCATGACTGGGGGAAAAGTGCGACAATATCCTTAGTTTGTCACACTATTCCACACTTCAAGATCTCTGAGAAGGGTGGAACAAAGTAAAGAATGACAAAGGGTTCATGACTGGGGGAAAACTGCGACAATATCCTTACTTTGTCGGACTATTCCACACTTCCAGACCTCTGGGAAATGTAGAACTAAGTAAAGAATGACAAAGGGTTCATGACTGGGGGAAAAGTGCGACAATATCCTTACTTTGTTGGACTATTCCACACTTCCACACCTCTGGGAAATGTAGAACTAAGTAAAGAATGACAAAGGGTTCATGACTGGGGGAAAAGTGCGACAATATCCATACTTTGTCAGACTTTTCCACACTTCCACACCTCTGAGAAGCGTGGAACTAAGTAAAGAATTACAAAGGGTTCAAGACTGGGGGAAAACTGCGACAATATCCATACTTTGTCAGACTTTTCCACACTTCCAAACCTCTGAGAAGTGTAGAACTAAGTAAAGAATGAAAAAGGGTTCATGACTGGGGGGAAAGTGCGACAATATCCTTACTTTGTCAGACTTTTCCACACTTCCACACCTCTGAGAAGTGTAGAACTAAGTAAAGAATGACAAAGGGTTCATGACTGGGGGAAAGTGCGACAATATCCTTACTTTGTCAGACTACTCCACACTTCCACACCTCTGAGAAGAGTGGAACTAAGTAAGAAGTGAAGAAACTCTGGATTTCATGGCCAGGGCTGGACATGGCTCGTGGTCGCTTATGAGAAGTGGTTGCTATGAGAGAGTTGACTGTCATATAAAACTGTCAGCTTGTTCTGACTGAGGGCCTTAGCATTTTTATATCCTGTGAGCATAAAATAAGAATACTACCTATGTACAATGGTTTCTGCTCTACGTTAAAAATAACAATATTAGCAACTTAAAGTACGACTTACCCTAAGTAAATTGTTACTAAGAATCAAAACTTCTAAGTTTGTAAGCCACTGGATATCCTCTGCAACAACAACAACAAAAATTCTGCTACATGTAGATATAAGAAATATATAATCTAGAACATCATCAATAAATTGACTGTAATGATTCCTTATTTTGTTAGGAATATAGGATAATACCTAAGACATCACTATTAAACTTAAATTCCATCCTACAAATTAGTCACCACATTAATGACTACACCTAACTTGATAACCCTGTAGATATTCCAAATTTTTTAAACATAAATCTGTTATAGCAATGAGCACTGAGACATTCTCCATGTTTCACAAATTAATAGATCTGCACATGTTTTATAAAACAAGTTGCTTATTGCTCTCTTGGAGTACAGGCAGTTGAATATACCTACTCAATAAAGGTTGCACTGGAAATGGGTTATCGGCAATTTGGGCTAACAGAACTCACTGCTGTGATTCGATTGAATGACTGCCAAAACGCAGCTTTCCAAGGTGCAATTGTCCGATGTCCAAAGCAACTTCATCAGTTCAAGTGTTAAATGGTTCTTTCTGGTGTGTCCTTAGTTTACTTTAAAGCATCTATTACTAAGGAAATAGGTTTGAATCATTACCAGGAAGTCTTGACAGCTGGTTAGTTCCTAAGTTTAGCTCAACCAAGCTGACCCAACTACCAAAGTCTGAAAAAAATTAATTATAAGAAAAGCAGTTGTGAACAGGATTTTTTCATCCAAGAGGAAAGTATCAGTAATGAACTGACCTTCCACAGCACAAAAAAGTGTTAAGTTCTTACCAAGCGGAAGAGCAGCAATCCGATTTTCCTTCATGTTAAGCTTAGTCTAAAAAAATAAAATATAGTATGTTAAACTCTGTGCAAGACAGATAAAAAATTACAACGTAAAATGCAATATACAAAATTAAAATGGTAAACTGGTAGCATAAATTCTGAATCAAATTGGAATTAAGACCAACAACAATAATCACTGATTGAAGTCAGTGGTAGATCAAAAATGAGAATAATGTAGAATGTTCTTTAGTGTACTGGCTACTACTACTGTCCCTTTAATAGTAATAATAATAATAATAATGATAATAATAATAATAATAATAATATAATAAAAATAATAATAATAATAATAATGGATCTTTATTTCACACACTATAAAGATACATATCCTATGTTACATACAAATGTTTATGAATACTGCAAAACATAAAATAAATAAACTAATCATAGAATGTTAACTATCCTGTACTAAGGTTGTGTTTAAATATTAGTCTGTTTACAAAGGCAGACATGAAACCTTCCTGAAGTAATAGTTTTAGGATGGGCACATTGTTTGTTACGGAGATTATAAGAACAAACTCTCTTTGTAGGAATATATGGACCTAGTGGGTATTATTATTATAGAAGTTACTTTCTTAAAAATTTTACAGTCTTGCTTCTTTAATAGATCCTTAATTGAAACAGGGTAAGAAATAAAATGGCGTTTATGACATCTATCTAAAAAGTTCTGTATAATATTAAGATCAGGTTCAGAAGCTCCATATACGGGTAAACCGTAAACAAAATTAGGCAAAACTAAGGAAGTGAACAAGTGATACAAGTGATACTTGATATCCTTTCTTACTGACCTCTCCATTATTTGGAGAACCCAATTTACCTTGCATTTATGCAGTGAAAATAGATTATTTTAAATTAATTGGAGTTTTTTTATTTTGAAGGAGGATTTTTACCAACACCTTGTTTGAGCAATGCAAGTATTGAAGCGGCTGTTTGTGCAAAACTCACCATCGCTTTAGCTTTGGAAAACGCTCCAAAAGGAATTTTTTGAACCTTGTTGTGTTCCATTATAAACGTCTAAAAATGAACAAATACACTACGGTTTTAAATAGCTTCACTCAAAATATTGAAATAATAATTTTAAAATGAAGGTTGAACATACACACAAATAGAGATGCTAGAGACATTTCACAAGAGGGGCGACGTCTGGGCCTCAACAAAAAGAAATTCCATACTGATGAAGTAAAATCTGTCCAGAATCTGGTCAGGAGCTCTAATTGGTCAAGGTAGCAATAACATTGTTTATGAATGATAAACAAAAGACAAATGTCTCAAGGGTCTAAGGTTAATGTTAATGTTGGTGATGATGAATCTACTATGATGCAGTCATTATTTGTGGAATACCAGTATACTCTTCTTCAGAAGGAGCATTTGAGTTTTGCTGCAGCTTGTTCGCAGAAGAACTCAAAACTTTACTGTAACAGATCAGAAGAAACATTAACTTAAACAAATTTATGTTTGGAACCCTATGACCATCAGATTAATTATTAACGAAACACTGTTTTACTTCATCAGTATGGAATTTCTGTCATTGAGCAGGATGCAAAGAAAGTCATTTTTACAGCTTGCCATTCCAGCAAGCTGAAGCTGGCATTTACTAGCTCAAACGTCATTTCAACTAGCCCCCAACATTTTCTGAGGAGTAGAATTGATTTCATAGATCTTCTGTGAGTTGCATTCCTCAAAATACTTCACTTGCCCATCGGGGAAAGTTAAGAACAGAATTCACTAGCCCGATAGCAAAATCCACTAGCCCCGGGCTATCGGACACTACTTTCTTTGCACACTGTTGAGGCATCGATGTCTCTCCTGTGAAATGTTCCTTGTGGTGAGGAGCAAGGAGAGCAGGTTTTATAATTTGCAGGCTTGCACTTTGGCAGTCCTTGCAACATCTACGTGTACAGCTGCACCTGATAATGATGTTGTGAGAAAAGAAGAATGACTGAATGTTTTGTTGCTGTCATCATAGAAAGTCTTATTGAAACTCCCTAGTAAATAACAACAACAATGTAATCTTGTACCTGGACTGAAGCAAACTGCTTAGGTGGTCCAGTAGGAAAGTGTTCAAAGTTGTTCCTTGATAGTGTGACATTGTTTAACATTTTCAAACAGTGAAGCAGATTATCCTTCAAGAAAACAAAAAACAATAATAATTACCTTTTTAACCTCAATAGCATTAAAATTTATGTCACTGGAAGTTACAACATTAAGGATAACTGAACTTGGAGAATAATTTTGGATATGACAATGGGACCAAAATAATATTACAGCGAAATACAAGGGAAAAAAGGTTTGATGCTGAGAAATTAATAATAAGGCACAACTTTTGCAGATATGAAAGAAAAGCCAGAAAAATAAAAGTACTTACTGGCAGCTCAGAGACATTGTTTCCCTCAATATTAAACTCATCGATTTTTGTGCAATTTGCTAGAGAAGCTGGGATGGAGGATAGCTGATTGTATCTATGAAGGTAAACAACGATAAACAACACAGTTTATTAAAGCAAATTGCCAACCTGAAAAGCCTGTATCTGGTGCCTTATTGTTACTTAATTTTGTGGGTATTTTGTGGAATTCTATTTTTGCGACTTAAATAAGGTCTTTGAAGTTTGTGATTCAAGCATTCTCAACTTCACATTATTTTTCAAAATGTCTGAACTTTTAAAAATTTCTAGAAAAACTGGAACAAGGAAAATGCACATTTGTTTTTTTGCACAATCTAGCGATTCAGATGAAGATAATACCTAGATTCTCCAATCCACAAGTGAAATCTTTGAAAATTAATGTTATTTCACAACAGAAGGTACAAAATGGAGTGAAATCTGTTAATAATGTGGGTATTTGTCAATATATATCCTGTAAATGTTGTTGTTATATATGTTAATCATTTTTTCAGTGATTTGAATTTTCTATATATACAGGGTATTAACTTTCGTGAGGATTTTTATTTGCGGGTCTTTAATTAATTTCACGATTTTTTGACAATTGCATAAAGACTGAAATCAAAGACCCGCAAAATTAAGTACCAGTAAGGTAATATTTAACACCTTGTGGAGCAAAGTTTTCGACAAGAAAAAAAAATGTAATTATAAGATTCACCTGAGTCCCAGTCTCGTCATTTCTGTTAGGTTACCTATTGTGTCTGGTATTTCAGGAATGTCGTTGTGTTGAAGATCAAGTGATGTCATTTGCACACAGTTTCCAATATCTGCACACAGGAAAGGTCAACATTAATTTTATGTCCCCCAAATTAAAACAGATACATTTAACTTAAGGTCATTTGCAAAACAAATACTTGGAGCACAAGGTTATCCATGGGGCAAAAACATAATTTTCAAAAAAATTGAGGTCCTGCATGACATGGGACGTTGTGGTTCAATGTGATCTTTGGTCTAAATGTTATTTTTCTTTGTTTTTTGGGTAAGGCTGTACATGTCTCATAACATTTAATCATGATATTGACGTGACAGACTGTTCACACCTGTGAATTCATCATTTGTGGCCTTCACTTTGGATTTAAGTCCATCAATAAACCTGAGGAAAATTATCAAAACTTTTTTTCCTTCCATATAACACCAGACATACCTCTAGGTATACTTGCAATATTGTTGTGTGAAACATCAAGAGTGACAAGATGAACTAGCTGACCTAAAGATGACAAACATGATTTTAAAACACTCGTTTCAATGCACTAAACCCTGGTTACTTGAACTCACTACAATACAGGTGTGAGGCTAGAATGCAACTGTATTGTCTCCTTTTGTGTCTTCTCACCTCAGACCAAAAATAAATCATTTACAGCTCAGCTGTTGCTGCAAGAGAATAAAATACTGGGAAAATATTCCACCTGTTTTGGGGAGGAGGGGAGGGGTGAAGGTGGGGGTGGGGTGGAAGGGCTCATTATAACTGGAAAAGCTAATAAATTATTTAAAAAGTTGGCAATCATCTCAACCTAACAGTCCAATGTGTTCTCTCTGAATGCACATGTATGTATGGTACAAAGTAACATGAAATTTTATTATGTTTGCATTTGCTACAGAATGTCCACCAAAGAGGTCATTCCTACCTATTACAGCTGGTAAATCTTTAATCTTGTTTTCTCTAAGGCTTAATCTTTCAAGTAACTGGAATTGCAACAAAACAGGTTATCAATAATAAATTATTATATTACTTTGCACAACTAAATGATATAAGGCCACTTAAGCATTTGTGTTGTCATTATAATTTCACCTTCTGAAGCCCTTACATGTGATTAATATTATGTGTTCACTATTTGAGCCATGGCAGATAGTCAACTTAATAAAACCATGATAAACAAAGATAATCATTGCTTTTTAGCTTGAGGCTTCGTGTTTGTGTTATTGTGTTCTTCCATGAAATTCATGAAAAAGAAAACTAGCAGTGTTTTTCCTGCCTTCTGTCACGCCACTTTACACCATGCTTTCATCTCGTGCAGTAACGTATCCCAAGCAGGGTACATTGCCTAATGTATCACAATCGGGATACATTTGATTTTAGTGGAGGCTACTTAACCAAGACTAAACCAATGGTAGTCCCTGTTTAGTTGAGTGAAAGTCTAGGAATATAACAATACTTATTAAAAATTATTATTGGACAATAACCATTAGAATCTTTTCCTCAAGTTTGCTTTAGTTTAGCAGATTAAACCAAAGATACAGGTAATAACAATTACTCTGGCTTACCCGCAAGTTCCCAATTTCAGGTTCCACAGCATTGATTCTATTAAATCTTAAGTAAAGAGTTGTTAGTGATGTAAGTCGATATACCACTGGAGGAATCTGCAAAGAAAATACATCAAATCAGCTTTAGTTATAGCCTGCACTGTCAAACACATTTCCGAGACACATTTTCTTAGCCCCGATTTCCTGAATATTCTGATAACATTTTGGGAATGGAAAGGCATGTTGGGGTTTAATCCTGTTACTCCTAGAGGGGAAATTATACTGTTATTAAAGGGCCTCGATGGGGCCGTCAAACAGCCTAAAATTTAACTGTCAACCATTAAAAAAGGTTATATTTTACCCTCAACCGTCATAAATGCAGATTAATATTAACTGTCAAAAACTCTTAGGGTATCTCAAATTTCACTATTTCAGCTGATTTTCACAGACTTCGGGCTCCTAAAGAATATCTAACCTGAAAAAAATTAGTTCCTATATTGTCAAAAACACACTCTCTAGACATTACAAGACTTTACAACTTACTTATGTACGAAAATATTTAAAAATCTTAAAAGTGAAAGGCCAAGACAACCTCCAAGACCCAAAAGTTAATACTGATTTTACTTTAATTATTGGACTAAATTTCTACTTACTAACGGTCAACTGTCAAAAGCTCTAAAACTTAACTGTCAACCGTCAAAATTGGAAAAAACTCAATGACAACTGTCAAAAGTACCACCTCACTGAGACCCTCTTGTTACAAAGACACCTCTTTTGAGTTTGCAAAATGTAATCCTTAAGCATTGATTGGACAAATTTAACTTCATCCCCCAACCCCATTTATATCAGGACAAGGGCATACATTTGGGAGGATCCAGGGGGTTGACCTGAAAGCCCCCTTTTTCTCTTAGTATAATGACAAAAGGTTGTGCTCTAAGAAAAATTTAAGGGAGCCCAGTGCTCTGAACGTGTGAAATCCAGAGCACGCAACATATGATTTGCATGAAAATAGTAAGATTTTCTAGTAGCCCAAGAGCAAAAGTTAGGCGCCACAGGCCACCGGGCTCTGCTAGAGTACAGGCCTGTGGCAATAATGACATTTCACAATTGAGTGATGCCCGTTTCTCAGTGAATTTCTGTTGACAGATTGAGAGATGAGAACTCCACCAAGAACCAGCAGTCATGAAAATGTTCTCCTACAGTCATATGATGAGTTCATATGCCTTCTGAAATTGCTGTAAAACTGAACTTTCTTGAGTGACTAATTTCGGTCAAGTTGGTAGCCCCACCCGCCTCTGATAGATTCGGATTTAGAAAAAATACTATTGGCTTTTAATCTTGAAAGTTACTAACATTTTTAAGATTTGGGCCTCAAGTGTCTTATCCAAATTTGTTTTTTGAACCCAATTTATTTTCATAGTCTTGTCATTCCTACAATGCTATAAAAATGGCTAATTAATAACCCATGGCACAAGTTTTTAAAATTCTCAAAGCTGATTTAAGGAATTCAATATTGTAATATTATACCTCCTTCATCTTGTTGTGTCTCAAGTCAAGTAATTTTAGGTTCTTTAACTTTACCAGGGTATCTGCCAAAAACATTAAAACTATTTAATAAAATAAAAAAACGGGAAAAATCCATTAGTCGTACCGGAAGAAATAAACAACATACATTGACAACAATGACCTTATTTGGACAACTTTTCTTGTTTCACACTTATAATGATTGAAGCTGGTCAGAGTCATTTTATATTGTCCTATACAAAAACCTCTCTAAGCCACTGAGCCAGGAATACATAATCATCTTTGGGCACTGCAGCATTAATGGAATTTACCACCAAATCCATGATTACCACACTTTTACATAGTCCTGTGGAACTATACAATAATAGCACAATATTCTACAATTACCTGGTAAGTCAATCAAGTTATTCTCATTTAATGCCAGTTTTTCTAAGTTTTTCAGCATCCCAACTTCTGGAGGAAGAGTTGCAATTTTGTTACCATAGAGATAAAGCTCCTTTAGCTGGGTTAGCTGAAAACATAAAAAAGGATAAATTTTAAACATGAATGTCTTTATCAGAGATATTTCCTCTGAGACCCTGTCCAAATGGTGGATTGGTGCAGAACATTTTCCATTTCATACAGGGTTGTCAAAAGTAGCCAGCTGCCAGCAAAAACCGCCGCCTACTTAGTTAGTATCGTCTGCGTTTTTTAAATAAAATACAGTCGACTCCCGATAATTCAAACCTTCAAGGGAAATTGAAAAAAGTTTGAGTTAACGGGAGTTTGAAGCAAATAACCGGAAGTAAGGAAATAAGCAAATGGATAGGGAGGGGAATGAGGGAATGCAATTAAGCCACAAAGTAAACAGAGATGGACGCTGAATTTGAACTGGAGTGACAAAAAAGTAACGACAAAGAATTGACTCGGTTCTTTTAAAATAAATTCAATGTTTCGGACTTCAGTACACGGTTTTCCTCCCAACTTGTCACGCGCTTATTATAACATGGTTCAAGTTATTGAGGGAAAAATTGTACAGAAATGATTTGAACAGAAACAAAAATTACTTCGAGTTAGCGGGAGGTTCGAGTTATAGAGGGTTCGAGTTACCGAGGGTAAAATTACAGTAAATGTAAGAAGGGAATCCAGGGGAAATCGACTTTGGTTCGAGTTAGTGCTAGGTTCAAGTTATCGGGAGTCAACTGTATCCCTGGACTGGCCGCTTACTTTGACAACTCAGCCGTCTACTTCAAAACTTTCTGACAACCCTGTTCATATCCACACTAATGTTATAACTTAATGCCTTAAATACTGTCAGTATAAGACGTAGTGGCAAAACGGATAATTCTCTCAACTAATTCTTTAAAAAAAGGTATGGAGAGTAGTGTGGAAAATTTGAATGTGGATATTTGGGCTCATAAGGTTGAAGCTGAAGACAATACAACTTCCATAGCAAGTTCAGGGAGGCTGATTGTCACTAATACCATCTCACTAAAAACAAAAAAGGCCAAAATTGCAAACATGTTTAATTACAGACAAACCCTGTTAATACGGTCACTGGGGGGGGGTATTGAGATTGTCCATATCAACTGGGTGTATTTTGGGGAAAAAGTAAGGCCTTTCTTTCCCTATGGACACATGCAGCAACCTGTTCGTAATAACAAGTTGTCTGTATTAAGCAGGTGTTCGTAAAACCGTGTGAGACTCTACAGCCTTACAATAACTGATCAAGGTTTGAGTGACAGTGCCCTAATGAACAAAGATTTATTTAGAGAATTCAATAATATTGAAAACTTAAGTATCAACTCTCTAATAATAGCATGTGTTATAGCAGGATATTTTATTCAATCATTACATTTTTAATTAGAAAATACTTGTAGAAGTTACAGTGTAACTAGAACAACCCATACCTCTTTGAGTTCTTTGGGTAGTGCTGTCACCTAGAGAATGGAAAAATTGGAGTAAATTATGACATTGAGTGTTTGACTAGACCCCATAAAGGACGAGGTAATGGAAGTTAGTTTGTTTGGTAAAACAAGCAATCTCTGATTGGTTCAATGAGAGAGATTGTGTGAACAAGTGACTAAGGGATAAAGGCTAATTATGGATGCACAAAAGCAAAGTAAAGTGGAATAAAGGCTCAGGTATCTACTTTGTTTATTTCTGGATTAAAGGATTTTAATGCTGTGGTAATGAGACAAAGCAAGATTGGGAGCTTTTTAATGTTCGGTTGGGCTTATTAAATAGTCATAACTCTAGTGCTACTAACTTTGCAGCAAGTGTAATGACAGAAAAGCAGTCAACAGTTAAACAAACTCATCTTTGCTGGCTTTCAAAAATAAGGGCTGAACCAAAGATAAAACAAAACCACAAAATACACATTACTGGCTGAAGAAGAGTAGGATTACTCTGCTTTATATAACCCAATACCAAAATAAGCTACTATTTTTGCATCAACAACAGATTATCATAATCGATCATCCATCAAAAAACCTACTCAATTACCACAGAAAATAAATAAAAATTATTATTGGAAAATGAAAGTATTGAAAATTGTCAGTTGTCTTTTAAATGGAGTCATAATGCAACTGTAATCCATTGATGGCCTTTTGCTATACATTTCTTGTAGGTTCTAAAACACAGGGAGACGGCACTGCGTCATTTTCATAGTCATCCACATAAACAATATTTTTTTTGACTTGCACAAAGGGGAAAAACAAAAAAATGGAATTCAGATAACAAGATTTTCTGATTGTAACTGATGATTGTTCAGTTAATTTAATCTATTGATGATAAAATCAAAGCTGACCCTTAACATGATAAAGAATGGACTTCTTACTCAAGAGACCAATGCAGAGGCCATAAATGTTGGTTCCAGAATCTTGGTAATCAGATTCTCAAGCCCAGAGCTGTCATGACCCAGGGATTTTCCCCTGGCTACAATGACCCCACCCCTCCACCCCAACTTTCACAGAAAACAAAAGCAAAATACAACCAAAAGATCTTCCTTCATGTAGCTATTCAATGCCCCGCCATCTACTAATCACATATACCCAAGAACTTGAAATCTTAGAGACAGCCCTGCATGTCCCAAGGGTCCCAAGGAAGTTTTATGGGATTATTTTGGAATGGAACTTGGCATATTTTTAAGCAAGGGATTAGAATATAATTATGTAAAAGAGACACTTAGAAAATTATGGAAAAAACATGATATTTGGCATTTTACCATGTATGATTCTGTGGAATTTATTAACATCATTTTCAAGAACCAAGATCCATTAGGAGAAGTCAGCAGCACTTTCTTAAATGCTTAAAATATCCTTTAATTTGACAATACTGTAACCCAAAATGCTCAACCCTGTCATTCTATTACTCTTCCTATCCAATTATCTCCCACTAAATACCCAAACATAAGAGAATCTAAACTCTTCTAGACTTTTAATGACACTTCTTACAACTTAAGTTCCAAATCAGGAGTAGCTTATAAAAGCAGATAGGGATAATGGTTTGAGAAAAAACTTCTGGTTGCCGTTTGGGTGACAGGATGGGAGGACTCTACATGGGGAAGCCTCTGTTCCAACTACAGAATCACAGAAATTTAATGGAAATCAAGAACCTGTTCGTGAGAAGCAGCTCACAAGATCAATGCTCCCGACATCACAATGAAGATCTATAATGATCTTAAAGGAGCCATGTCACCAGAATATTACTGTTTGAGGTCAATTCTCTGGTTAAGTCGATACTTAATGCCTTTACACATAGACAAAATGCTTCTGCAGAGTTCGTTATTTACGAAGACAATATCAAGCAAATTTCATCAAGGAGCCCAAACCATAATAACTTCTCAGGTGACTTTTGCAGGAATAGCACCAAACTTTTTCAAGTTTCAATCCAGGTCTATCCTTGCCATCCGTAGCAAGAGACAACAGGAAACAGTATTTCAATGCCTATAGTCTTGAGTAACAAAACTGGATCATTATTTTTGGAATTTAATTGATGCAAAGACATGTTTTAGCCTTTTAGAAAGGTAGGAGACAGTGTGACAGGTGTAGCCCCTTTAAGAAATTAAACATGTTGATCTGATCTGGCTTCTAGGCTTAACACTGTTTAGAGTCACCCAACCATGTTGAATGATGTACCATTCATTTGGCTGGGCCTAATAGGATCTCCCGATAATATATCTTTTTTGTTTTGATCCCTTTAAGGTTCAATGCACGTCCTTTGATTTAATTTAATTGCTCACTTCGTCACGTTCAAACTTCACCAAGGTTAATTTTTAAATTACTGCTGGAAATTGGAGTTTCAATCTATAATTATGATAAAGGTATGTGCTGATTCAGCATCAAGAAAGAAAACAGTAAAATACTTTTTTCATGAAAAATATGAGAGTTCTTTTACTAAGTGTAGACTGCCTCAGCCTTAAAATCGAGCTAATTTGCAAATTTCATTAAAATAAATTCACCAAATAACGTTAACTCCCTCAAAAACAAAGAGATCGCAAATCAAAAACTCGATCGACAGCAGGAGGATCTCTACTCGCCAAATTCATAATATTAAAGGCACATTCCAACTAACTAGGAACATAATCAAATATTTATACATTGAAATATCAAAAGAAAGGAAGTCTAAGACAAAGACATGCACATTCGATAATGACATATTGGATTTCTTGTAAGTCAGGGTAAACGATATTTTTGGACAGGTGACCTGATCAACGATCACGTTCAAAAAAATGGAAATTTACGCACGTAAATCCTTCCTTTCTCTTTCCTAGATCTATTACTGCAGATATTTCAAGCTATTTAATTAGCTATAAAAAAAATTCAATTCGAAAAACGTGGATAGCGAGCTCAAAGCAGCTGAAAATAAAAGAAATTCCCCAAGGGCAAAAATATCAACGAGACAAGTGAAAATTTCGATCCCGGAAATCTAAACTACTCGAAATCCTGCATGCTCACTTAGTTGCATTTTCCTTAACACACGTCTAGTCCATTTAAAGCTGCGTTTAACAACCACACAGTAAAAGGTTATAGGAGCAATTTTCTAACAAACAGGGTTAGGTAATACCATGAAATTTATGCCAGAGTTGCACGCTTAAGTATAAGCTAAAGCCGTAAGTGTAAATATCCCTCCTTATCTTCTACAAGACCTTACCGCTGCTTTGCTTAGATCCAAATGTGTTGACCCTTCATCTCGACATTTTATAATTTCTTTGTGGATATCCTACGGAAAGAAAAATAACAGTGGACGTCAACAGATGAGCCAATACTTAAGACCTGTCTGAATTAAATTCAATGCCGTTCCCTGAAGAATGCACATTTAGGGGCGATTCTAAAATCGACAACTACAAACGTCAAAGCAACTAAATCTTATTTATTGCTGTAAATACCAAATCTGGTGTGGACTTTTTCTTTTTAGCCGCAGACTGAACTTTCTTCGCCCCTGGGAGGGCAACCTTGACTGTTTTTGCCTCTCTTCTGGAGTCACCATCGTGTTTACTGTGCCCACTTTTCGAGTGTGAGATGAACGACGCAGTAGGACTTGTTGCTCCATCTTCTAGAATGCTCGTAGTGTCAGAGGCGTCTGTCGTGTGATTCATAAGATCTGGAGAGTCCGAGTCCGATCTCGTTTTCGTACCACGTCGTATCATCATAGCTTTAAAAGACGCTCTTGCCCTACTTCTTGCAGTTTTACACGCTTCGAACCCTTGGGCGGCTGCTGCTGCTATAAGCCGCGTTCATGAAAATTACTAGGCAATCGACGCTGTACGGTTAAACGATGAACATACTTCATGAAGACTACATTTCTCAAAGCAAACTTTTCAAGGGAACTGCTAATAAGATATCCATCGTCTCGACCGGAAAGAAAGCAACTCCGTATCCGCTCAGATCCAAATAAACACAAAATTGTTGTGAGAACCAGTGTTGGACGACATGACACTTTCTCGGTGCGTACTCTTCTAACAGAGGGGACTGGAGCTAACTAACGGAACGGGACCCATAAGGGCCTATATAGACAAGTCCTCAGGCATGAGCCGCTATTCCATGAAAGGACATGCGATCGGGGGCCTGTTCTGATCTAGGATAGGAGTGATTATGATTATCGTTATTGTACTGTTATTAGTTTGCCGTTGATATACTTTGCAAACAAACAGGTTGTGTCTCACTGCTAAAATTTGGACCCCAAAAATTGCATTCAAAAAAGTTCCTGAAATCCTAGGCCATAGGCCAATAATACTTTCGTTTCTGGCTTTCGTGCTGTTCGAACTATAATTATGATTGAATCTGATTGGTTCTTCAGCCCATATTTATAGCTTAATTTTGCTATTTGACTTGTCCGATTACCAGGAGCTTGCAACCTCGTCCCCAGGGCGCTTTTACCTGGCTTTGGAGGTTGGGGCCCACCTCCAAAGCCAGGGAAAAGAGCTCTGTGGACGAGGTTGAGGAGCTTGAAATCGGACAGTTAGAGAACCAATAAAAATCAAGTAGCGAATGCCACCAGCCAAAGAAATTTAACCACATAGCAAATGATAACCAATCAAAATCAATGAAAAAAGTGACCAGGTAAGCTGTCCAGCTTCAACTGGAAAAGAGAAATGGATGAAACTAACTGGTCCAGTGACATTTATTTACGTCGTCGCACTAAAATTGTTTTCGTTTCGCCTTGCCGGCCGGAATGTTATTTTCAAAGCAAAACGGAAACAGAGCCTGATCTCAGGTTACATTAACAAATATTCCAAGACTGAGATTCTCGCATTTTGTTATTGACACAATTAATTGATAATAGGACTTCGGGTTCGTAACTTGCCCCATTACTCCGTCCCTGACTTGTACTCCACTCAGTCCTTTAACATTACTTATACCTTATTCTAAGGATTGGAAAACTAGGACCTTTGCGGTCACTCTTCCATGAATTAGCCATACAGGTCACTAAATTGGCGAGATTTTTTCTATCAGCCTTGTTTCTGTAGGCTTGCATGTGGTGGCGGCGGAGTCCGAGATAAACGTAAACTGAAATTCCCTAGCTTCCTCTTTCCTTTCAAACGCCTGCCACGCAAGCTATGTGTATGTGATCCTTAGATAGCCTGCCCTACTTGTATCAACTAAAATTCAAGTAAAAATATACCTAGCTACACGAGAAAAAAAATCATCTGTAAGTAGCATTAAAAAAAAAGCTAATGAACTGCCTTATATAAGAAAATTCTTTTTTTCTAATTTCCAGCCTCCTTGTCAGTTTTTGTATAAATAGTTTCAGTTTCTTAATCATAAGCCTCTGTAACTTGTCGGTGCAATTTTGACGGGCGCGTTGCCTCTGTATAACGGTCACTTGTGATCACTTTATGAAAGTTCACCTGTGATTTTTTTTATTAACCCAGGAGTCCATCACGGCTCCTGATTTAACCTCATACCTGTATATGTACTGTCTTGCTTTGTTGCACACAGCTGTTTGACCCGGGGTGGACTCCACTTATGAAAGGGGTGGAAGGATGCTCGTCGGAAATTTTGAAAGTAAACCCCTAAAAGAGACCGATCTGGGCGTGGCCCAAGCTTTTTTTGACCTAGCCTGCGTGGCAGGCGTTTGAAAGCGAAGGGAAATGGAGTTTTAGGTGCGAGAGAAACGCGAGGGGCCTTCCTCGCACGCCCCTCGCTTTTCCCTCGCGCCCAAAACCCCATTTCTCAATTCCCTTCCCTTTCATACGCCTGTCACGCAGGCTTTTTTGACCCCAAAAAGACCATGTTAAAACACAGACAATGTAATATTTTTATATTTTTCACGTGCAACCCTAAACAAGACCTTCACGGCTAAATATGATGGCGGTTTGCCCAGAACACCCTATGTGAGACCAAAATCCTATATTTACACCCCTAAGCGAGACGACGAGCATCCCCACCCCTTTCATATGCGGAGTCCACCCCCCGGGCTGTATGCCTTGGCTGCGCACCACCCAAACTTCCCGTCCGTACCTCCGCTCGGGCCGGAGTAAGGACGAAAACCTTTTCCCCCGCCCCCCTCGAGAACGTGCTCGCAGACCAGGAAATGCTTGAACTTCCCGAACATGCCAAATATGGCAAATCCGAATTGCGTAAGAGGGGTACCCACATGGCGAAAAACGCGCTTTGTGATTGGCTAGAGCCACGTGGGCTGTGCGAGACGAAGGCAGAGTGAAAACTTGGCACTATTTCACCGGAATGCATTGTTCTTATGAAGTTTAGCAGAAAGAAAATGAATTTTTGAAGATATTTTGCTGTTAAACTTTGAGTATAAAGATCGCGTGTGAAAGACAATGTTTCAGGACGTGTGTCTAGGATGCTAGCAGTTCCTGACGACATCGGCGAAATGAGGTGAGCTTCGTTGAAAAATCGCTATGGACGCTGTTATAATGGCATACATCGTAAAGCATAAAGCTTACGTGTTACATAGATTTTCCGTTCCTTGATTTTAACTAGTATCCAGATGTACTCCGTTTAATATTCTTCATCTCTAGAATTATCATGAAAATGATCTGGAGAATGAATGGTAACATTGGGTCATTTATCGACGATGAAACCTTTATTGGTTTTCGTTTGGTCTCATCGTGTTTTTATTTCTGTGAGAGACCTTTCTTTTATACATTAGAAATTTTTCAGTAAGACTTACCTTAACCTGACAAAACAGTTTATCACACGTCACTTAAATATTTTTCACGCTGTCAGAATCTCTCAATGATCGTGATAAATGGAAATGGGGAGTAAATACTTTCATAGCATAATATATAAACTTCATTCTTCCAGTTCAAGGAAGTGTTGAGGCAACTCAAAGGTGATTAAGCCTTTTTTCTTCTCAATTTTGTTTCGTGGAATAATTCAATGCCTTGCACCCTCTAAACATACATATATGCCTTCAAACATTAATTTACAAGACCAGTACCGGGCCTGCGAATGAGACACAATTAGCCCACTACTGGTTGGGTGAAAATTTATTTTGATAAATAATTTTATTCTCACCTAGTGGAAAATTATGGTACACTCTGTCTGATCCTATTTTTCTGTTTACAGACTCTGGGGGACACCCCCTCCATTTAGCAGAGATTCCTTCTTTGATGACTTTTCTCCATCTTTTTTTGAGGCTGATGTAGCTGCCGAAGTTGAGTGGTTAGTATTCACAACATATTTTTAGAGATCTTTAGATTCTCAGACAAGGATAACTATGAGGAAAAGATTTTGACAATACTCATCATCATGTGCACGAATCAGCTTCATTTTAGTGGGAAAATGTAAAAGGCATCATCATTCTACTGCAAGAATGTCCTAGTTATTGAATATTAGAAGCTTTATCATTTTTGTAATCGGGAGAGGGCTACACCTCCTTCAATTACAACAACTGTGCTCGCTTTTCTGGTGGAAAAAAGTACAGTGAACCTTTCGTTTACTGTATATTTTTGGAGAAAACATGACCAAACTTTAAAAGTCAAGTCTTGCCTTCATAGTCATCCTTGTTTTCGAATCTTAAAGGCCTCTATTACTTAAAATAGTTTAGTTCGCTGCTGGCAACCACCGATTTGAGTTCCTAAATTAAAAACTAGTCCATATACCAGAAGATTATGATTTTCCTTTTTTTTTTATTGAGTCAAGACTGATGAATGAACTGATATGCAGAGAAATGTTAAAAAGACAGGTTTATCACTGTGTGAACAAAGTAGAGTTTGGCAAAAACATTTAAAAGGCACGGCAAATTCATATTTTCAGCAGCAGCTTTGATCTTCAGCAAGTGAGTAATGCTGGCTTGGATATAGCATTCCATCAGTATCTTCCAGGACTCAATGAGCATGCTGCAGATACTCTGTATGCACACAGTGTCCCTTGTTGCTTCTTACCATGAGGCAAGACCACTATGTTTTGAATAAAATTGTTAACCTATGAGCAAGCTCTCTGGGGTGCTTTTGGTGGTGGGTGGAAAAAGGAAGGAGAGCTTGCAACCACGTCTGTGGAATTTGAATATCTCATCGAAAAAGTCGATGCGAAATGCTGATTGGTGGAGATGACATCAGTAATGACGTCATTACCCTTGGCTTGTGTTTTTCAATGTTTGTTTACTTTAGTGCTTGTTTCCACTTCGCACTGATTGGCGAAAATCAGAGAGCCAGTCGACTGGGAGCTGCAGGGGAATTGGAAGTGGAAGTTAAATTCCAGAGATGTAGTTGCAAGCTCTACTTCCTTTTTCCACCTTGCCATCAGAGTGACCTGGAGAGCTTGCTCACAGGCTATGAAGTTGCTGGTCCCTGTTCCCTGTGGCACATTCCTAAGCCAATGATTATATGATTTAGTTTTGTTAAGCATGTTTTTTAATTTTATTTTTGGAATTTTCTTCGAACTTTTTGCTGTTTGTTGTTCTGTAGTGGCCAAGAAGTAGACTGTAAGGATGACGGAAACTACTGGTACAGAGAATCAACTTCTGCTGCATCATCTGTTAATGCTTCAGAATATAATTCTGATGATGGATTTATTGACATTGAAGATGAAGGCTTCGAAACTTCACATTTTCCCGTAAGCCAAGCAGTATTTTGACCTTGTATGTGTAAACTGTTTTATAAAAAACATCAAATGGATGAAAACATGACTTTTTTTGTCTCACTCAAAGTTCATTGATTTAGATGGTTCACTTCATAATTAACAATAATATTATTTACTTTATTTCATAATAATTAATGATTGCCTAACATTTGTTTTCAACTTTGATTGAGTAGTAGTTTAAATAATTATTAAGATTAAAGTAACATGTCACATCCCTTTACCCATTTTTATCATGACAAGTTACAGTGTAGCAGTTCTACAGTACGTTTTTGATAAAGTTCTTTGTTTATCTTGTTTTCCAGGGTTCATATTTAAACATTGCCGAACTGGAGAGAAAATGCAGAGGTATAAAACATATGGTTGAGTATTCTTATATCTTGATCTAATAGCAAATACCTAAAATCAATTTGATTGAACAATTAAGCTTGTCACAGTAAAGACCATTCAAACATCGGTATGTTTTTTACTAAGTTTGAGCTTTTTTGCCTTAAGGCCAGCACTTTTGAAAATCTACAATTCTAGAGAGCTTTGTAGGATTGTAGGGAAAACCATCCCTCCAATTAACACTAAACACTTTTCATTCCTTTTTTCCAATAAAACTCAAATTATTATTTTGACAGTCTAAAAATCTAACACATATTTAAGATTATTGGAACTAAGCAACCAACTTAAGCAGCTGCAGAAAGAACACGTGAATGGAACTCAATCCATTTTTGAGGCCCATATAGCAGTCTTTCAAGTGCAGGGGCTCCTGGTTTGAAGTGTGTAAGGAAGAAAATGAGAGGGAGGGGTTGATGCAAGCGGTCTCTATGTCCTTTTTAATGGATCTTCATTGAGGGACAAAAGTGTTGACACACTGCTATAAAGTAGCCCTTTTTTGTATAGTGGTTCTATCTATCCCCTCCCCCTGTGTACCGCACCTCCTGGCCCCAAAATCGATGTTGTGTTTTAGACCCTCAAGTCTCACTTTCATTACATACAATATTGATTCGGGGGTAGGTGAATTTAGGGCATTTAAACGGACTGAAATAAAAAATGAATGAAATTGTTGCATTGTAGAATTGGTGCATTGTAGACAAGTGTGTCAACTACTTTTGTCCCTATTTTATCTCTATCTACTATTGTTAATGAGCCCGCAACATCCTACTCTACAGTTAAGCACTCTATTGACTGAGCTTGTCCTGCCTCAGTCTAAACATCTGGTTTAATATGGTGTGGGATAAAAGGACTTCTCACACTTGATTGGTGCCAGTTTTAGCAACCCAAAAATGGATTGCTACTCTTAGACCAATCAAAGTAGCTCCTAAGAACCCTTGGGGATAAAGTTGTCTCTCACAAGTAAGGGCATTGGAATGAACATTGGGTTGATTCGAAAAGTGTTATATGATTCTCTCGAGGCCAGAGGATATTCTGATTATCTCAGGGAAACAATCCAAGCATGTACAGCTGTATCTGTGTTATCTGTCACGGATAGATTTTTTTGTGTCTGCTTCAACCTGAGCTGGGAAAACTCTGACTTTTGAGCTGGCTCCATTATGCTTTTGATCGTTTTAATATTAGGCGAGGACTGCAATGCCATAGCCTGCGAAAACAGCTGTTTCTCCCCGCTCCTCACCACTTAAAATGTTCGCCAGGAGCTACATCCCTTGTGGCAAGGAGCAAGGAGAAATGGGAAAACCCCCCTAGCCCCTCCTCCACATAGCTCCTGCTTTTTCTTCTGGAGTTCAAATAAAAATGAAATTTCCTACTTCCACTTTCATTAACTGAATTATGGTAAACAAATTTAATATGCCAGGTGTGAATCATGCATTATTTTTTTAACCTGTTTCAATGTGTTTTTTTTTTATCCATAGAATTAAGTGCTATTGATAGCAGCAACCTCAACTGGCGAAAATGTTCAAGAAAAAGTGGGGAGAAGAAAGGAAATAATTGCAGTAAAAGGTCTTCAAGTTCATTAGTGGATGATATATTAAGAAGGAACAAATTCAAGAATAGCAAGAACTCAAGTTCAAAGTTAAAAAATGAATTTACCTGTCCCTGTCAAAAGTTACAAAACTCAATGGACTTTGGTGTAAGTTGGTAAGTGTGTGTCACATGAAAAAAAAACTGGATTCCTTTGTGTCCTCTGATTGGCTTGAGAGTGGCTGTGTGATAATATACAGTTCCACAATTTAATTAGAGGTAAATGAATGGATGTTAAATCCCAAGCAAGTTTCTTTTTCCATAAGCTTGCTTGCTATGAGCTTTGTCCAACATTATATAACAGTACAAGGTCAAAGAGGAAAGAAATTACTCCACCCTACAAAATGTTAAGTAGCATTAGGTAGTCACCTTAATTTCATGCACAATAGTCTCATCTACTGCAATTAATTATTTTTTTCTATATTTTATTTTATTTTATTTTACTACTGAATTTTTATAGTAGTTTAGTTCTCTTTTGGTATATGCAGTTACTGTTGTGTATATTGTAGTTCAATAAATATTTTATCTTTGGTTGAAACTTCATTTACCTGTGTTTCAAGTAACTTACTATTTACAAGCTTGGCCAAAGATTATGACTGAGAACAAATCCAACAAGTGGCCAGAACGGGACTCAAACCCAGGACTGCTGGATTGCAAGTTGGACGTGCTGACCACTCGGCCACTCTGCCTCCTTGTAAACCAAGGGTATACATGAGTCAGATGCTGAACACAGCCCCTCTGGCATTAATGTTAGTCGTAAATTTCTTGTATGTTGTTGTGACAGTATAAATTATTTTGAAAATGAATTTAAAACCATTCTTTATAGGAATAAAATGACGTCAGATGACCAAGCTGAGGCAGTTGAATTGCTAACAAGAGTTGCTTCAGTGACAATGGGACTTAGAGAACAAATGGACATCATTAGAATTATAAACCCTGAGGCAACAGTTCTACCAACAGACACAGAATTTGAAATAGGTACATGTATTGTTAATTTTTTAAAGTAATGATGATTTTATTATCTTTATCATACTTGCTTGCTTATCATACTTGCTTGCTTTGCTTATTATTATTATTATTATTATTATTATTATCCTAACATGAGAGGCTTATCATGTGGTAGTCCCTACCACTGGGGTTGAATCCTAGGAGTTGTGGGTAGGGGAGGGGGGGCTACTCCATTATATAAGCTGTATAGGTATGTGCTGTATGAAAGGGTATGGTTTTTGTGTTTTTTTTTATCTGGAAACTGGTATAGACTTTTCCCATTTTTGTCTGTAATTGGGTATGGTTTTTGAGGGAACTACTAATTCAGTTCCTAATGAATAAGAAGTGAAAGAGAATTTGTTGCGAATTTGTTGTGGAATTTAAGAAATCTTTTCCTTGTTGTTCCAATCTAAGTAATGATGACATAATTTCTGTCTATGTAAACATGTATTCTGCATTTTTTTACTTCTTCCGGTTATCATTTGGACAACTGGGTGGCACACCCCCACCAAGAATTCTTTGGAGTACCCCGGGGGGGAAGGGGGGGGTTGAATTTTTGTTAGCTGATTTTAACCAACTCAGGGGGACACTCTTGTGGCAGCTTTCTATCTCTTGCCTTGGCCAAACCACGGGTAAATGGTAAACAAAACTCATTTGCATCAAATAATAGTGCCTTTTAATAAAAAATAGCTGTGAAAGCCTGAAACTGGTATCAAAGAAAGATTGAAGAAATGGAACATTGGTTTCTATTTATTTAAATCATTGACTAATCAGAAAAACAGGACTATACCTTTTCAGACAATCTGTTGCTCTGGGAAATTTTTCACTGAAATGACCTTTGAAGTACGTAGTGTTCCAGTTACAAATGTGAAGTTTCTGACAGAATTTCCAGAAACATTTTGTAACGGTAAACCTAGCTTACCTTTAAATCCTGGTCACCAGGGATTAATTTTTAAAGCTGTCTGGATTCCAACATTTTTTCTTAAAGCACAACCTTATAGTTGTAATACTCAAAGTGTGGTCGGCTAAGGTTCCTTTCTCACACAACTTGCCCTTCACATTCACACTTCAAAACATGCCTCAGTGACCCAAATACGGTAAAAACCCACATATAAGAACCTGTTGGGTTAAGATTGTCCATTTAGACCTCTTTTACATTAGAACCTATTTTAGCCTACAATTTTGAAACAGGATTTTATTTTGAGAAATTCAGTCAAACACTGCGTGAATACACAAGTACCATATGTTTGTCCTATCTGTAACACTGAGTACCATGTTTTAATGTCTCTGCTTAACTTCTCTGCTTCTGCTTAACTTGCATGGCTTTGTATAAACTTCATAAATGGCTCTAACAAGCTTGGGTTAAAGGGATTTTTACAATATATTATGCATGAAATCGGGCCAAAATCGCCCACACATAACAATGGCAAACACCTTATTTATTTTTAAGAATAGGAACCTGTTTAAGAACCTGAGCAGCCTAATTTTCCAGTTAGCACCATTTTTGTACAATACAATACAATATTCTTTATTTAGTGAAGGTGACGTAATAACCCAATGAGTAAGAACCTTCTTGGCATAACTTGGAAAAACTTGGGTTCTTATATGCGGGTTTTTACTTGTAACGCCTGCTGTGCATGAGGCTAAACCAGACCGGGCTTGAAGCTCATCCAGAGGAAGATTTTGTTCATTTGTGCATCATTGTGTGGTTACGAAAACCTACTGCTTGAAGAAATGCTAGCAAATTACAGAAATGTTTTTGAAGGTATCAACATTTTCCCTAATCTTGTCAATACTTTTTTTTTATTTTTCAGACTTAGATGCGTTTGATGATGCAAAATTCAGTAGATTACGTGACTATATTTCAGAGCATCTTTCCAGAGATTCTTGTCTTCTTTGCTTAGGTAATCTAATTTGCACAGAGCACATTATGGCTTCAAATTTGCTTTTTTTTTTCTGAATTATTGTAGAACTTGTAAAATGAACATGAACACAGTGTCCCTTGAGGTGTTGATGGTTTTGTAAACTAATTAAAAATTATATGATGGCAGTTTTTTTTATTCATTTCTTTCAGATTCACAATCAGAAACGTGTAGACAGAATTCCAGTTTTTCTCATAGAAAACATTCCAAGGTAAGAGAGAGATAGGTACTCCTTCTGTAGTCATAAATGATGTTAACTGTACACAAACTTATTTTAGCAATGTCATTGCAAACCTCATGGAGAGAGTTTGAAAGAAAATTGAATACAGCAAGATAACAACCTCAAAATAACGAAGGGGCAATTAGGGAATGGCAAAATTTGTTTACTATAACAAGGTTTTGTTATGAGGTTTCACCGTATTAATATTGATAATAGTAGTAATAATCTTATCAACAATATTTAATTATGGAGGGCAGGATTGTAACTTTGGAAAAGCTTAGCATGCTTTTTTATTAGTCAAGCTGGCTCTTTTGGTTACAGTGTAACTGCACCTTAACAATTACCCCATGTCTTCTTTTTAGAATAGTGTGATTTGGTAAACTCTCTTTGAGTTAGTGAAATTTTCCGGCAGCCACCTCTTAGCGAAATCTATGGGTGCAAGTTGTTGATGACACTCTTTTCACCCCCTCCCTTACCTCCTGCAGCTTCCCATTATCTTAGCTTCCCACTTCCCTTTTCCACTGAACCTGTTTTCAGCAGTGAGTGATGCTAATGTACACTCGTGTGCTGCTACAGGTACCTTAAAATTCAGAAAATAAGCCCCTCCAAATATGAGCCCCCCATACTCGTAATGCAAAAAACCCTCCGTTAAATTGCCCCTCCAAATATAAGCCCCCCGGGAGCTTGTACTTGGAAATTGCCCTCAAATACAAAGTACAACAAAGCAAAAACGGTACATTTCCTTCCAACTATAAGGCTAGCCCAATCGATTTTGAAATGCAAATGTCCCTCCATAGATAAGCCCCTCCAAAATTAATATAAGCCCCTCAAACAGGGCCTTTGAAAAATATAGGCCCTGGGACTTATTTTCGGAATTTTATGGTATGTTACCAACTGTGAGTTTTTTACTGACAGAGGAAACCAAGGGGAACTCTAAGCATGAAAAGAATTTCAAGAAAATCATCAAAACATAAAAGCTTACTTAAGCGGGTCCATCGGCAAATGATGAAAGAACAAAGAAGTGGCCTATTTGAGAATGAAGAGGTAAGACAATGACATCATCCATTGAAAAATAATCATCTGGTCAGCAGAAAAGCTATTTCTCTTAAGATACCCCATCATGAGTGTTGTATTTCTGGAACCATTAAAAATAACTTCACTTCACTCTCAAAACTGATTCAATTTTTAAATTCTTTTTTCAGGTAATTTCACTGAGCTCAAGAAATGAGGAGGAATCCAATGACTTGGAAGTTGACATTCTCTGTTAATGTCTCCTTTTTAATCTGAAAAATCAAATTAACTCGAGTTTTAGATTAAATGTATTTGTTCTATGAGCAGTACCCTTTTTTCCATTTTTGGGCCTTGCAGCTGATGTGTCACGTGACACATTTATACCCCACACTTTTTCCGAGTGTGCGAAGAAATACCTTCCCATACAGTTGTTCTTGGGTTACACATTCCTTCGCAGGCTTAAGTGGAACTGTTGCATGAGGTATTGATGCCTTTTGCTTGGAATTGCTTACCCTGGGAACCAGAGGTCACTGTAGACTTGACCAAATCCGGAAACCGCGTATGAAAAGCCTCTGCCACCCAGGATAGAATTTTTAGTGAAAAGCATGAAAAATTACATAACTGCAAGTTTTATTGAAGTTATATTCGACCATAGTCCATTTCTACTCCGTTGGACGAAAAATCTTTCTTCTTATTTGGGCAGCTACTACAAAAATGATATTCGCTATACAACTCGAGTCGTAAGCGATGAAATGAAGACGATGGTAATGATGATGATAGCCCACATGATCCTTTTTACTCTAGATGTTCTCTTTTCGCTCCCAACATTGATGCCATTTCCCCACCGCCGAGGAGCTTGGAGAGACGACTGTTCTTACAGGCTACAAGATTGAATTATTTCTCCAGCAAGTTACATTTTGTACAGAAACTGAAACTTCCTTATGCACTTCATCTATACCTTTCATAGGCATAATGCGACGTTTTATGGAGGTGTACACAAGACGTCCAATTCTTCTTTCTCTTTCTGAACTTAATTTGGTCGTGGTAGTTTAATTCCAGGAGAAATCGGCTTCATTTCAAATAGCCCATTCCGAGTTCCACAAATTATCACTTTCAAACCGAGGCGAAGTGCAAAACCTTTGTCGTGAAAATGAGTTTATTTGCATGAGAATTAAAAAATTATTTTCATATCAATAGCTTCGCATTCAGCCTCGCTTTGAAGCAGAGGCTTGAGGAAACTTGGAAATACCAATGAACATGATGAAGTTATAATGATCGCCAAACCACTTCACGTTTTTTCTGCCGACGTCGCCCCGTACAGAAAATTCCCGATTCAAGCCATCATCCGTTGTTAGACAAGGGACTTGAGATTGAAAAATTGGCAATTGTAACATCGAGGTCTTAGCAGGTCGTAAGTAAGTAAGTAGACAGAAAAACTGAGATTCCTTCTCAGCCTTGAACCCTAGTGATTGCGTAGGACACAAACATTCCCCTAGCTTAACCAATGGACAACACAGAAAAACAAATGGACAGACAGAACAGGTTTACTTCATTTCATGTATTATTCTGTTTGCGTTATATAAATTTTTGAGTGTTTACTGTCATACGGACATGTGATCTCAGACGCTTGATGAACAAAACCAGCGTCCACAATGCAATGTCAAATCTACTTAAACAGACCAGAAGCTACAATATGCTTATTTCCTTTTGCAAAGGCGTTTAAGTAGCCGGCTCACACAGGTTTACATTCCACTACAAAACAGAAAAGAATCAAAGCAAATTTCACCATTCTTTGAATTATCATTTCGCCATTTTTATCACCTTCCTTCACCGATTTGCGTAAAAAAGGTAAAAAATATTCAGGCACATTTTATCAAATCTTATCTCCTACAAAAAGAAGTGTAATTCAAAAATAATTCTATGAAAAGAAAAAAACACGGACAATTGTATTGCTGTACAGAAACGAGAACATTCCTTTTAGAAGCCAGGCCACTCATATCGGCAATACTTTGACTGGATTCCATTCTCAGCTGGGATCCCACGCCTGTAAGAAGAAACACTTAGTTAGAAAAAGGGGTCTCACATTAGTCCATCCCCGTCTCATCTTCCTTGCCGGTCTCCGTTAGTTACCACCTTCTATCATTATTATTATTATTATTATTATTATTATTATTATTATTATTGTCATTATTATTATTATTATTATTTCCACGGTTTTGATTGGTCTATAAATCATTACGTCACTGCAGGTAACTGTTTATGGTTAATGATCTATTCACGCGCAACAGAGGAATTTTGCTTTAATATCTTGCTGATGACCCTTTTCATGGCACAGATCGAAATTACAGGTTTTTAGGAGCTGAATACTATCCCGGGGAGGGGGGGAAAGGGGGCACAGATCAGCTGCATTCCTCTGCCGATCTGCTCCCCACTAAAGGTGGATTTCCAACGTCGCGTAATTTTTACGTGCGCACGCACGTGAATAAAATAAACGCCATCATGGTAGGTTAAAAGTTGAACCCAACACAACTTTTACGTTTAAGCATTGACACTTCATACACTGCCTCTATTTTATTTACGCGCGTAAAATTTGCATCCCCACGAACGTGAAAATAACGCGACAGTGGAAACCCACCCTAACAAATCAAAATATTTTGCTGTTCCTGGACAAGTGACTGATATACGAAGTTTCGATACTCGCACTTCAGACCTAGGAATATTTTTCCAGCTGTCCGTACTACAAAGGGAAATAAAACTATCCTTGCAGACTTTAATAATGAGAACGGATGATGGAACAATACTAATGGAGAAATCTTAATTTACCACAAGAAAAATAGGAGCTTTCCTTTACCTGAGGTAGCGGCAGCGATGTTCCCACAACCTGTTGTCTGCATCTGTAAGATCCGTAACGGACTGAGCGCTCCATAATCTCTCTCCTACTGCCAGGGCGCGAGGCCTAAAATGAAAGAATACAGAACAAAGTGTTATTAAACAGGCTCCTTCCACACCAATTCGCATATTTTTGACGTCACGTAGCTTTTACCCGGAGTCGTGTGAACGGTGCCTTAAACCAATCTAGCCTGTTCAAGGCTCTAAGATAGTGGGGAAAGCGGATCGAAAAAAAAGTGCGAAAACCGTGTGAGGACTGGGGAGAGAGAATTTTTTTCCCCCGCCGTTTTTCGCTCGCTCGTTTTTTCGCTGCTCGCGCGTTTTTTTCGCACGTCTACAATGAACGAGAGCCTAGCACAGTCTAAAACTAATCTGGAGAGCGGTTGCAAAAGGATGCGGTTTCGGTGAGCGGGTTCACTGGTTTCGTGTTGTCGTTAGATGGATCAGTGTGTTAAAACTTTATATACCGTAAAATTCCGAAAATAAGCCCCGGGGCTTATATTTTCAAAGGCCCTTTTTGAGGGGCTTATTTTTGGAAGGGCTTATCTACGGAGGGAAATTTGCGTTTGAAAATCGATTGGGCCAGCCTTATAGTTGGAAGTAAATTTACCGTTTTTGCTTTGTTTTACTTTGTATTTGAGGGCAATTTCCAAGTACAAGCCCCCGGGGGGCTTATATTTGGAGGGGCGATTTAACGGAGGGTTTTTTGCGCTACGAGTTTGAGGGGCTTATATTTGGAGGGGCCTATACATGGAGGGCCTTATTTTCGGAATTTTACGGTATATAAATTATGCGGTTTTAAAAATATCCAGATTCGTGTGAACGTGCCAGTTAAAGTACATAAAATATATATATAATTATATACAGACATAACAAAGGGTGGCAGAAACGTCGGTGGGTCAATATAAAAGGCGCCACATGAGCGGGTACACAAGGTGAAAAGCAAGAAAGCAATGTCTGCATAAGAGCTAGTTTTGGTGTTCAAGAAAATATATTAAATGCTCAAACTTGAAAGTTACAAGATGCCGTGGAAAGCGAGGGAAGGGGATAAGCCTACCATGTCCTTGTCAGCAGGTTAGTTCCGTCAACAAACTCTCCCCACATACAGCCGGTTCCACCCATGACTAATTTCTTTTGTTCATTTGTGCCTATTGAGATAAAAAAAGGAAAGAAAAATTAATAATAATAACCTGTAACATCAACATTTAAAGTGGTGGACAGACCCCTTTTTGGACAGAAGGGGAGGAATAATTAACGTCGATGTCGTCAAAGCCGTTTCCGTAAGGCTATTACGGCATATAACGTCATGGGCTTCAATGCATTCCAATTCACATTAATGAGATTCTACTTCAAAAAGGGGTTCATTCGGTGCACCTTATACTACTTACTGGGATGTACAGCGCGACACCCGTTCAGACCCTCTCCTATGATATTTTGCAAGCAAGGAGAAAGTGATTGGCTTGTGGACGTCCGTCTTTTCTGCGCATTGCAACATAAGCGTACACATCAAATAACAACATACCGTCAAAAGCTTGTGGATCGCACTGATAGTACTGTAGAAAGAATAAAGAGAAATTGTGAAAAGAGTATAGTTAGAAAACTGACATCAACGTGCAGCTGTAAGAGACCAAAACTAAAAATTGTGCTATACTACAAGGAAGACAGAACATTTTCTAACTTGGGCTAAAATAAAGACTGATTTCACCGAAGTGGAGGAGGCTGCTACCTTTAACCCTTTAAGTCCCAGTATCAACATACATATTCTCCAAACTGATCTCCATACATTTCCTTAAAGAATTAGTTGAGAGAATTTGAAAATAGATCAAGGAATTTTCTCTTGGGTGATCATTTTATTAATTCTCAGAACTTATGCACCTATCAAAGTAAACCCCGTGGGGGGGGGAGGGGGAGTGCGGGCAAGGGGTGGGGATTTGACAAATTTTAAAATTTTTTGATCAAATTCCCCAGGGTGGGAAACGAAAGGTCAATCAAAAGTGTCAAAAAAGCCCCCACCCCGGGGGAAAAATCTAAATAAACAATACTATAATACTATATAAAACGAATAAAAGAACATTTCAAAAGTACGTTCTTACTGCTTTTATTTAAGGTTAACGTAAGTTCCGTTAAATTACTTGCTGTAATAAAGCATTTTCTCTCTCTACTAGCATCTCTTATTTTGAACCACATAATCGCTCCAGGAAGATTGACCGTGCTATTATATTAATGAAACGTAAAATGCTTTATAACATCTGCTCAACATGTCGGAACAGGTCGGATCAGTGACCCGTAAAAAATCCTCTGACTTTCATGGTAAAATTCGATTTCAATCGAGGTTTACAATCAGATGGGAACTTGAAGATAAAAACTTTCTCAAAATAGACATTATCTGTTTAGATGACAGTGTAAAGTATCGGATTATGGCGATTAAAACAAATGAAAACTTCATACTTCGGCTTTTTGGTGTCCCCAAATTAGTAAGGGATTCTTTTTTCCCTGGCTAGACAGCTTTGACACTTTACTAAAGTTTCTATCTATCTATCTATACCTTTCTCCAACAGCGTGACTTTCAGAAAGCCTCTAGGGACGGACTTGGTAACCGCTTCTGAATTGATACCAGGCTTCTATCGGTCAAAGTCAAATGTCCCGTCCCCGGGGTCGCTTCACGATCAAAAGCCCGACATGGGGATAGTCTCAGGCATCAAATCCCCTCCCCTTGCCCGCACTCCCCCCCACGGGATTTACATTGATAGGTGCATTATCTCTTGACAGTGTATGGATATTGTTAGGAGAAAATTGTTCTTGGTCACTATTGGGACTTAAAGGGTTAAGGCGTGGTTATATCCCAACTGTATCACATTTATACATATTTTACATAAAGTGGACCCCCGTTAATACGGTCAACAATGCCGCAAAAAAATCTGGCAGTATTAACGGGGTAGCCGTATCAATGACGGTTTTTTTTTTTACAAGAAAATGTACGGCGGTTTTTACCACGCGGCCAAAAAAAGTGGCCGTAAGGCGGGATTTCACTGTAAAAAAAGTTTGGAAGCATGTTAAACATTATACGATACTTCAGGGTTAAACAAGTTGACCGGATATTTCTGGTTAAACAAATCCTGCAGTTAGTAGACAGCAGTCTCGGGATAGTAAGTGCTTACATACATCGTACCTTATCCCAGTCTTGACCATATGAAATGTAGTTTAAGTACCAACAGGATGACAGAATGGCCTTCAAACCCTTCCCAGTGACTTTAGCCATCTCACTTTGCCATCCACCTTTCCATACATTGACGACTGTGTCGGGTAGGACCTGCACATTATTGTCTACAACCTCCTGCCAGATGATATACTCTCTACCTAGACCGCCAACTATCTTCAGCAACCTTAAATCAAGTAGAGAGAACGATTTTTGATTAAATGAGTGACACCCAGTGCAATACACGAATTATTTGCTGATGACCAAATATAACTGTTCTTCAACAAACACTGGAAACTGTATAATGCCATTTTGAATGTTGAAATGGGTTGTTCGCCAAGTTGAATAAGAACAGAGATGGGTCCTATTCTCCTTAACTAGTTGCAAAAGCTGAACAATATGTAACCGTTCATCACTAGTTTTCAAAAACTAGACTACAAATGTAAAACAAGAGCATAATTGGAGACCCACGCGTATGAACAACTGGTAAACTCATGAAGAACGAAAACCACGTACTGCTAACGTACAGCGAGATCGTGCTAATTTAGGGTCCAACTCTGACCAGCCTACAAGTAACTACTACAAAGTTTAAGTGTTCTTTCCGTTTGTTGACCATGAGGTCTAAGAATCGAAATTGACACCAGATTTTCACAACGCAATCAAGGTTTGATACTTGCAAGACAGACTGTCGACGGCAATGAGCATTGAGAACCGCGATCAAAGTAAAATCCTCAAATATTACAAGAAGTTCCTCACAATTCCGGAACCTCTTATTTCTCAGTAGAGATTGAAAAGTGGAAAAAGTACCACAAAAATATTCCCTTCAAAGAACGGCCACAAACTGCAAATTCAGCCCTTTTAATAGCTGTTTAAAATTCTCAGACATTTCCAGCCATTCACACAAGATCCTTACCATTCTTTTACTACACCCATGGGAAGTGATTCTTGTGAACGCTCTTTTTTGTTCTGAGGCCTGTCAAATTTCACAATGAATGAGGAACCCTTAAGTGGCCTAGGGATGTTCCTCATTCATCGTGGAATGGATCACATACCGGAATCTGGGGTCATTTACCACGTGAAACGAAACTGGCACGAGTGACCGAACCTGGTCTCATTTTTAACTCAGTTCCATGTGTATAACTACAGTGCAATTGACTGATGACGATATTTTAGAAGGAAATTAATCCATTTGGAGATAAACCTAGACTTATCTGATCAGATAGTGATGTATCAATAGTTTACCAAACCTTAAGCACTAAAAATACCTATCCTATTAAACTATGACTGATTAACTTTACTTATGACGGAATATCTATGAAAATTAGTATTTCCAAGTCTCTGCATTCATTATAACCTGAGATAAAGTTCAATTTTCGTTTCGCGTTGTAATAACATTTCAGCAGGCAAGGCGAAACGAAAACAGAAGCTGTTGGAGAGAATGTACGAGAACCGCCATTCACTACAAAATTTTCTGAAAGAGCATAGCTCCAGACTTTGCTTTATTGTCCCCCAGCTGTCAAAAATTTCTAGCTACGGCCTTGAAAACCCTGAAAATGACTTTAACTAGTCACGACCTTACTTGCTTGCTGATAAAGGCCGTCAAAAGGGCATTTTATTGGAAATTTTAGTTTGTAATTTTTTAATTGCATTAATTATCTGGAACTGGTAAGAATTGCTGAAAGTACCAACAACAGCAACAAAAACCAAATTAAAAAACAAAAATATTTTGACTTACTTCTGTTCGTAGTATTGTTCCAATAACGAGTAATTTTGTTTGAAGCCCATCTTGTCCATCCACTCTATAATATCAGGATTACTCTGCCTAATAACAAAGCCAACATCGTCAAAATGAACCCTGTGTACTGCAGGCAATAGTTTGCTCTGGTTTTCTACCACTATGCTTTGCTGAGAAATCTTGCACCATTTTCTCAACCGATCAGAATAAAATCAAAACCATTTGAATAGCCGACATGTGTTTTTCCTAAGCTTTCGAATGTACATTAGTCTACAAGCAAGCTCTCCATTTATCTCACAGAATATGACTACATATAATTATGTGCTTTGAGGACTGATAAGTTCATTTAACACTTTGTCATTGGCTGACGAAACTGGCACCACTTTCTCAACCAATCAAAAGTAAAACCAACATTCCCAAATTTTTAAATTCATAAACATTTCCTTGTTTCAGTCCTCTGCCACTGCAGACCAATCTGTAACTGCGAACTAACAACATGTTGCAAACAAATACAAACTTCAACTTTAAGCAGCCATGAAAAACGTCGAGACTCAGAAGAAAAAATGTCTTTTTTACTTCATATTAAAGATATTCACACATACGTGAGATAAAAACACCCATACTCTTCCTCTCCTCCATTCACCATTGTTTCTCATAGTTTCTTGTGAGTAACTTTGACAAGGCAAGAAGCGGGGACCACAAAACCAACATCTTGAACAGGTCATTTAAGCTCAAGTAAGGTTCAGTGTTTCAAGCATCTTTGTAACTGGTTGTAACTTTGGGCTTCTGTTTGCTTTCCAAATCAGATTAATTGCTTACATACCGTATTTATTCGAATAAGCGCCCAACCTCGAATTAGCGCCCACCTCGAATAAGCGCCCATCCTAAAGGCCGAAAAAGTTAATAAGCGCCCAGCCTTGAATAAGCGCCCACCCCCTCTTCCTCCCAATCAAACTCAAATAAGTGCCCACCCCCACCCCACCCACTTGAGTGAATAAATTCTAATAAGAGACTTCCCCGAGAACAGAGTTTTCTTCAGAGTATTTTACAGAAACTTTGCTTTGTTACTTCTTCGCGTTTTGTTATTAGCATTTATTGTTTTGTTGCAAAATAAACATACTTCACTTGCTTAACGTGGTGAAAATTTAATAAGCGCCCAGCCTCAAATAAGCGCCCACCTCTAATAAGCACCCACTCTCAAGGTCCAAAAACTTAATAAGCGCCCAGGGCGGTTAATCGAATAAATACGGTAAGCCAAGAGGAGGGCAAGCAACCTTACAGCCAAATTCAGCTGACATTTCAATTTTTCAAAAAATAATTGTTTTAGAAGAAATCTCAAAATACATGAAGAATGCTGCACTGAGGACAGTTTATTAATCAATCACCTTTTGAGAAAAATAAAGTCTATTAGACAAGTACAGTTCAACACTGTGTTAAGAACACAATACCAGCTTACCAGCAGCTAAAGGGAACCTCGTCACCTCCCAGGTGTAGATATTTGTCTGGAAATCTGCTGACCACTTCTTGAAAGAACTCTGCCAGGAATTCATAGTTGCTATCAATAATTGGATTGATAGGTCCGTAACCCCTGTTAAAAAGCACAGGCTGTAAACAACATGACGATGGTAATAAAGTAACTGTCAACCTGACAATAATTTCATGGGTGGAATTAGGAGTGTTCCAAGGGACCTCCCACCTTCCCCCGCACCTTTTCTGGAAATTTTGTATTATTTCTAAAGATACAGTAAATAAATAGTATGTATATATAGCTGGCAAGTGTCCCAAACCCTCTCCAACCATTTTTGAATTTTCTGATCCACCCCTGAATTTCATTGTCTTTCCTTTAGTGGTAGCAAGATCTCATCTTACGTTAGATGCTCTGTTAATAGTGATTTGTCTGTTGGAACCCTGGCCCTTGAGTTGTTCAAAAGGTAAATAACATTATGCACTGGATAAATCTCTATCCAGAAGGTAACGCAACTGGTTTCCCTATAACATATCTGGGCCGAGTTGTTCAAAGCTGGGTTAAGATAACCCAGGGTTAGTGCGACTGAGATTGAATTCAGATTCAAAAGCTTAGAAGGCATTTCAGTTTTAATTCTTTTTGTCTACAAGTTGATGATTGGAAGCTCTAAAAATAGGACAGAAATTATCCAAGAAAATGCTTTTGAACACAAGAAAAAGAAACCCGGGTTAAATTTAACCCTGGGTTGCGCGCTAATCAGCCTTCAAACAACTGGGCCCTGCTGGATAGTGATTTATCCAATAGACCTATCCAATGTTTGAACAACCGGGTCCTGGCTAGTAACAGGCCAATAAATAGAGCTTAGACACTTTACAGTGTATAGGGATGGAATAAACCTTGGACAGCCGCAAAATATGAATCATGTTTTTTTTATTATTATTATCCTTTCAAATTACACACAAATATACACAACATGAACTATTACAGACAGCAAAACGTCCTGAGAAGACATTCTACTTGGAACTTACTGACAATATTCTTATTGAAAAGCCACAAAAAGAGAAGATGATTTCTTACCCCGAAGGTTTTCCTTGTGAATAACATGGTGTCAACAGATCAGGAATGCTCCTCCATGAAAATGTGTGCCCCTTGAAGACATAAATAATCTAAGCTAAACAGTCTTGGTAGCTAAAAGGTCAATTGTAAAATAATATTGTCTTTCCAAAACTGAATGCTACACTTGATGAAGTCCAAAGACAAAATCTTTGCAAAGAAAAGAACATTAATTCAAAATTTTAAGGACAAAAAACATAAGTATGTCGATGTGTCCATAATTCATACTACAACTCAGACACCAATAATATTAAATATACACTTACAGGTGTATCAAACTCTGGAACCACTCGAATTCCTCTTAACCTTGCATACTCTAAGATCATAGCAATGTCATCTTTGGTATAAATGTGCGTTTTGTTATTCCAAGCTCCCTGAAAGTAACAAGTTGTCAGTCCCTTATTTTAATATCATAGACTGTCACACTGCCTATCATAGATATGTTTTTTTTTTTAGTCATTAACACGGCAGTGGCAACCTAAGACCTCCTGGTTACTAGTCCAGATGCGCTACCACCAACCTAGAGGAGACTTGTGGGAGCTTAAGGCAGATTTAGGTGGTAGGATTTCTGCTTACGAATATCATGTGCGACTAGCATGTGTCCTGACCTCACAGCAGATCGCGTCATGTAAATTAGACCGTACGACACTGTGGATGTCCTGAGTAAAAATTGTGCGCGTGACGATGGTCGAAAGTCATGACATATGCTAGTTGCGCATGATAGTCATAAGCAAAAATCATAATCGGCCTTAAGGCCACTACAAATTAAAACCTAAGGTTTATTTGACAAACATCCTGCATACTGTTAGAATTGGAAAATTGATAAGCGCTTATCCACAATGGTAGAAAATAATGTGATGGTGAATTTTTTTTCCAGTCAGTTCCTGTACATGTGTCACTAAAAATGCTCTATGCAGACAAAAACAACCCATCAAACAAAAATATACTGGATGGCACCAAACCAGAACAATGATTAAATAGCAAAAAACAAAACACAAGAAACAGAAGAAATGGACAAGGTTCCTAGGATTACTCAGGAAATGGCGTATCAGACCTGACTTAGATATACTGGACCAACCAATACATAAAGAAAACGGATGGTCATGAACCAAACGACAACAAGCAGAACTTGCAGAGAGAACGGGAACATAATTCCAACAACAACAAAACCAACAAAAAAACACAGATGGCATAAATCAACCCAGAAGTTGGGAGATATGTACAAAAACCACAAATGCTCCAAAGAAAAAAAGAAATCAGTATAAAGCCACCCAAAAATAATTAAAGAAAAAGATGACCAATTTTGTCACATACATGTACAGCTGTATAATCACAATAATGATATACCCAACAAAAACAAAATTGGCTGGCCATTGGAAACTGGACTCGATACAGTAGTTTCCTTTGCTCTAGAGGAGCAGGGGACAAGGGGACATAACATAAACTTATCATGTTACTTACTACGTTACTGAGCTCTGGGAATTTTTCACTGACATAAGGAAATGACTGATCATCAACAATATGCCAATGAAGAACATTGAACTTGCTGTATGACAAAGCATCCTGATACGTAAAATCAAGGCAGTTAGAAATCAATAACAGATGCTTTCGATAAACATTTAAGAATAAAAATCAACGATAAAAATTCACTATACTGAAGAAATGTCGTGGGAAATTTGAATGCTTGATCTACGAAATGCTTTTTATCCAGGAAAAGAAACCCAAACTGAACACTCAATCAGACTCAATAAAAGCGAAACTATTTAGTACCTAATTAACACTCACTACATTCCACATTGTAGTTTTTAATCACGTGCAACGAGACTTCACACGCATTCTTAATATATAGAGAACTTTTAACAATGTAACTTTTTAGAATTTGAAAATGATGAGCGAGCCATCGAAACGTCATAATTCAAAATTTTTATCGTTGATTTTTATTCTTAAAAGTTAGAAATCAAACATTCATAAAAAATTAAAAGCTAATTGCTACGTCAAATAAATTTCCCCATAGGTCACAATCCAGCAATCTGATGAGAGAGAAGCATTATTCTTTCCTGTAACTTTTAAAGAACTCTTGGAGCAGAGATGTGATCATGGTGATGGCAATTTATTGTCTACCAACAATGCAGATAAATTGTTTGTTCCCTTCCCTGGTTAGTGACAATTTTTTTGCAAAGGTACAAAATCTCAACTGCTTTTTAATGTTCCCTCTCCATCTCTCTCTCTTGAAAAACATAATTCCAGATTTTAATTCAAACTGAAAGTTTCCAATTAAGTGGGAACCTGAGGAGGGGCAAAAATTTATCAGCTCTTGGAACTCTCATTTACTTTCAACCACCGTAAATAACATTAACTTTCTTGGCTTTGTGTGACATATAACGTCTTGAGTTTACTTACCAAGAACTTGAGAATTACTGGGACATTTATATAGTGTCTTGAGGTGTCAATCAGAAATCCCCTGTGATGAAACCGTGGATAGTCAACAATCTTGGTCCCATTGGCAACATACTTTTAAGTAAAGCAGATTTAAAAAAATCAAAATGTGGTGACAGCATCAGCTTTCAGGTAGTCATGCACCTCAACATTTAAACAAAAATTGAAATTCCTGTCTACCGATACTTTACATGCACATAATTTTACATGTAGTGTCATAGATATATATCTGATTAAAACAACGTGGTCGCCTGAAAGGTATAAACAATGAATGATGCCACCTGATGGGTTTGTGGAACTGCAATTCAACGTTCTCTCTAGGATGCCTGATATGTTCACTCTACACGTAATCTGCCCGTAGCCCAAAATCTGGACTTTTGTCTGACGGGTCGAAAAACAAAAGAGTTTTTGGAGCCCTGCACCGATTGGTTACAGACAACTAATCTGACTTCTGGTGCAATACGACAGGTTTGCCCTTCATCTCTTCATGACAGAAACCACGAGGTGATTGAGGAAATAAATTAATTTATCAGCCAGCTTAGGGTTAAGGTAGGAAAAAAAACTTGTTTTCAGTGAATCAAGGCAACAATGCAGAGAGAAAAGCCTTGTCGGCTGATGCATGAGGACGAGTTGTTATTTATCACTGGTAAGTATATCTGCCATTTCTTCTTTGACACCTTCTTGCTTGGATGAGGCAGAATTTAAGTCAAGAGCCTTGTCTTTGATTTTCTTGTCCGTTCCCAATCGAATTCAACTTCGTGGAACTGTGTAAAACAAATGACGATTTTACACCTAGTACACTTATGCAAAATGATGAAAGATCATGACAGATTTTTTGCCGTAAAATCAATTCCTATGTACTTTGAACACTCACAGTAAAATACAGAATTCTGTTGTTCCACGACGGTTTTCAATGAATTCAGTATAATCTGTGATGTTTTTGATAACGCTACTGTATCAACTTACCATATTCACCGCTTACCTCAATATTATTAGCTGCCTTGGCTTTGTTGCAAAACACTTAAATTTCCGGTAAAATCCGACATGATGACACAAATGTTGAAAGATACCTTAAATAGGGAGCACCAGACGACTCGCAAAGTAAATGTATCAGGCGTCCTTTTTTTCTTTCTCCGTCTGCCAACTTTCTTGCTTCCCCCGCAAAAAAAAAGCCTAATTGCAAATTAGGTTTACAAGGTTGCCAGTGTTCATGGCATGGCACCTTAAGGCATTTTACGTTCCTTCAGAGATCTCTCTAGTTATAGAGAGTAATAAATTAGAAGTTTTCACCATGTCTACGAAAAAGTAATTCTGGGATTTGCATCAGTGTGAGCAGCTCTTGATAAACATGATTCATGATGCAAGCTAACTTTGAATTTCCCTTGCATATGACATATTTCTATTAATCCTTGATGTCTCATTGTTCCTGGTCTACACATTTTAAGCGACATATTAATTTTCTTTAACCACGGTTAAGTACAGTGTATAATACCAATGCAACAAAAATCTAACAAGAGAAATACTCAGTCTAAGCTACATTTGTATTAACACTTCAAAGCTAACTAGCTAATAGTGGTTTTCTACTTTCCATTTTTAGTAATAGTTTCATTTATTTACCAAGATGAATTTGCTGTTAACTTATGCACCAATCGATGTAAATCCCTCCCCCCACCTCCACAACCTGGGAAATGCAGGGACTTAAGTGGGGACAAAGCCTATGTTTGACAATCAGCAGTGCCCTGGTACAGGAGGTCTTGGATGAGAGTTGCTTCTTCAGTTAATCCAGACTGGGGAATTTCTTTGCGGGAGGATTAGAGTCTCTGCCTCATAAAAAAAATTCCAAAATATGAAACGTTAACAGACTGTTTCTTGCCTGTTACACCTAACAGTTTCTCTGACATGGACACTGTCATACTGTGCCGGAGGAACCACTCAAAAAGAGCATGATAAAATACCAAAAAAACAGCCTTAAATAACTAACACTGGACGAAAAAACGGATTTACCTCTATAGCAAATTTGGAGCAAATCATCTGCAAATCCCACATTTGCTTAATTTTGCTCAATTTTGCCACATGACATAGGACCAACTTTGCCATAATTTTGCATCAGTGGCAAAGGTGGTAAATGCCGAATTTGCCTCAAATTTGCCCCGTGTGTAAAAACAAGGATAACCTTTACTTTATCAAGGCATTTACAGGGGTGTCAAACTTGATAGCAAAACTGACATTTGTCAGGTTTTTGCCCAAATGGGCAAAAGCGATCATTTTTCAACAGTTTTGCCCAGGATAGTAAATCTGAGCAAAAATTCACGTTTGCCACTGTTTTGCTCAGGGTAGCAAATTTGGCCAAATACCACTTTTTTCTCAAGTTTGCTCAGGATGGCAGATATGATCAAAACAGTAGTTTCCCATACTTTTCCCCATTGTAGCAAAGTTGATCAAATATCAGTTCTTCTGTATCTTTGCTCAGGATGGCAAATATTGCCATGATAGCAGTTTTCCATACTTAAAGTAAGGTAAACAAAGTTGATTAAAATATCACTTTTTTACACTTTCACTCAAGATAGCAAATTTGATCAAAACATCATTATCCAGATGTTTCTTATTTTCATTTGGTACCATAAATGACTCACAAACAATTAAGACACCAAACAAAATTTCAAGAATAAAATGACTTTATTATCTTTAATATACACTGTACAATAAAAAGCAAGATAAATTAAAAGAAAGTTCCATTGACCTCTGCAGGGCACTGCATGTACCACAAAATATATGCCTTTAAATAAAAAGCACATACAATGTGAAACTATCTAAATTCATAAGTGTATAAGAATGTACATTGGGTTTGAAAGTGCAAGTCAACACTAGATGGTTCATAATTATCTAAGGTTGGTACAGGTAAAACGTAACTCCATTTGAGTGGTATACTTCAAATATACTCTTTCTAGATTCAATTGATACTATTGGCAAATGGTTGTACGATGACAACAAGTACACATCACTCCCAATGTAGATGTGACATCCTTACTAACGAACAGAACATCAACCACAGGAAATAAAATTAGCCTCAAATTATTATGATGTTTATATTCCTCTAATTATTATTTATAAGAACTTGTTTTCATCTGATAAATATTATCCACTACCCAAAATAGGCAGTGAATAATATCATATAGTGTACCTAGTGCTATTCACTTACCCCAAGGGAGATACATCTGTATGATTCATTTTTTAACCAAATCAGTTATATAAAAATATTTCTTGTAAATAAAATGAGTTACTATCGAAAGCTCTGTGCATTTCTATGATTTGGGTACGACTTTGATATATTTCTACCCAGCAGTAAACACTTATAAGGTTAATTTTGTCACCTTTTTAGCATGTACATGTATTTTATTTTACAGGTGCTTTATTTACTGCTAAACCTCTAAAACTAGCATGAAATGACACCCCAATTTTACTCTCATCCTATAGGTAGCCAAAAGCTTTTCAAGTTATGAAAGCAAATCTGCTATCCACTGATTTGGTTAAATACTTGTATTATTATTATTACTATTATTATTATTATATCACTGTAAATAATATGATTTGGTGAAATTCTTGTATTATTATATGACCATAAATAATTTATTACATTTGTTTTTTTTTACTAAAATCAAATTATTTGCTAAAAATTTGAGCAATTATTTTCTGATTCACATGATCAGCTGTTTTGCTTGCAGTATTGGACTGATTAAATATCCAAATTATCCAAACACAATCTATACACTATGAAAGCTCTGTAGAACTTCTTTAATTCATCATCATTATTATTGTTATTGGCATGCAGGTGATTAAAATTTAAGCCATGCTTATCAAAAAAACTGTTATCACACACGGTATTTTTTTTTTTTTGCATAAAACATAACTGCACTCTTTTTTTCATAAAATATGCCAAGAACAAAATAGGATCATGGCATTTGGAGTCCAGTAATTACTCTACTATGGGGTGTATTGGCTAGATTTAGTCCTCGGAGTGGCACTTTTTAAGGCAGTGCTTAGGGTAGCCCTAGGATTTGTCACCACTGCGGAAAGTGGATGCAGATGTATCTCCAATTACATATGTTGGGTGAATGGACACGATGACTGAAAATACAGCTGCATTTACAGGCTACTAGATGGAAGGTTTTAAAATTCAGTAAAGTTGCCAAGTTACAGAGTGATTCGTGCAAACTAACAAGGACAGCTCTGCAAAGATGGCAAATTTTGCAGACATTTGTCTGGTAAGGGAAAGTTTGTGGCTCCACCATACCATACAAAGGTCATTGAGATTATGTGACTTTGTGTCAACACTTTATTTCAAATCGGACTAATCACAAACAGCGTAAGAACCTAGCCAATCACAAAATGCTGACATACATGCATGTCTTTGTGACGCAGTGGGATTCAAACATGATATTGTGCACTAATTCTCAGACGGCATGCTCTATACAGAAGGTTTAGAGTGTCTGCAACACAGGCAAGATCTTCATTGGATTGTGACAAATCACTTTGAGATTTGGTAATTTACCTAGTTTTAACATGGCTCCTTCCCATGGGTGTCAAAGGATATTCACTTACTACATTGTAGGTCTTCATCAAAACTCAAAAAATTGTGCAATTGTCTACTGAGTAATTTAATATGGTTCTAGGAACTTAACTGAAAAGGAACTGAATCATGATGCATGTCAACTTCAACTTGAGTGTTATTATTATTTTGTACATTTTTATCTAAAATGTCTTCTTCTTTTCTGAATGTTCTTCGAAAAATTATGTGTTATGCTTATGATCAAGTTCCTTTTTCTATTGTAAGTGGTGGGTGCCAGAGCAAACTCAGGAGCATCGTCTGGTGCTCCTTGATTTGATGCTGGTCTCACTGTGTGCTCTATTACCATTATTTTCACTTCATTGACTTTGACACCATGCAACTTTGCGGTCCAACTGGGCCATTAAACCATTAACCTCAATGCTCTGCCAGGAAAGTGGCCTTACACAGAGATTTTCCCTGTTTGGGAGGTCCTCATCTGAACCTGAAGAATTACCTTCATGCCACTCTGATACAGCTGTTTCAGACAAAGACTCCTCTGATGACATATATGCAAAGGACATACATGCAAGGTACTTGTCCTTGTCTGACTAACTGATGCTAGTTGACTCCCTCAGAGCATATTGGCCTTTTTATTTTTTTTTTCTGAAAGAAATATGACGAACCATGATTTAGCAGCCAACAAGTAACCCACAGTTGGTAAACAAGCATGTACTGCTCATACTCAGTGTAAATGATTGGGTTGCAGAACAATGACACAATGCTAAAAGCTGAAAACACTCTCTTAATCAAAGGAACAGTTTGAGGATATTTGTGAGAAAAATTTCTCCCCGCATTTTATTCCTACTAACTTTTTCATTAAATATATAATATGTTTTTTGGAACAGGTGTTAAAGTAGAGAGCAGAAATGCCTCTTTCTGTTGAATCTGCATTTGTTTCATTAAGACTCTTTTAAGTGTAAATAAAGACTGAAATAAATTAATTCCCCTGTCATTCAAGAGCAGAACTGATAGTGTCCCACAGGTCACCAGGCTCTAACAGAGCACAACCATGACTCAACTGTACACATAAACCGTAAAACCGGTCAGAACCTGAGAAACGTAACATTAAGGCAACCCACATGTTGCTTAGAACAATAATTGATTAATTGTGGTTATTTGGCATGATAAAGCCAAAGCATTTACTTGCAAAATGAACTAACAAAGATGAGAGTATACAATATGCGAGCCAGCGAGGCATGCGAGCCATGCGAGGCAGACGTGCGAGGCGTGCGAGCCATGCGAGGCATGCGAGCCAGACATGCGAGGCATGCGAGGCAAGCTTAATATGAAAAAAAAAAATAGTAATTAATAGCTCGCGACGAAAGCGACTTCATGTAAGAAGGCATGAGATTACGCGGTCTAGTTCGCTCGTGTCCAGCACTCTTTCTCCGGACCGTCTGAGAATCACGCTAACTGGTTGGACAATATTTCAACGAGGTGTTCAGAAAACAGGTCACGTGACCAGAAAACAAACACCAAGAGTGCAAAAAATCTGTGGTACGGATGATGTGATTGGTTTTTCTTTCATAACTACCTCCGGGAGATCAAACTTGGCCAAAGTTAAGTCAGGAAACTAAGGGAACCCAATAAATGACGATTAGAAGTCACCCAAAGCAACCATTTTGTGGAGTCCCCCCCCACCTCCCCTTTTGGCCCATTTTTTTACAATCCATTTCCATCCTGCCCATCCGCAGCCCAAGACACTTGTTTTTACTCTTAGAGCACTAATAGAATAATTTAAAACAAAACTTGACCTGTATTTTTAGGTTTTCACTGACATAAAGTTGTATTTCGGCTTTCAAAGGTAGCACTAATCAGTACTCATAAAAATTCCCAATCACCGACAAAGAAATTATGGTTATTGTATTGACATGACAAGTTACCATAGCAAAGGTACTCTGTTAAACCCTTAATTTTAGATAAAATGGTCAAAAAAAAACGAACTCAGTGACCCATTTTTATTATTGAGTAATGATAAAGTTAAAAAATTCTAAGGAGCAGTTTCAGAGCCACCTTACAATTCAACCTGATCATGACTCAATAATAAAAAAAAAGAGGGTGTTTTCATCAAGTTATACTGTTGCTATGGTAATAAGTGACATTCACTTCCGGGGGTATTTACATTCCACAATTTATATCTTTATACAAAATAGAGCTGAAGGGGAAACCAAGTTACGGGCCATGGAGGAAGCCTTGTTTCTTCCAAACAAAACTTTATTAATGCATGAAGTCAATAAAAGAAGCACAAGTGGTATTAATTATTAATATTAATCAAAGCTTTTTGCTCTGAAGTCAACTCAGGATCATATGTCACAGCTACACCAGCTTGAAATGGTTTAATATAACAGTTTCTTGGCAATTTTGAAATGCATTCTTTTCGTGGACAGAAGAAGAACGTTCTTTTTATCCATGTCAAATGAATAGTTCTGTATGGACCCTCTGTACTTGCTTGAGAGCACCAAACGAAATTATGTTCTTGCAAGTTGCACATTTTGCTTCTTTTGCGTGTTTTCTTGATGTCAATGTGAAAAACTTGATTATCTGTGCTGCATTTGCTGACATCTGTCACCGGAACACGGTGCGGAAATGCCTCGATAACTTTTTCCCATTCTGCATTGGAGAACTTGCGCTTGTAGATCAATGGACAGGACTGCTCAAAATTAAAGATTTTATACAACAGCCACACTAAATGTTGAAAATTTTTTTTTGCATCCTGCAGGGCTCGAGCAAGTAGTGTTCTCCTTGGAGATAGTAACATTTTGTAAGTATCCCATAGTATCTAACATACAGAATTCAAAAGAAGTCATGTCACTTTTATATTCAAGAATATCCATAGATACTCCTTCAACTGACTTTTCGAAGTATTTCAACTGCTTCTTAGTGGCCAAATTGTTTCCTTGGGTTGGTGGTTTTTGAGTATTGCTATTTTTCTTTCTTTTGTCAGACCTGTGGCTGTCCCTTGTGTTGACTCTAAAATCGCCTTTTGCCGTTCCAAAACTCTGCATTGGATTAGACTGTGCTAATAATGATTCTGCATTAGCTGCTACAAATTGAACTGCATCAGCAGATGCTTGCTGATCTTGAAACAAGTTTTGTTCCTGCTGTTCCTCACGATCTGCTATTGAGGGCCCACGTCCCACCGTTTTAAGGCCAATTTGTTGGCGCTTAATTTCCGCAGCTTCTAAAATTGCTGATGAACATTCTGTCGTGACAACATCAAGGAGTCTTTTGCGATAACCAGAAGCGCTGATAGATTTTGAGTTTGCGACTTCTGCAGATGACGCAGAACTTGATGCATCTGTTTTGCACCAGCGCTGCCACCTTAGTCTTCTCCTCCACCACCAATTCTTGAAATTTGTCATCTTCTTTTTTATCGGTTGCCTTTGTTGCAATAAGTTTATCTAGGGCTTTCTCAGCTACGTCTGCCTGTATAGAGGTTGGGGCATTCATTGCATCAGACATAATCTTTGAAAACGATGTCTTATCAGATGCATCCCTGAAGTACTTTTGGTGGCGATGTATGTCCTGTTTAACATGATAAGTGTCTGATACTGTTCTGTCTTTGACATCGTTGCCTTTGGCCTTGCAAAGGCCACTCCAGAGGGCACCACCCTCATCCCCAACATACGCATGGGCATCCAAGCCACGCCCTCTGAAGTCTTCTGGATTGTGGCCATGCTCTTCAGCCACACGAGGTAAAATTTTGTTAACTGCTTCATCAAATGATGAAACCATCTTTGCAACGTTATCCGAATTCTCGCCAGGCTTTGGGGCAAACATACTGACAAGCTTAACGTTTCTTCTTATTAGAGGATAATAGGTTGTCATTTCAACCTCTGAGTAGTTTTTTTGCATGGCTTTCACAACCATCCAAACTTACTGGCTCATGAACCATGCCCAGTGTTATATGGGCCCCAAGACGAATTTTCTCTTCGGAAGAAAGAATGACAAAGTCATGGCCAACTTCAAGTATTAAATTGTTGTCTAAACCACGCTTCGCAAAGTCCTCCTTTAAGACACGCACAGCTTCAATGTCTGATCCGCCAGGTCTTGTTGTTTCTTGCATTTTAGTTTGAATGTATTGGAGGTGCCTTCTGTTGCTGTACTGCATGGCAACATCAGCAACCTCCTCTCCACTTTTTCCACTTAACAGGGCTTCCCTTACAGTCTCCATTTGTAGCTGACCTGGCGTAATGGTGGGTCGAACACGCACAACCTTTTCAACTTTGCTTTTGTCAGGCTTCCTCTCTCGTACCCTTGGTTGACAAGAGTGCTCACCGATGTAAATCACTTTCATTTTTGTGTGGCACCTGTCATTTTCCACATATTTTGCGCGCAGAACATTTTATTTCTGATGCTACTGCTTTTGCAATGTAAACAGGTTTTCTTCTTAGTGAAGTCAACCTTATTAGTTGCTTTGTGGATCTTCTTAAAAGGACAGGAAAGATTAGGGCATTCCATGGAGCCTTGACAGATCTGTAAGGTGCGTCTTCCTCCCTCACAGAAATCCTTTCTTTTACATGGCTGTGCGCGACCCCAGTTCCAGTCATCTGCAACAGCTGACAGAGGGTCCTTCTCATTGTACAGGACTTCATATTTAGCTGGGCCATTGGGAGTGGGTGGAACTGCTTTAACCATGGTATCTTCCATGTCATCAATCTCCTCCTGGTTCAGATATGTCCTGTTACCTTTCTGTATAAGCATACCTTCCCTGAAAAGGACAAAATGATACATCAAAAACGAGAAAAGTTCGATCACTGTGTCTCATCTAATTTGTGTGCATTGCATGCCTATGATGTTGTATAATCTAACTCTCTGCACGCAGTGCATGCCTATGATGCTGTATAATCTAACTTTCGAACTCTCTGAAGCAAAAACTCTTGCTGCTGCATTAAGTAACCATCCAACAATCAAAATTGAAGCATTTTCCATTAAATTTGTGTAAACTCACTTGTCATCAAAAAGAGCTTTCTTGGTGCTTTTTCTTTCATCTTCTTCAATTTTGAGAACTTTCACCTTTTTTGTTGGCGTGTTTTCATTGGAACTTAAGCCTCTCAAACTGTTTGCTAAATCTTCAAGCACATCCTCCTGCAATAAATAAATAAATAAATAAATAAATAAATAAGAAATATTATAAATTAATAAGGTAAAGGTAGTTAAAGTCTGCATACAAGACAAGTGGCCCATTAGGGTAAACACTTTTTAAAATAGGTTGGGCCGTGGTGATACTGGTATTTTCAGTCTTCTTTGTATGAAACATAATCAAGCAAGGTCAAGGTAAGTATGGATCTTGGGTTTTACTTATTTAGTTTGCAGGTAACATTCTTGTGGTAAAAGGCGTTGTTACCGTAACTTTTTCGTTGTCGCTTACGCTTCCTTCCTCTTTCTTTCTCTTTTCTGTCTCTTTCCATAGAGCTTTCGTCATCCGAGCTTACAACTGTCACCTGTTTTGTCTTTTTATGCTTCCTTCTGTTGAACAGTTGGTCGCCTGAGGTTTCATCGCCAGAACTTAAAATGATGACATTTGGAGAGCCTAAAAAAAAAGTAAATGAATATAATAATGAAGGTAAACTTTTAAGGATATATAGATTTCCCTATAATGGGTTTAAGCACCTACCAGAATGTATTTCACTTCTTTACAGTATACGACATTAGTTTGACTACTGTTACAGTGGTCACCCAGACAAAGTTGACAAATCACACTGTACAGCCAAAATTATACAGCCACCGTTATATTTAAAAATCAATCAATCTAATATTTCATTGGCTAAAGAAAAGAAAAGATGCTGTTCTGCTTTGTGATTGGTTATCTTTGTCCGGGTGACCCAGGTAACAAGTCAGACTGTAAAACGTGTTGAAAGTTGTTTTTGTTTCTTTTGAGATTTGCTAATGCAATTTTGTCAGTGCGAGCAACATTGATGTCAGACATAACATTATAGCATTATAGCAGTAAAGACAGCAGTAAGCCACCTTAAATAAATGACAGAATTCCAGCCAGTGGTAAAAGGGGAATAACTAAATTACCAGGAAGATAATAAATAATGCCTCTGAAGACAAAAAAATGACCTACCATACTAGTAGTTTCAACTGGACCAATTTCCTCTTTAACATCCATAGTGGTGCGAAACTCTTGCTCCATGTCAACCTCTGAATCGCTCGAAGAAGTCAAACAATCAGCAGCTCCTTTTGAGGCATCAAGCTGTCAAAAAGGCATTAAAATGACTGAATGGACTGAACACAATAACGAATGCAAAATTGCAATAGTTCAGTCAACTATCCACATATTGACAAACAAATTATCACATTTAAGAGCAAATGAATAATTTATGACACAAGAACTCGTAGCTTACCTTCAACGGGGTTCCCTTAAAAATGCTCACTCCAGGATTATATTCTTCTGGGCCATCATGGTGAAACTGAGGTGCATTACGATGCTTTTCAGTACCTGACAATGATATTCATAATCAGCTAATGGTGTGATAACTGTCAAGCATATCAAGGAACATCACTAATGCAAAGCATTACACTGTATAATAAAATTTTGTCTGGAACTATTCTGCATAAATAGGGGATTGTGTTTATGCTGGTGTTAAAAAAAATCACTGCATCTAGTGTAAATGGCCTTTAAAAGCAATTATAATACTTTGGTGTGCTGTACCATACAAACTGTAAGAGCCATACAACAAATTTTAACAATTTCAGGCTGATTTCTCACTAAGCATCCGCTAAATAAGAACATGATTCGCCTGAATCCTAAAATAAGTGTTCTTATATGCGGGTTTTTACTGTATTATCAAATCACAAGGATAGCAACAACAAGTTTGATCCAAAAAAAAAAAACAAGACAAAAGATCTCTAAAGAAATATAAAAAGTTCACTTACTAGTTGCTTTAGATATTTGGGGAGCATCATTTCTGGGCCGCAGAAGCATGTAGTGGTCACCAGTATATGCGAAGAAGATTTTGGCATATGTTTGGCCAGATGGATTTCTCACAATTTCTGTTCTCTAAGAACATAATCACAGCGAAAGGTCAAAATTAGATGGACAGAGCTATTACTGGTAATGTAGTATGAAGATAGGGAACTGGATACCCAGAGTTATTCAATTTTAAACAGAATACAAAATGACTAACCCCTTCCCAGTCAATAATGTGCATCTCAATGCAAATAATGCTGCCGCAGAAAGAATGGCAATATGTGTTGTCATTTCATTACGCAGACCTTCCACAGCCTGAAGCCATGATGATGGCCTCTTCCCAAGCCTAGGGAAGTCTGCGTCAGACAAGTACTGAAACAAGTCCTTTTCTTCAACTTCACCATCCTATGAATAAAAACATTCCAATTTGTAAGAAAAGAGATTCTGTCATTTCAGAGGTGATTATAAGAAATCAAGCATTCTGATTGGTAGAGAATTTATGCATATGTGACTATATTCCCCCTGGCCCAAGGTGATTATAGCATTTCAAGCCTTGGTCACTTAGCCACGCAAGGCAGGCGAGTAAACAGGGCGGACAGTTTCTGAATGAAATTATTGTTTTTTTTCGAAAAGCATCATTTTTTTTAATACTGCTCTTCATTTTACTGCCACAATTGGTAGTTAAGTTGATTTGCAATCAATTAGGCTATAGTGAACTGGAGTACATTCATTCAAGCAAGCTCTTGTAGCGTGTGTTTTCTCTGTGTTTCTTTCAATATTTTGTAGTCGATAATCTCCTCTGAAATTATACTAAAACAATTATTCGCCACGGGCACAGTGAATCAATGCAAATATTCTCCTTCACTTTGTTTCAGGGTATATTTGCCTTGGTTCAGTTGTTAAATATTAAAGGGGTGAGGGTGATGGTCGAGTTTCAAACCTTCTGGTAAACTCACTTATATGCATCAGTCAATTCCAACAGTGCTCATCCCCCCAGGCTAACCCGGGGCATTAGCATTTTGTTGGCAAATTCCCCAGGGGGTGGGGAACGCATAAGCTGGCAAATGCCCCGCCCCCAGGATCGTATAAAAACTAATAGATAATATGAACACTGCGCAGGCAACGTTCTCTTTGGAGAATTGTGACATTTTCAAAGATATTCATAACTTTTCCGTCTATAACTTGCGTATTAGAGATAACTCATTTAAATTCACAAAACGAAGCACAAAGTCAACTCAGTGTTTGTTGCATGCAAAATGCATTTTTTGTTTGCCGCATAATTTGGCTTCTAATTGATTTTTTAATACATGATATCATATAGTTGCTTCTATAAAGCACTGGAAAACTTTCTAAAATTAGAAAACTTACATTTAAAAATCTCAACAAGTTTCTCTTGTCGTTTTTATGGACAAGCCACTGTGACACGAAATCCAAATATTTTTCCACGAAAGCCTCAATCACGAAGGTATAAAACAGGCAACTTAACGTCGACATGTTTTGTGCGCGTACAAGTTACTTCTTCTGATAGCGCACGATTTCTTAAATCAGGCTAGTGTGAATAGATTCATACCTTGTTTAAACAGGAAATAACTTGGTTGGAAATCATGAACGATTCGAGCATTTCCACCACATGGTCTTCTGACATTCCCAAGGACTTCGCTAAACAGCGATAGAAGCATCGGTTTTTGACCACCGGTGGATCAAAATGTAAGGTAAGGCCTCTTTTGCTGGCCTCAACAAGGGTTTGCAATCGTCTGTTTGACATCTGTTTAGTATGGAAATGATATACAGCTACTTGATTTACATGTATGCAAATGCATTCAAATTAGAAGCCATAAATAAAACTTTAATATCGTATCGGTTGTTAAAAGTTGTATTGAACATAATAAAATAGAAACACGTACCTTTACAAAAGGATGGCAACGATTAAGACAGATAGCAGACAAAATCTCTTCCCGATTATCAAAATGGCGTAGACCACGCGTACGAACCAAGGAGAAGGGACGAGAAGAAAAACTGGGAACGACTTAATTCATGTCTCACGTGTTGCCAGTGCCTCGCGACGTGCCTCGCATTTTCTGCATGCCTCGCGTGTCTGCCTCGCATGGCTCGCATGCCTCGCATGGCTCGCTGGCTCGCACATTGTGCATCCCCACAAAGATCCCTCGACATCATTGAGCTGTACAAAAGGTATAAATAATGAGGTATTGTCGTTTAAAATGTGGAACAGTAATACAGTGGTCACTTGGAATGACACTTATGCTTCAGGATCTGGCAAGTGCCGTCATTCGCAAAATGAGCCAAAATTAAGATCTCACAATATCACTGACCCATATTTATAAAGCATAAGAGTTTTGGATGGTACAATTTATGAAAGAAGAATCACTTCTCATTTAAATGTGGAACAATAATGCGGTGGTCACTCAGAATGACACATAGGCTTCAAGATCTGGCATACGCCGTCACTCGCAAAATGAACCAAAATTAAGATCTCACAATATCACTGAACCATATGTGTAAACCATAAGAGTTTTGGATGGTACAATTTATGAAAGAAGAATCACTTGTCATTTAAATGTGGAACAAAATACGGTGGTCACTCAGAATGACACATAGGCTTCACTCATAAAATGAAAAAAATGCCGTTACTCATAAAATGAACCAAAATTAAGATCTCACAATATCACTGAACCATATGTATAAACCAAAAGAGTTTTGGATGGTACAATTTATGAAAGAAGAATCAATTGTCATTTAAATGTGGAACAATAATACGGTGGTCACTCAGAATGACACATAGGCTTCAAGATCTGGCATATGCCGTCACTCACAAAATGAGCCAAAATTAAGATCTCACAATATCACTGAACCATATGTATAAACCATGAGAGTTTTGGATGGTACAATTTATGAAAGAAGAATCACTTGTCATTTAAATGTGGAACAATAATACGGTGGTCACTCCGAATGACACATCGGCTTCACTCGCAAAATGAAAAAAATGCCGTCATTCGCAAAATGAACCAAAATTAAGATCTCACAATATCACTGAACCATATGTATAAACCATAAGAGTTTTGGATGGTACAATTTATGAAAGAAGAATCACTTGTCATTTAGATGTGGAACAATAATACGGTGGTCACTCAGAATGCCACATTGGCTTCAAGATCTGGCATATGCCGTCACTCGCAAAATGAGCCAAAATTAAGATCTCACAATATCACTGACCCATATGTATAAAGCATAAGAGTTTTGGATGGTACAATTTATGAAAGAAGAATCACTTGTCATTTAAATGTGGAACAATAATATGGTGGTCACTCAGAAGGACACATAGGCTTCAAGATCTGGCATACGCCGTCACTCGCAAAATGAGCCAAAATTAAGATCTCACAATATCACTGACCCATATGTATAAACCATAAGAGTTTTGGATGGTACAATTTGTGAAAGAAGAATCACTTGCCATTTAAATGTGGAACAATAATATGGTGCTCACTCAGAATGATACATAAGCTTCAAGATCTGGCATATGCCGTCACTCGCAAAATGAACCAAAATTAAGATCTCACAATATCACTAAACTATATGTATAAACCATAAGAGTTTTGGATGGTACAATTTATGAAAGAAGAATCACTTGTCATTTAAATGTGGAACAAAATACGGTGGTCACTCAGAATGACACATAGGCTTCACTTTAAAAAAAAAAAAAAAATGCCGTTACTCGCAAAATGAACCAAAATTAAGATCTCACAATATCACTGAACCATATGTATAAACCAAAAGAGTTTTGGATGGTACAATTTATGAAAGAAGAATCAATTGTCATTTAAATGTGGAACAATAATACGGTGGTCACTCAGAATGACACATAGGCTTCAAGATCTGGCATATGCCGTCACTCACAAAATGAGCCAAAATTAAGATCTCACAATATCACTGAACCATATGTATAAACCATGAGAGTTTTGGATGGTACAATTTATGAAAGAAGAATCACTTGTCATTTAAATGTGGAACAATAATACGGTGGTCACTCCGAATGACACATCGGCTTCACTCGCAAAATGAAAAAAATGCCGTCATTCGCAAAATGAACCAAAATTAAGATCTCACAATATCACTGAACCATATGTATAAACCATAAGAGTTTTGGATGGTACAATTTATGAAAGAAGAATCACTTGTCATTTAGATGTGGAACAATAATACGGTGGTCACTCAGAATGCCACATTGGCTTCAAGATCTGGCATATGCCGTCACTCGCAAAATGAGCCAAAATTAAGATCTCACAATATCACTGACCCATATGTATAAAGCATAAGAGTTTTGGATGGTACAATTTATGAAAGAAGAATCACTTGTCATTTAAATGTGGAACAATAATATGGTGGTCACTCAGAAGGACACATAGGCTTCAAGATCTGGCATACGCCGTCACTCGCAAAATGAACCAAAATTAAGATCTCACAATATCACTGAACCATATGTATAAACCATAAGAGTTTTGGATGGTACAATTTGTGAAAGAAGAATCACTTGCCATTTAAATGTGGAACAATAATATGGTGCTCACTCAGAATGATACATAAGCTTCAAGATCTGGCATATGCCGTCACTCATAAAAATGAACCAAAATTAAGATCTCACAATATCACTAAACTATATGTATAAACCATAAGAGTTTTGGATGGTACAATTTATGAAAGAAGAATCAATTGTCATGTAAATGTGGAACAATAATACGGTGGTCACTCAGAGGGACACATAGGCTTCAAGATCTGGCAAGTGCGGTCACTCACAAAATGAAAAAAAATTAAGATCTCACAATATCACTGAACCATATGTATAAACCATAAGAGTTTTGGATGGTACAATTTATGAAATAAGAATCATTTGTCATTTAAATGTGGAACAATAATACAATGGTCACTCAGAATGACACATATGCTTCAAGATCTGGCAAACTTGTGCCGTCACTTGCAAAATGAACCAAATTAAGATTTCACAACATCACTGAACCATAATTATGTATAGATGTAAAACAAGAGTTTTTGACTGTAAAAATTTCAAAAGGGAAATCATTTGTCATTTGAAATGTAGTAGAATATTAAATAATAAATTATAGTGACCACTGCCTTGTCAAGTGCTGTCACCTGAAAAGTACAGTAACCCCAAAGATCTAACATATTAACTCAGCTGTACAACAAGCCAAATTTCTGAATTATGGACATGCTAAGGTCACATCACCGACTTTTTATATTGGTGTAAAAGAAATGTTTGCCTGCACAGCTCAAGATCCGGCTACTTAAGATTATTCCATTAATGAAGACGATGCGCAACAAAGAGTACAGTTATTTCTGCAGTAAACAAAAAGGAATCAATCAATGGCATATTATCTGTGCATGCATCTTAAATTTTAAGATTTATCTTTGAGGTTTTAAGCTTACGCAAAGTTATTAGAAAACCAAAGTAAGTAAACGAACCACGATATCAAGAAGAACATACCTTTCTGCAATCCAGCTGAGTTGATGACTTGGAAACAGGCTTTATGTGAAGAATATCGCAACTGATCACTGTCTCTCGAAAATAACAAAGGTATAAATCGTAATAGAACAGCTGAATAGAAAGACAGGCTTTCTATTATCCGAAAATAACAAAACTACTCGTTTTGCAACGCTGTATCGCTTGTGAAGTCCGCGTGAATTTGAACTGTTCAACGAAAGTTTATTTTACACTATTCTATTGGTTCAAAAGCCGCACGTGACAATGTAAATCAAATCGCGCATGTGCCAAAGTCACATGGAAGCCTGGGCATCAAACATGGTGGCTGCTCTTGCGACGGAGTGCAATCAGGACTACATTCACCCGGACGATGAAACTCTGCAATCTACTATTGAAATGACTCCTGGGTTCAAACCTGTCACATATTGTGCATTTTGTTCACCCAAATTGTAAATGGTAACGTTTTACGTCAGGGCCTCCTATTCCGAGACTTCTTGTGATATTTTTTTCCGTGCCACCGACACAATATCAGGAAACGCATTCGACGCTAAACGAAAAAAAAAGGGGGATGGCCTTACCCGAAATAACCAGCTGCAGCAAGTAATATTATAAACTTTGAGAAGAATGTGATGGTGATTGAAACGGAAAATGCAATGGAAAATCAAAACTTGCGTGAAATAACACTGTGAAGTTTGGTAAATGTGCAAACGTTGGTTAAAGTGGTCGTAAAGATAGTTCTTTGATCATATTTTGCTTAAATTTACGCCTCTAGTAACCATAAATTTACACAGTAACTTTGCTATGCCAGAAAATATCAAGCAAACATTCAGTTTTGACGTTCGATTTTTACACACAGAACAAAATGGTGGCAAACTTGAATCTAAACACCAAATTTACTATGGGGAGCAAAAGTGAAACAAACTATCTGTAAACTTGAAATTTACTCCACATTTACGCCACCCTTGCAGAAAAGTAAACTTTCACTTTCGAACAAAATTTGCACCAAGAACAAATAAGTAGCAACATTAGTACCCTAAATTTACAATAGATTTGCTCAACTAGCAAACTTAGGCAAATCCGTTTTTTCGTCCAGTGTAACAAGAGGTTCAAGTGAATAACATAATCTTGCTATACTTACAGAACCACTTAGATCCTGATAAACAACCTGACTAAATGTTTCTAACCCTGGAAAAAATAATAATGATTTTTTTGGGCTATTTTAAATATTCATAAAATTTATATAAAAAAGGTAAATTAACTCATTAATAGTAAAAATATAATTAAAGCAATGTTTTGCATTTTATTGCTTTTAAAATAACCTATATTAGCCAGGGTAAAGATCAGAAAGTAGACAGCCTGTTTGGAACAACTCAAAGAAATGTTTGTTCATTAAAACTACTTGTTCAATAAAGAATGGAACAGAACAGGAAGTAGACAAAAAGGTGTAGACTTGAATCTGTGGCAAATTATGCAAATTCTCACCACATACTGTATAATCATATAATCATATTGGTGTGCTAGTGTTCACTGGAAAGGCTGCACAACATTAACATTTGCTGAAATGAAGTCAGCAGTGTTTTCCTGAAAAGTTTAAAGTTGTAGAAGGAGAAAAATCCAACAGGGCAAACAAGTTTCAGTCAGAAGAGCCAGGATTAAGGGTAGTCGACGGGATTCCCCTAAGAAAAGTTTAATTCAGGGGAAGGACCCTGAATATATACTGTGCATTAGTAACATGCAATTTTTGTCAATATTAATATTTAAATTCATACCATATAATAATTGTTTTTAATCAAAAAGCTGAGAAATACAAATACAATGGAAGAGTAGTGGGTACTTCCTCAGTGGTTGACTTAAAGGGGCAGGTTCACGATACTGCGCATGTGTGGGTTCTGACAGTAGCTGATTGTTTTTAAACCACCCGGAAGCGAGTTAGATGCACGCAAGCAAATTTACATAATTCGAATTCATTCTTTTTATATATCCACATTCATTGTTTTTGTATATCCACATAATTTATATTCATTCTTTGCTATTCCTCATTATGTTGCTGCCGAAAAGAATAAGATTTACAGCCGGCTGTCCTGCTTTGAAACAAACACTTACCTTCATGTATTTTTACCAGGTCTTTTACGTTCCCAAGCTAACAAAGCAGTGACCGATCGGTAAACAAAATTTGTAAACAACCCTTTTATAACTGATCTCTCTATTCGCCCTATATAAACCTAGAAATAGCTGCAAATAGCACCTGACTGGTGACAAAAACACACAGCGTATGAGTATAAAGATTATCCTAAATTGAGCATAAATTTCAATTGCTTATCAGCAAACAAACAAATTCATACATGTTGCGTCGGATCAGTGTTCCAAAAAACAAATGTTATCAAGTGGAACGCATAAAGAAACCAGATTATAAACAGAATATCCAGCCAATAATTCATTTTAAAAACATCAATTCTTAAACATATACGATCATACAGCAAAGATACAAGGAACATTTCAAGGAGTGTACCAGATCGGTGAAGATGGCGCGGCCTGTTGCATACTTTACTGTATAACTACAGGTCGGAGTCATAAATCAAATCAGAGTTGAACAAACTCATGCCTTTTACCACTTTCCAAGTGTGGTGTATTCTTTTTGTAAGCCACACACAACTCCTAGAACCATTATACCAGATCCATCGGCTAAGCTTCTCTTTCTCCAAAGACTCTTGAGAACGTTCTGTTGTCGATCGCCTGCGACATGGCTTCATAATTCCAAGACACCATTGACGAAATTGATTTTTTGTTTCCTAAACGCCTTTCTCCGAAAACAAAACAATTACACTCACGAGTACTTTAGAAATAGCAGACTTCACTTTGCTTACATATAGGAACAGATGAGCGAATTTAAAGACAGATTCCTTTGGATTCACAGTTGATATATCCTTCGAATTTAGTGTTGGCCCATATGATTTATTCTGGAAGCTGTCATGGCGCGCATGCACATCATCGTGAACCCCCCGCTTTAAGGTGGCAATTATTCACCTGAGCTTCCAGGGAACATTACAACTCAGTGAATCAGAAAATTAGCTTGGACCAATAACGCAATTACAGCTATTACCTCGCAGTGCTCCCCACACATTGAATGCAGTCAGAGAAGAAGTTGGAGACATAACATCTAACTGGTCTGAAATGGAACAAAATAAATTATCAGAGAGTTGTGACAATATAAGTGGAAAATCAATCAGCTGTGGTACGTATATCTCAGACTGGCTATTCATTATAAGTAAAATCCAACTAGTGGTCTATTATCAATGCTGCATTCTGATTGGTTGAGCTACTACTAGGCTATATGTTATAGCCCACTAGTAGCGAAAAGCGCGGGCTTTTTGGCAGTAAAAAAGGATTAAAGTCTAGCTTTAACTAGCTAAAATTTTTTTATTCTCGATATTTTAGACCAACTAGTTGGATTTTACTAAAACAATAAATTACTCCTCTCGCCCTCATGGCCTCTGAGTAAATAGCCCATTCTGCCTTCGGCCTCATGGGCTATTGATTCAGAGCCCATTCGGGCTCAAGGAATAATTGTTAATTAGCGGGTCAGTGTAAATTGTGTTCCATGTATGTTTGGATCTTTGAGATAGTCAAGCTGAGATTAATACTTCCCCTTTATTGATAACTGTCCAGTTTTGTCTAAAAAAATATGGCACAGCAGGGAATTCTCTTTGGCAGATCTTATATTAGTGAGGAGTATTAACAAAATTCAAAAGAAACTGTGCAATGCAATAATCTGAGTCAAAGTTTCGCTAAAATACAGTGTATGCACTTGAAATGTTGGGAAAAAAAACAGACATTTCAAGGGTGCTCTGGCCTTCTTCTTCAGTGGAAGTATGTTGAAATAAAAACAAAACAAAAATGTTCTGTTCTTTGCCTGCAATGACTCTCAGAGCTTTAAATGAATCACATTTTGTATGCGCTGTACGCTTCAGGCAAAGGAGGTCCATATAATATAAAGAGTTGTATATCAAATCTACTCAGAACAGGTCACTGGAGAAATCAGTATAGTATAACATAACCAGGCAAAATTAAATCCCCTAAAAATGTATACGAAATATCCAATTAAACGGATTTCATTAGTTTTGTATTGGGTTATTCCAGAAAAAATCCACACTCCCCCTGACTAGTATAACATAAAAAGGCAAAATTAAATCCCCCACAAATGTATACGAAATATCCAGTTAAATGGATTTCATTAGTTTTGTATTGGCTTATTCCAGAAAAAATCCGCACTCCCCCTGACTAGTATAAAATAAACAGGCAAAATTAAATCCCCCCAAAACGTATACAAAATATCCCATTAAACCGATTTCATTATAGCTTTGTATTGGGTTATTCCAGAAAAAATCCACACTCCCCCTGACTAGTATAACATAAACAGGCAAAATTAAATCCCCCCAAAAGGTATACAAAATATTTAATTAAACTGATTTCATTAGTTTTGTATTGGGTAATTATTCCACAAAAAATTCATACTCCCCCTGACTAGTATAACATAAACAGGCAAAATTAAATCGCCCAAAAACGTATACAAAATATCCAATTAAACCGATTTCATTATAGTTTTGTATTGGGTTATTCCGGAAAAAATCCACACTCCCCCTGACTAGTATAACATAAACAGGCAAAATTAAATCCCCCCAAAACGTATACAAAATATTCAATTAAACCGATTTCATTATAGTTTTGTATTGGGTTATTCCGGAAAAAATCCACACTCCCCCTGACTAGTATAACATAAACAGGCAAAATTAAATCCCCCCAAAAACGGATACGAAATATCCAATTAAACCAATTTCATTAGTTTTGTATTGGGTTATTCCAGAAAAAATCCACTTTCCCCCTGACTAGTATAACATAAACAGGCAAAATTAAATCCCCCCAAAACACCTAATTAAACCAATTTCATTAGTTTTGTATTGGGTTATTCCAGAAAAAATCCACACTCCCCAAATGGAAGGCGTGCTGGAAAATCTCATGAGAAGGGGGATTAACGGTTCTAAAAATCAAGATGGGAGGTTGGATTATGAATCTAAAACTACATCTTCAGGACTTACATTCATCCCTGTTTCCATTGCTTCAATCAATTGACAAGTTTTAAAAAACTGCTTATTCTTTCAAACTACACACCTCTAACCACATTTATTTAAAGTTTCCATCCATAAGCTCGCCTTTGTTACTTTTGTAGAAGCGACGTGCGATAACTTGAAAATACTGACAAAAATCACATAATTCATAGAAAAATAACGATTTCTACTTTGAATCAAACATTCTCCCAAGGTCCATGCTATTTCAGGGTCATTTACCACTAAACACACCTAACAAGAAAGCTGGGTGGTATTTTCAAAGGCAAGAGGTGCAGCCAACCGTATAACCCATCATGTAATATCCCACTAAGTGTCCTCTTTCTTTCTTTCATAGTCATTTTTTCTCAACAAAGAAGAGGAGATTTTATTCATGTAGATAGTTAGTTTTGAGCTGTATTGTTGTCTACATTGCTGTATAATATTACTTCACCTGTTCTAGAAAAAAAGAGAAGTTCACTCAAATGTGAGCTTATTTGCAAAATGTGTAAGCCTGTTATGGTATCTTGAAGTCTTATGGAAATCCAGATGGGATTTGGTGGGGGGCCTTGAACTTGAAAATCCTGAGGGGGGGGGGCCTCAAGCAGGCTTCGAAATCTGGATGGAAAGGAGGGGGGGAAAGTGCCTTCCATCGGGTGTGAGGGGGGTTGGAGATTTTTCTGGAATAACCCATTGCCACAGTATGTTTGGGTTTGTAGGCAACTTTTCTCTCACATGACCAGACAAATTTAATTATTCTTTTGATTAATTAATTATTAATTATTCTTTTGACACAAGTTTATATTACTTTACCAGTTATTTTTAATTAGAAAACCTGTCAACTTTAAGCAGGTATTTTCAGACTTATCGATCAAACAAACATTAAATAATTTTATTAACTATCCTTCAGTACATGTCAAGCATTTACCAAAAAACCTCTCTTTGTGGCCCTTGATACACACCAACTTAAACAAACCTATTTCAAAAGAGAGTGGTTATATCTACAGACTCTGGTCAATTGAGCATAAATTATGTAACTAGCACCTTGATGTTTGTCAATTGTGTATGTAAACATGGTTAGGATATCGGTGGAATTGAAGTAGAATGTTTGCCAACAGGGTATAAAGCTTAAGGCAATAGTCAATGAGCTAGAACAAACAAACGAACGAACAACCTATCAAAACAGCGGTAAAAAAATATTTAAGCTACTGGAGTAACATGAATAATCCAAACAAGTTTGTTAGAAGTTTTTACTTTTGAATAAGCCCAATTAATTACAGCTGTGTGATATCACCTGAAAAAAAGATGTAAAAGAAAAGACCTCATATCAACCTCCTCTATCAAGCTAACAAAAAAGGAGAAGTGACTGACGATACTTACATGATTCGTCGCTTTCTAAAGTGAGATTCTCGTACTTGTTGATGACTTTGACAGTTAGCTGCGTTATCTCTGACGAGCCTTGCGCTTCAGCTTTTTTTCTTTCACAAGAGCTGTCACCATCGTCACTATCGGGAAAAGTCAACTTTTTGTAGCGAGAAATGGCATCTTGCAGAACATCACTACTTTGTCCGGTTATTGTAAATTTGAAATTCTGAGGCGAGAGAGAATAAACTTCACCATTAGGCGTTTCTCCTTGAGGTTTCGGCCAAACCGAACCTTTCACGTAATCTTCAACTTGAAGCTCCTCAAGCTTCCAGGATAAATAATCCTGATAATCGAGAGCTAAAGGATCTGAAAGTGTCGGAACTCTCTTGATTGTTGAAGATGCAAAGGCACTGAGCAAAAGAAGATAAACAGAACGAATCATTTTGGAAGACAACAACAACGTTCACTTTCCAAAGGGCCTACGCTCACTAATCGCTAATCCTGGTGCTGAAGTTTGTCATGTGATGATCACGGTTTCCCATGCATGCTAGACACAAGACGTAACAGGTGTGGTGACCGCCGACCTGCGTGACTAAGTGACAAGAGCTTGAACGGTTTTCAGCCCAAAGTTTTGGCAAGATGGTTTCAATCGAGTCATCTTTTGTTTTTCCTCGAGTCCTGATGTTTGCCGAGACTAAAGACACCAAGCAATATACAAATTTGGGAAAGAGAATAACTTCCGGTTTATAAGCGGGTGTCAGGAGCCCATCATCATGATGGGCTCCTGCGGGTGTCCAACATGACAAGAGACACAAGCACAATTTTCGGTTTAGGTCATGTCCTCTTTTCGCAATTCGGCGAAAGATCTGCGCCAAACACCGATTGCACATGGACCCAGGGGCAGTCAGTCGGGTCGGGAGAAAATTAGACTACGAGCAGGCTCTCTTTTTTCTTGGTCCATCGAGCAAAACGCGCGAGACACGCAAATGACCACGCGCGTGACTGAAGGCGCAAGACGCCCTCCTCGTTGTCTTGCGGCTTCGCCACTTTGAACGCTCCCGTGCGTGCGTGCTCTCCCCTCACTGAATCTGAAGAAAAAGAGAAATTGCTCGCAGGCTAGGAAAAAAGGCGCCGTGTGAAGAACAAGTTCTGAGTTCCGAGTTCCAACACCCGACTTTAGGGGATAAGGTTTAGGGGAACTGTTTGGGTGTTAGTAAAACGCGGGGTCGAGGCCGGGGACGGGGCCGTGATGGGCGTCTGGGAATGCTGTGTTTTAGGGTTAGGATTAGAGTCAGGTTAGGTTTATTTAGGGTTATTGAGGATTAGGGTTAGGGTTAGGTTTAGTTTTAGGTTTAGAGATAGGTTAGGGTTATTTAGGGTAAGCGTTAGGAAAAACTGTTTCAACGCAGAGGTTCACGCAACGCGTAACTATAACTGACTGGTTCCTCTTGCCGGATCAAATTGTAGGAGCCGTTAAAAGATATTTTCTCTCGGTATAGTTCTGGCCCTGAGGAAGGCTAATTTTGCTAGCCAAAATATATTCCTATAATAATATCACCCCTTAATTAGCTTGGCCGTAGTGACAGCCCTGCATTCAGTTTTGTTTTAGCGTTAGGGTAAGCGTTAGGTTCCGGTTTTAAAATGTCAACCCTCACCCTAAAACAGCATTCTTAAAAAGAAACATAAACCCTGAGCCCCACCCCTACTCCGCCTTTTACTGAAACCCGAATTGTTTTTCACAATGGTACCTTCTGGTCTACATCTTGTCCATGATCCAGATCCGTGTGACGGTCGTCAGTTTTTCCTTGGTCCATGCTAGGCCGGCTAGGCACGATGGGGCCCAGGCAGTTGAAGTTCTTAAGTAACAGATGGAGTGACAGTTTGTTTAAATTTGACAGAATTATTCTCTCAGAGTGTAGGACAATGTTTATGAAAAATTTTAAAAAATGGCAAAACCGCAGAAAGCTATTGAACTATTTTTTCAATTCTACTATTATTTGCTTCCTGTTTTTTTTTTTTAATTTGTTTTTGTCTTTTGTTTATGTTTTTTCAGTTTGTTTTTATTTATTTTGGTGTTTTTGTATTTGTTTTTTTCTTGTTTTCTAAAAAAGGCTGGTATTCACTAGCCACGGAGTTGGAGTCGGAGTCGTAAGCGGAGTCGTAAAGTGCAACGGGATCGGAGTCAGAAGAATGAGAACGTTTCCATTTCTTCCGACTCCGCTTATGACTCCTTTACTTACGTTACGCTTATGATCTAGTGATCGGAGTCGGAAGCAGATCGAGGCGGAAGGGTAAACCAATCACAATGCACGTTCCCACGCATTGCGATTTGTTTCGTTTTTTCGCCTTTGCTTCCGACTCCGACAATCTGGTTTTTACCAGATCATAAGCGGAACGTAAGCGATGGAATCGTAAGCGGAATCGGAACGCTCTTTTCAGCAGATCACAAGTTCCGTCGCTAGAAGAAAACCAGCCTTTATAAAATTCTCAATCAATCAAATAATAAAATATATTAAAAAAATGAAACTTATTTAATAGGTTTTAGTCACTCCTCTGTTCTAGGTCTCCAACAAGACCCACGCCGTCGTAGGCATGAAAAGAATCTGGTCACTTTTTTTTTCTACAGAGGTAAGGTATACAACCAAAGGAAATTGTTTAGTACGAAAATACACATTTAAAACGCTATCTTCAAGAACGGCGAGAAGCTACGCCACGCTGATTAGGTGCTTTTTTGGTCACAGCGTTTCACTGATTTACCAAAACCTACCATGTTTAGTCACGAAGTCTTTGTCTCGCAGCAGAGTGGTCATGACATGACATGGAGATTAGTAAGAGACTGAACATAAGAGAACATGAGCACAATATGTCCCCTCTAATAATTAAAAACAAAACCTTATTTACACGAGAAAAACTTGCGTTTACATCTCTTGTATCTGAAAATCATTTAAAGGACGATGTTTTGTGATGGTTGTTGGGAGGACACGAATTTCTGTTCAACAAACCTGTCCCCACGAGTGGCGGATCGAAGGGGCCAGGGGGGCTCGAGTCCCCACCTTATTTTTAGACCAAACTGAGGCCTGAAAGGCGGAAAAAATTACTTTGAGACCACACCCCTTATCTCAGAGGTCTAGATGACCGCATCCCCCGCCCCCTCCCCTCATCTGAAGGTCTGAATCCGTCACTACTCACCCGTTGTTGAATGATTAGTAAACTGCCAGCATACATGTTTGTGAGGCCGGGTATCATTACTACACTCCCAGGATTTTCATAAGTTGATCTACTGAAACCATTTTAGGCCAATTCAATTTTGCAGAGTATCTATAATTTTTGAGCCAACTCACCAAAGTCTTCGGTTTTTTCTCTCCAGTTCGTCTCCTTTCATCTTTACGAGTTAAGGCTTCCTTGTTACAATCAGTGAAAAGGTTATTCGCGTCGCGCCAATGCTCGGAAGAAGCTGTGGTCGGCTGGTAATGTCCACCTTTTGGTTCGGCTGGCAATGTCAACCTTCTTCTCTGGTTTTCCTCTTCACTTTTCTTTGCAAAAGACTCAAACGTCTTGTTGCAAGAGGTGATGTTGGTGAGCGTGGTAATCTTCGGTAGCCGAGGTGCACGATTGGCTGCTTTTACTGAAGGTATTGTGACTATTGTGTTAGCTGCATTTGCCCATTCGGGTGGACAAATGGCAAACAGCTGCAGGTGATTTCCAGGTATTGTGGGCACTTCACTGTGGACAACTGATAATTGAGCAACCTCAGGAGCTTGTAAGATGAAACTGCAGATGTTATTATTACATAGCAGGAACTCAATTGGGTTTAGGTCACGAGCGGGAGAATGGTTCAGGGGACAGATGGTGTTCCTCCTAAATGACTGGATGACATTCTGCGCTACCAAAATGGTTCGATAATTTCCTTCCGGTTCCTTTACCGTGTTCATGGGTGCAGGTACTATAACGGTTTCCGAAGTTGGTTTAGGTAACACCCGGACTCCCTCAGTTACGCTGTAACTGTGAGGCAGCACTGCTATCGCGTGTTCTTCCATCGGTGTTACTTTGTCGTTAGTGTCGAGCTCTATGACGGTGGCTCCTCCAGTCGGTGGCCCGGGCCACTGGAAGTACTTTAGCAGGTCGAAGTACCCCCAGTAGTAATACCTTAGGTGCTGATACATCGACTCGCCCACGCTGTAGCCTAAATCGAGTTCCTGCTTTGTCCGATCAAGTTCTTCTTGCTTCTGCTGGAGCTCCTGGGTACTTTTATCAAGCTTATCCAACAGTGAAGTGCAATGTGCTTTTATCTTGAGGTTTTTACCTTTCAAGTCGTTCAATTCCCTTACAGCGTTCTGGTGCTTTCGCTTGATTTGATCTTGAGATTCCTTCACCTGTAGTAAATCTTTTTTTAATCTTTTTTCTTTTAACTTCGCAAATCTTTCCTGATCCGCGATTTTCTTGTTAGCTTTTTCAACCTCTCCTTTTTGAAGCTTGTTGTCTTCTTCCAACCATTCTCGTTCAATTCGGAGGTTGTTAATTACGGCATCTCGTCGAGCTATGGTTGTTGCTTGCTGGTTTACAATCGCCAGCAGCTGTTCATAGCTGTACACATACATCTGTGCCATCCTTTGAGGACGGATTACTCTTTTAAATGCACTAAAAAAATCTTTTCTTAGAAAAAAATCACTTCACCGCTTTATATAATCTTCCGTTAAACTTCAAACACGTTCTTCTTCTTCCAAGAGTGAGGTTTTAAAATTTAGTGATGTCATAAACAATTAACCATGCTAAGTTTCTCTTGCGCGCGCAAAGGCTCTTCTATACAGTTCTGGAGCTGCGATCTGTGGGTTTGGTATGCTATTGTACATGTTATGTAGGGTTCAACTCCACGAAATTGGCAAACATTTGACGATTTATACGAGATGGAATAAACGCAATAAAGTTTGAACAAGAGCGCGCTTACAGCGGCATCAAGTCTCGACTGCTTGGAGATTAGATAGAAAAATGAGGAAGCGATTAATTCTACAAGAAACATGATAATAAATAATAATGAACTTTATTAAGGTATTAGATCTGCTATAAACCCTTAATTAATAATAATAATAATAATAATAATATTTAATACTTATATTGCGCTTTTTCTATGAAAATACTCAAAAGCGCATTACAATATTATTAATAACTAAATTAAAAACCAGTAAAATTACCCGGTAAAATTACAATATTTAAAAATAAATAAATAAATAATCTAACTAAAAGCCTTTTTAAATAAATATGTTTTAACAGAGCGTTTAAAAGAGTCGATTGATGTTTCCTGTCTTATTGGCAGAGGAAGACTGTTCCATAAAAAGGGGCAGCCATCGATAACGTGCGATCTCCCAAAGTCTTCTTCGTTCTTAGCCGAGGTCTTTCTAATAATATACCATTATTGTTACGGCGTAGTTGGTAACGTGAGTCCGGTAAGACAGAGACAAGATCCTTAAGATAGCTAGGCGCAACACCGTGAAGAATCTTAAATGTAACAAAGGAGAATCTTAAAATCTACGCGCAAGCGCACTGGTAGCCAGTGGAGTTCTCTTAGCAAAGGAGCAACGTAACAATACTTAGGTGCGCAGTAAACCAATCGAGCAGTGGCATTCATGACTCTTTGAAGTTTCTTAATTTGATACTCAGGAGCACCGTACAATAAACCATTACAGTAGTCAAGCCTGCTTGTGATGAACGCGTGAACAAGCCTCCCGGTGGACTCACGAGACAAATACTTCCTAATGTGCCGGATATTGTACAAATAATAAAACGCGCTAGCACAAGTCTTAGTCACATGAGTCGACATGTCCAGATGAGAATCGAACCAGGTGCCCAAATTGCGCACTGAAGAGGCAGGCGATACCTCAGCTTGGCCGATTTTTATCTTGTCAACGGACACCTTTGATAACTGTCGTTCCGTGCCAATGATCAAGAACTCAGTTTTATCGTCATTTAGTATTAACTTATCATCTCTCATCCATGCGCGAACGTCACGAATACAGTTCTCAATCGCAATCACAGCATCAGCCTCGCTGGTCTTATCAACGGGATTAAACGATATATATAGCTGCGTATCGTCCGCATAGGTGTGAACGGATGGCAGATGAGATTTCATGATGTCAAACAGCGAACTCGCGTAGATGATAAATAAGAGGGGGCCCAAACAAGAACCTTGTTAAGTGAGACCTGCTGCGTTCTTCCCGCCACATAAGATTTAAACCATAATAAAGCCTTATCCCGAAGGCCGAGCTTGGACTGCAGCCTGTGCAGAAGAATACCGTGATCTACGGTATTAAACGCAGCGCTGAGATCTAACATAACAAGCAATGTGACGTGACCCTTCCATTTGAAAAAATTATTTCTCAAATTATTAAAAATTTTGCAAAATAAAAATTACTCAGGCCTATCAAGCGAGAGCTGAGCTTTCAGAAAATTGATATGCGAGGTGTCAAGTGTTATTTCCGATTTATATCGCAGGCTCAAAAATTCAATAATTCCGTATTTCTGGCTTTCTCTGGACAGCTAGGAATAACAAGAAAATCAGAACTGACTTATACTTAGTTTGTTCATTTACCTTTAAATTCCCGGCAGTAGCCAGTAAATTTTTCCTGAGATATAGAGGAGGTGGAATTTTTTAGTAACGCCCTGCAACTTCAGGCCGCCGCAAAAATTCCAAAATATTCCGGGAACTGCCGGGAATTCAATTCATTTTTTCTTTACATCATGTGAATAAACCTGGCAAGTTTCAGCGCGGTATTATAAATCCTTATCTTTTTACATTGATTTGTTTCAGTGCGGTCCGCAACAGAGCCGCAAAATTGCCCTTAATTCGCCCTTAATTTTCGTCGCGCTGCGCTGTTTTCTTCGTCGCCCCTGGTCGCTATCTTGAATTCTTACGAGTAAACCGCTGTTCTTAATGTTTGTTGTGACACTGATCCGATTATAGCACGGAAAGTGGCGAGAAAATACGAAAATCTTCGTTTGAACTCGTTGCGTGACGTGCTCTCCTTAGCAACGTGCTAATTTGCATAACAGATCACTGCGGCCTTATCTGTCATCGTCCTTACAAGCATCATATATCTAATGTGTCTGTAGAAGGCTTTTTACAGCCATAGAAATGATTTAGAAATATCAAAACAATCGTACTTAATTTGGGGAAGCAGAATGTAAGCGAATTTTGCTATAATTTACGAAGGCTTACTTGAAACTCATAACGCGTTATCGCGTGTCGGGCTGTGAAAATTGCAACATTTCTGTCAACAACGGAAAGTATCGCGTTGGATTTCAGCCCTGTGATTATAAATATTTCCGAAAAAGCGCTCTTAGTTACCAACTTTGGCCTTCGTTTTTTTCGGCTTATATTTAACGAAAATGCTTCATTTTTGGAATTTGAGTTCAGGTTAAGAGTACATCTCAAATAAGCGATTTTATCAGCACGATCATTTTTTGACTTTATAGCAGTTCTAATAGTCTCATGTCTTATAGCTCAGGCTCAGTGCCTTACTAATTGGGGAGACTGATTTACTCGCTAAAGGTTTTTTACTTCCTACTTTATCGACGTCGATACTTGTTATTTGTTTCTGAATTGATTTAGTACGCGTGTTAGCGACGACCAAAAATACCTCTCCGGTAGCAGGCTATACGCGTGTACAAGAGAGAATGAGCTAGGTATAAATACACGAAAATTCAAGGGCCTCGATTCCAGAGAAATTACATCATTGCCAGATATCGAAGTGATTGAAGCTCCTGATTTAGAACGGGGTATCCATTCCAGAGGCGTTTTCTAGAACGGGGTATAAAAAATTTTGGATCAGGGCTTTATCTTCTGCCTATTATGAAGAAGCATTTATTTGATGTAAGTCGAACAAACAAAGAAATATCTTTTTAAAAAACAGGGCTATTTCAATTTACAAACTTTCTAGAACGGAGTATAAAAAATTGGCCCATTTCTAGAACGGGGTATCAGTTTTAGGGCGAATTCTAGTACGGGGTATAAAAAAATCGGCCCATTTCTAGAACGGGGTATCAATTTTAGGGGAAATTGTGTTTAGAACGGGGTGCCAATTTGGAGTCCCGGGCGGCACATACCCACCCAAAAAATACCCAAGTGCCCCCCGTCCCCCCGGATCGATCAAGTGAGCGGAAGTCGACGGGATCATTTCAGTCATTTTGTAAGACGCCGCTGACATATCGATGACTCATCTGGTTTAGGTCGATGTTATCTAGTGCTTTCCTTTTTGGTCAGCGGGGCAACTCCCGGCGTTGACCCGCTGACCAAAAAGCCTGAAGACTCTGGGTACAAGATCGCTGTTATTCATGCTATGTGCGTAGTAACAATAGTGGGCACCTGTAAGTAAAAAAAACTGAAATAAACCTGGATAAATTCAGCTTTAAATTTCATATGCCAAACTAAATGACTCAAAATTAAATATCAGGAATTTCGGAAATTTACAAAGATTCAGCACTAAAGCTCTGCAAAGGCCACGGTTGGCATTTGAACAAGAGAAAGGTCTAGCTGTTCAGTGACGAAGCTGTTAGTATAACATTTGCAAAAATGCAATTTCGAGCGTACATATAATATGCGTTCAGATAATACTAAAGGTACATTGTTCCAATAATTATATACAAGAATAAACATCCTGGTTACATTGTTTGTAGAGCCTCAAATCAGAAAAACTAATTCAAAACGTTGAAATCCTATTTTTATAATTTTGTAGTCCACGCGCCATTAAATACATTTAAAACCCAATGAAATCCACATTTTTTCCCCTAACACTACCCAGGCTACACTATTTTTCTTAGAAAAAGGAAACCTTAGAGTTTCGGATTCTAAAATTTGATGGAGAGAGGAATCAGAATAATTCTCACTTTCGTAAAACGTTAAAGTGCACCTAACATTTTCGGAAAAATAATACTGAAGCCCTTGTAATTTCGAAAAGACTTAAGTTCCCCTAGGATGACCGAACAGATAAAAATTTTGTAGCGCCGCTTAGAATGCATTTCTAGAGATCTAAGAGTACTATAGATAGCCTTAAAAAAGTGTTTTCAACCTATTTTGGAGGAAACCGTCGTTGGGTGTCCCGTTAAGGGTAAGAAATTATTACCAGTCACTAACTGAACATTGTTGTTTGTGAGTAGTTAATCAAACTAGTCAACTTCAAAGAATGTTGAAGTGTACCCGTTCTGATGTCCAGAGTACTGACCTTACCATTATTGAACTCACTCACCAGGGCCCAGTTGTTCGAAAGCCGATTAGCGCTTAACACGGGTTTCAAAAGGATTTTCTCGGATAATTTTCTCTGCCAGTTTTAGAGCTTCCAATCATCAACTTGCAGACAAAAAGAATTAAAACTGAAATGCCTTTTAATCTTTCAAATCTGAATTCAAATCTCGCACTAACCCTGGGTTATCTTAACTCGGCTTTGAACAACTCGGTCCAGACTGTTTCGGTCAATTTCTGGTTAGGCTTGCCATATTTTTCAGTGAAGACGAGTTGATTTTCCTTTGGCTGTTTCAAACAATGATTTCTCACGCCCGTGAGTTTTGAGCCCTCCGGAACCTTTCAACGTTCGAAATTTTCCTTAGTTTTCGGCATTTCAGCTGCAGTTTTTCCATGTTTGTTTGTCTTCTTTGTGAAGAGTCACTCGCATTTGCCTCGCTTTCGCGGAAAAACAAGCTCTAATCCTAGGTTTACTTTTTCTAGTAATCAAAAGAATATCAATGTATCTGTTTGGGGGAAAGTAACACACCAGAAAATCCTCCTATGCTTCAAGTTCTTTCTCAGCTGGTTTCTTTACTTTACACTTCATGGCCATCTATTGAAAAAGTCAAAATGCCATGAAACCTTCCAGGGTTACCGGATCCTTGAACCAATTACCACCACTTAAGGCGCGCCTTCTTGCGTACAGGAAGTGGCAAAAAGCATGTAATGCTTTGCTCACCCAGTTCCAACCATTAGGTACTTTGTCCACAGGGAAAATGCGATGCCAGAAAACAGTGACGGTGTGGAACTCAGGATCGAATTTTGCCAACATACTAGCTGCCTTGATGTCCATCATGCTTTCTTGAACGGGACTTCCGTGTATCATTATAAAAGCGTACAAATTGTGATTGCGCAGCACAACACGAACGTTCCGCTCTGGATAACATAATACACAATAATTGGCTATAAATGACCCAGTTACAGCAGTAACAACAACTAAAGAAAAGACAGCTTCTTGACTAGCTGCTTCTTTTGCCGAGTTGGGCAGTGGCAAGGGATAGCATTTATTTGCTTCTCGAATGGAATTACAGACAAAGGAATGAACAGCCTGTGCAGTGTCAAAGCATTTCTTGCAACAGTATCTTGCAACATGGCAGCTAGGGCATTCGATCCAATCACTATCCGACTGAAGTTCTGTCCAGCATTCTGAGCACCCTCCTGTCGGATTACAAGAGAGAAAATCAGGAACAGCCGAAAAACTGTTGTCACGAAGCACGGGGCACTTGAATTCACCGGCATATTTAGACACAGAAGATATCGTTGAAAGATAGAGGAAATCACGTAAGTAAATTATATCTGGAATTTCTTCTTGGGAAATCTGGAGCAACTGTTTACATTTCAACTCCAACGGGCACATTTCTTCTGCATTAGCGGGGAAAACGTCGGGACCAAGATTTTTTAAGAACACACATTTCTCAACAAAAACATTTCCTTTCCCGTTCAACAAAATACGAAGTCCTCCACAGTAATTGTTTTCAAACACAGTTTTTTTGCATGTTAAGCTGCTTCCAATACAACAAACGATTCCCCAACCACAATTGTTG